CTTAATTGGTAAACACGGTTGTAAACAAGATACATCAAACGAATAGGCCACGCCCACAACAGACGTTACTGTCTGCTAGGATTCTAATTTAGGTCAAGTAAAGTTCACGCACGGAAAAAGTGTGCTACATAACAGCATATCTAGACACCCTATAACTGAACATATGTGGTGCAACGTAACTGTATTACTCGTATGTAGTGAGCTCTAACGAGTTTTGAGATTTGTACAGAATAATTTCCTGTGAATTGCTGGGTCTGCTCATGCAGTCACCCGCTCAAGATTGCCGTCGGGGAGATCATGCGTCTGTCTGATCTGGTGTTACCCTGCTCAGGTGACATCCTTGTAAGGTGATGTCCTAGTCAGGTGACACCCTGCTCAGGTGCCACCCTGCTCAGGTGACACCCTGCTCAGGTGAAACCCAGCTCATGTGACAACCTGCTTAGGGGACACTCTGCACTGGTCGATACCTGCTTTGGTGACAACCTGTTCTAGTGGCTCCTTGCTCTGTTTGGTGAAACCTTTTCTTGTTGGCTACCTGCTCCTGTATTTAACTTAGATCTGTTATAAAACCTAACCGAACGAGTTCTGGTAATAAACTAGCTATTCTCCATTTGGTGCCCCCCCCCCTTTCCCTTTTCCCCTAAGACGATGTCACCAGATGCGACCCCTAGTGAGAACATCTGCCACAACTTTGTTTACGCTGGTCGTTCGCGAGTTTACAGAATATGAGCACATCAATGTTTAACATGATGAGAAAACATTATCTAAGAGTAGAAATCGTTGAAGGCAGGGCTACAAAGCCTTGATATGTAATAAAACACAAGTCTCCGAAAGGGAGGGGGACATTCCCTCTTTAAGGGCAAGAGGAATGCCATACAATTTCAAGTTTATCATAGAGCTTCATTCATGAAATGGTTCTGTTAATAATTGATATAAAGGCAGCGAAGTCAGCCGGACAAGAATAAAACCCAGCGCTATTCCTCAGTGTTTAAAGTTTTGTAAAAAAGAAAAAAAAAAAGAAAAAAAAAAGATTATTTTGTTACATGACAAATAGAACTGAATAGATTAAGAAATAAACTCTCAAAATTGCGAGGCACGCGCGCGCACACACACACACACCACTATTATATTACCCTTATAAGCTGTGGCATGACAGAAGGTGTATTCAATTAATATTTATTGCTGCTAATATTTAATTAAACGTAGCTCAAAAAGTGACAAAGCTAAGTATGTGTTAAAATAGGCTATTATTGTTACCCAGCCAGGACTTTCTGGAGTTCTAGAGATCAAGCCAAATATAAAATTTAGCCTAAACCTAAATCGTTGATAATGTTTGACTTGATAAATCTTTTTTTTTAAATGTTTATTCCTTTTTATGCCTTATACTAGCTAGACTTCTAATGATGCGGTATAAAATTAAGTCATAAACACAGATGCGTAGCGAAGGGGGTGCAGGGGGGACATATGTCCCCGGGTGCCAGGTATTTAGGGGCGCCAAAATGTGCTTTGATGTTATTTTATTGATGAAAATAATGGGTTTGAGAGTTGAAAAAAAGAAAATGGGGCGCTTTAAAATGGATCTTGTCCCCGGGCGCGAATCTTGTCCCCGGGCGCCAAACACCCTCGCTACGCCGCTGCATAAACATGAGTAAAATCTCATTTCAAACTAATCTCATGTGAGGGACGTGACTAAATTGACGCGCCAAGAAAAATGGACCCCCTCCCCACAAATTGAGATCCCCTGTTGTTACTAAATAAGTTGAACGTTAGCCTAGTTTTCAGTAACTCCTAAGACTGCTAGTTTATCACTTTTCAAACCCCGGTTGGGCCATTCCCTGTGTCATCACAGGCGTTGTGCTATTTTTAGCAAAGATATTCAGCAATCGGTTAACTGGCAATCTTTTGTTTATTTACACCATGTTAATATTAATAAAATGTGTCCATTTGTTGTGTCTTTGTATGATCACGATATTAAGTGTAGCATTGGCATAGGTTGAAACTAATTGGAAAACTAGGTCAGTGTGTCATTATCCTTGGCTGACATAGATTTACTTCAGTCTAACCACCCTCCGGTGTCGTGATAACATATTGTCCAATAAAATGTAGGCCTTTGTATGAAAATACACACAATCTGTTCGTAACAGAGATTTTAGATAAAAAATCTTACACGTACAGAGGCATTTAAATATTTACAATGTATCAAATAAAAAAAAATCTTGTTCAACTTTAATCGATTTTTTAAAAAAAATCTATTAATTTTAAAGGTCAAAGAACAAATACATATTTTAATTATAATTGTCGGTCAGTGTTTTGGGTTGACATTAGGGCGCTGCCTACCAATTATTGAAACATTCAACATTAATCTGTGAGAGGTTTAAATAAACTATGCATATGTTCGTTCTTTCTTTTCTATATGAGTGGCGTCACTGTGGGGTGCGGGCCGCATCGAGTGACGCCGTCACAAAGGGAGAGGGTGGTGACAACGTGACACCAAAATAAAAAAATGTAATATTGTAATTTGACAGAGCTTACTCAAGTCGGTTGCAGAGTAGGTTCCAAACAGAACAGGGTGATCAGGATTTTTCCAGAGCATGGAGCCACAAAAGTAGGGTGCCACCAAAGCAGAGTTGGGAATATATATATATATATATATATATATATATATATATATATATATATATATATATATTTTTTTTTTATATTTATATAGAAAATAGAGAAAAAAAAATGGGGTGAAAAAAAAAAAGAGTGGAATATATATATATATATATATATATATATATATATATATATATATATATATATATATATATATTTGCCATTTTATTATGATCTTTTGGGTTCATATGTCATACGTGTGGTGGGACTTGTCAGGATTTCAATCCTGTCAAAAAAATATCACCTCATCACAGACGTCACCAAAAGAAAAATAACGTCATGCCTCACGCCACTGCCGAGTCTATTTATATATTTGTTTCTTTCGGTGGAATGTTATTGACATTACGACTAAGACTACCATTCATTGGCCAATCGTATTTTAACGGAGACATCGGGTTTTAGCTGGCATATGTGGTTTATTTATCATTAATTTACATTTACAGACCTGTTTACTGCTACGATTTTGGCGTAAAATGTACGATTTTGAGGTTTATACATTATATTTATTGTAGCCTGTTTATTTTTACTATAAATGTAAGGTAAAAAACGATTTTTTGATATGTACGATTTTAAGAGTTTGAGGGTAAACAGGTCTAGTGGCCCGATGTTGTTAGTTTGTTTTTGTTTTCTTTTAGTGGAAAAAGAGACTGAACATTTCGTTTTAAATACTTAAAGATATATCGGTTATGCATTTTCTCTGACATACTTTGGAACTTTGGTAACGGTTATAGCTCGCCCCGTAATCACGGATCTAACGCGGTCATGGTCATGGACATTTGGTTTAGGCCTATTCATTCGCACATTTTTTTTTAAAGAGTTAGGCAAGACATTTTGGACGGCCGTGACTGTGAAGACATTTTGGACGGCCGTGACTGTCAAGACATTTTGGACGGCCGCGACTGCGCTTTAATTAAGGACGTTTGCAAATAGAACATGAGGGAAACCAACATAAAAATTGGCGAATGGGAGATCATCACTGATCATCGTTCCAGCAGTGGATGAAGGAGGCATCCAGGCAAAAGAGGCGCAAAACAACGCCCTTGCAACAAAAAGAGTATTACAGAAGGCCAAATTTAACCAGAAGTCAAGGTTCTCCTAGAAAAATAACTTTATTTATACTGTAAATTATTTTTCAATGTCATGTTTTGGTAACATTGGTGAGGCGGTTTTATGGAGAGAAATATAATTTCCGTTAGGTCTCATTGGGTCTTTCGTGATTTTCTTTTTACCGCGCTGTGAATTTCGTGGCATCTTCCAGATGTTAGTCTGTCATTTCTACTGGTATTATAATAGTTTCTCAACGGTTCCCCATCCCACATCTAGGTCAAATTTTAGCTCATTAAAATTTCCTTGGAAATCTTTCTTGTTTTTTTTTTAAATTTGTGTCGAAAATCATTCAACAAAAAGAATTAATAAATGGAAACCCCCATCATAGCGTCAGGACGTCAGCAGATAAATAGATTCTGATATGCTCTCGACCAGAGACGCCCTTGCAAGCTTGCTTCTTTGGTCTGTCTGCACAATACGTCTTAAGATCGTTTATATGGCCTGCTTCGCTCCTACAGCTGATTGTCACATTATGCTTTTCCCCTCTGCTATCCCCCCCCCCGCTCTGTTTGTTAGTGAGGACATGTTTTTCAGAGTTAATTAAAATATTATCATATTATATGTAGGCTAGTTAGTTATTTTTTTAAAATGTTCACAGTGTGTTTATGATGTATTAAAAGGAGATATTATTTCTCTTTTAACATAAATATTATACATTTAAAAAATATAATTGCAATTCAAAACTAGTAACTTGCAACAAGTAGAAAAATGTCTTACGACCTGTCATTTTGGAGGATCCGTGAGCCTACTACTACAGTGGCGTACCTAGAGCTTGTACCGCACAGGATTGGTCAATACTCTCTCTCACCGGCCCCCCTCCATGAATCTCTACAGTTGTCTGAAACTGCCGCCCCTCCATATATAACCACATAAATAAAGTTCCACCATGGCAACCGCCCCTCCACCTCACCCCTCCCACGCCACTGGTGCTTGGTTTATGCTGGCTTATCTTGTTTTAGTTTAGCAGTTTTGCTATTGTGTTTTTTTTCAAATTATAATAATATCTGTTTACAAATAAATAATTATTAGTTATAAAGCTTATGATTTTAAACAAGAAATAAATACAAATGAAGTATGTTTTTTTTAATTCGCGTTTTACCTGTATAAATATAATCTTATAACTTAAATAACTTAATGGAAAATTGTGTTTGACACAAACGCCGTATTATAATAGTTTAACTTTGACCTTTTAAGTCCAACCAATCAGGTAGCTGAAACAACTCAGTCGACTTGCGGCGTTATGGGGCGATGTGGACTAAATGGGGATTAACATTAAAGGAACCGGCAGCCCATGGAATGTTATATATTATTTATATTGTGTTAAATGATTACTTCTTTTTCACCATTTGGACCGTTGTTAAGAAATAATTCCACCAAGCCGGTTAAAGCATTTAAGGTTTGTATAATGATTATTTCATATTTTAATAATTCCACTAAGAAAACTCGTGGAGAAAAACCATCCGAGACCGGTTTAATTTATTATTTTTATTACAAGAAAAAACCTTTTTTTTAATGTAAAAACAGACTGTCAAAAAATTTAAATTTGACCTGAAATTCAAAATTATTTGGGTTGTCATCGTGAGATGATGGCCTACAATTTTCCAAAATATTTAAAACAATAACAAAATCAAAAATTAAAAAAAAATGTTTTTTTTATAATTATTGTTTGTTACTCATCACAGTACAGAGTACTCATAGTTCCAGCACTGTAAATAACTAATGTTAACTGTAAATTGTCATTTTACTATTCATACTCATTCCAACCGTAGTCTGTCATAGTCATTCACAAGGTTTTTTTTTAAGGGGGCGGGGAATTTTATTTATCATAACATTTTAATTTTTAATTTAACGTATGAGTAGCTGAAATTATATCTTAGATTGAGTCTTATTATTTATAAGTTGAGTTGACAGCCAAGCCCTACGCTGTAATGTCTCTAACTATGTCTATGATTAGTATTAGTATTATTAGTATGATTGATGCTATTTATGATTCATGACACATTTTCAAGTAGAGGTTTCCACTACCTAGACTTGTCGAATAATCTATAAATATAAATAGCTATAGTATAGCTCGCAGTCCGGAACAAATAAAGTTGTAAAATTAAAAAAAAAAACACCAAAAAAACCAACTTAATTAACTTAATTAATAAAAAAATACTTTCAATTAAAAAAAAACAACAACGTAAGACTAAAACAGATTATAATTATAATAAAAATGCTAAAAAGGATAAATCTAAAAAAAAATTGACTGAAAAGCTTGTTTTGAAACTGGACTTGGTCAAAATAATTGATACGTTCAGATAATGATTAATGACATAATAATAATAATAATATATCTTGTTCCTCTGTTTATTTACTTCTTTAGAATTTATGCTTTTTGTGTGTGTGTGTGTGTATATATATATATATATATATATATATATATATATATATATATATATATTATTTATATATAAACACTATATATTTTTTTTCTCTGTTTTTATTTTTTTTTAATATATATTTTTTGTGTGTGTGTGTGTGTATATATATATATATATATATATATATATATATATATATATATATATATATATTAATTATATATAAACACCCTGGAAAGTCCTAATTAATTCTATGATTTCAAGTTAAGCATACCTTGTCAGCCTTGTCCTTATTATAATTCAATATTTTAGCATAAAATGATGATAACATTAACTTTTATAAAGATGTTGACATTGTTGATCATAGGAATATGATAATTTACGTGTTATCCCTTTAAAAAAAAAATTGAGAATTTCTTGGTACCTATTTTTAGAAGACACCGGAATATTAAATCTTTATTACTTTCTCATATGTATTTCTTGTTATCCTTATAAAAGAGTACTAGTGTTCTTGATAATCATATTATATGTAAGAGTCTAGTATATAACCAGTTGCCGACAATGACAATTGGAAGGTGACATGACAGTCTCAAGAAATTAATGGTTGTAGTTTAGCCAAACTTATAGGATTATGACTACTAAATAATCTAAATTCGTGATTTTCTCTTTACTTAGGCCTGGGTAAGTTGTTTCAATGACGATGTTAATTTAAATTTAAGATGTATCATAATTAATTAATAATTATATAATTGATTCATATTATTTCATCATAATCATATAATCTATAATAATTATAATATAATCATAATTGGCTAAAACCGAGGACGGCTGCCACGGCGTCTTTTGTGTCTTTATTCTAGTTGAACTAGTTGCAGTAATTAGGGTTTAGGGATCGATTTAGGGCTAGGGTTCAGGTTAGGCATCCGCATAGGCATAGTCATAGTATAGGGATCGATTTAGGGATACATTCGAATTCAACTCATTTGTCATTAGTCATTAGTTCATTAGTGAAATTCGATAAAAAAAGTGGCAGGCGTCCCCATTTTTAACCTCATAATTTATTTTATATATGTAAATGACTCATACTCATATTAGTCATATTCACGCCAATTTTTGATGATATTGATATTATTATTATTTTGATTATAATCATCATCTTTATTTTATTTTTATGTCACAACTGTCAATTGTCAGTATTGACTATTTAAAAAAATGATTCAATATCATTGAATAAGTTATAGGCTTATTTGTTGTATAATTATGATGAGGATAATGTATTAGTATTAGTATTTATAATTTATTTTATTATATTACAATATTACAAGTATGTTAGATACTCAAAGTCATAGTTGTTACTTAGTGAAGTTAGTGTTAAACTACACATTTACTACACAGTGCTAGTTCATCTTCTAAAAGTAGAGGACACCAATCCTCTAAAAGTAGAGAACACACCACACATTTCCATTTTTAAATGTCCAAGACTGAGAAGGTACCAGTTTATAAAAACATGCATTCATTGACTTTGACATTAGTCTTATTAGTAGGGTAGGTATTTTTAGAAAATTTTCACTGCTTAGACTTAGGGCAGGGCTTAGTCCTTAGTAGTTGTAGTTACTTTTACAGTTACAGGCAGTCAGATGGTGCACCACTTAGTAACTTCACATCTTAAACTTAAAATTAGTTTATTTCTTAAAGTATGTTGTAAATTGGACATCCTGTATCAGTTTGTTATTGGCTTGTACCAGTAGGCTAAAATGTAAACAAAACAATAATATTTTTGACATGGATGGATGGACACCCTTCCCCCTTTTGTGTTACCCTTCACTGGCATCAACCTGTTTCAGTACTTTGGAGAAGGTTTCTGTCATTTTCCTGGATTTTGATTGGTTCTAAAGTAATATAGGCTAATGGCAATTGAATTTGACGATAGTTCTTTTCATAACTTGTTTTTTTATCTAATGAAATGTGCTAAAGATGAAATGCTTTATTAATTTTTTTGTATAGCCTAAAAGAGTAAATGATCAAACAAATTTTAATATTGTACACATGCCAGGGTTACCAATTCAATAAAAAAAAGATACGAACAAAACAGTACTTAAAAATTGTTACAGTCAATCACATTTTTTTTAATGGACACATTTTTAAAAATAAACTTTTTGAAAATGTGAAGCTAAAAAAATTCAATAATTGATCGTGGGCCCTTAAGATATAGAAGAAGAAGAAGAAGAATTGTGACAACAAAAAAAAATTGAGAAAGGTTTAGTTTAGATATCGTAAAAATAATACAAATATTTTTATTTAACTCTTTGCAAACTGATCTTTTGTCAGACTTAAGACATGCTTCAATTCTAGTGCATGAAAAAATAAATACTATTAAAGAAAACCATAAATATCTTCAAAACTAATAATCCTATACCCTAGATTTTGATATCATATCATTGAAAAAGAATTGAAAGCTAAATCAAAATATGAAACATGTAACTCAAATTTAGAGATATTGTTTAAAGACTTACTGTGAAGGAAAAAAAGATATAGGGGCAAGCAGTCTGAGTGCATCCAATTTGATATTTGGCATATCAGGAACCACTAGGTAAAGAGGTTATAGTATTGTTATAAATCAATTGTGGAAATAATATGAAACCATGCAGGGGTTAACTATTATCCATGCTAAAAGAATTAAAAGTACAGGTAAAAAATCAAACACATAAATATTTTTGCCATGATAATAATATTAATAATTGAAAAGAGTTAAGGTAGATAGCAATTTGAGTTCAGCATTAAAAAAAAAACCATAGTAGTAAGTTGGTTCCTGTTCTTTATGATTGCAGGCACTAAAGTTAATAATTCAGACCTGTTATACTCATTAATTTTTAGTTTAATTGGGCTTTGTTTACTACCTAATTTTTACATTATATTGATCAGGGAAATAAATTCATTGATTTTGATGTAAATAAAAATGTAATGCTCCATGTACAATTTTACTATTATCAGTTATAGACTAAAATAAAATATTGTTCATGCCAGTAGATAATCCTGTTTTTCTACTAAATGAGAACAGAGCAATTTTAAAAAATGAACAATTTGGTGGTAGATTTTTTGCTCTTGTGAAGTGCATAATCTTTTCATTTAAATTTTGTTGTTGTTAATGGTACAAGCTAAAACAAAATGAATTTATTAAATCAAACTGCTTTTTTAAAGAAAGGAACTACATGTGCATTATTGTGGCTGTAGTTTCTTGTCCATTACTCCATGTTTTTAATAAAAGCATAGTGACCTGCGACCCCCCTGATATCTTTAAATCATCATCACAGCATATACTCCTTCTAAAGCCCATTCGTTCATAAGCAGGCACACCTTATTTTGACTGGGATAAGCCTTAAAAGTGTATAATCTCATAAACTGACCCCACAAAATAATATGCTAAAGTAAGGCCATACCGCAAAATAATATCTTGAAATCCTGGCTTTTAAAAATAACTGTTGTGTAAGTAAAAGACTTTAAGATAGACTAATAAACATACAGTACATACAGTAACAGTATGTTATACCAACGTTCCCGAATTGGTGGTCCGCAGGTGGTGCCGGTCCATGATCCTTACTTTGCCGATCTGCACAACATTAGTCAAGAAACTTTGATTAGAGAACATTTTGACTCTCATTTGAAAACAAATTTTAAAAAATCTGGATTGTTTTAAGCATAAAAATACCCCACTTTGTACGCATCAAAAGGAGCCCGGGATGCTATTTAATGAACATTTTATGCAGCGTCACAAGATCATGCCTTAACTTGCAACTTCAAGTAATGTCTCTATATAAAAAATAAAGGTTGCCAGATAACAAACATAACTGCTGTAGAAGTCCACTGAATGCATGTAACTGAAGTGGATAGCACTGGTTTGCTATAATTTTCAGCTCCATTGATGCCCAAAAAATCTTGCATGTTTGTAGCGCATATTTTCAAAATATAACTGGTCATAAATGAACTTTTATTGAGCTGAAGGATTGAAGATGATTTTCACCACCATTAAATCACTACCTTAGCGATACTGATTTTTTGTCCATGAACATTATTAAAACATAGGACGTGAACAAAATTGATATTCATTCTCCTTGGCTTGTAAAATTGTCTAAAATTGAATCACCACTTAATTTGCTTATCAAAAAAGCATGCCCACATTTCTCATTAAATAGTTGCTGCTAGCTAAAATGTTTTTTTACCCTCCATTTGTTTTTTATTCCCAATTAAAGTTTAAGTTATTTAAAATTGTTTTTAAAAAAAAAGGAAAAACTCCCATTAAAGTTGAAGTTTTTGTTTTAAAACAGCCTAAAAAAACATATGTTAATGGCCAGCATTAAATTGTAAAGCTAATCGAGTTCTAGTGAATTGGCTGAATACATATAAAAAATATTTTATGAAATTTTAAGATACAGTTAAAAAAAGAACTATACTTAATAAATCTAGTACCAGTCCCTGTTGCAATAGGAAACTTTTTCACCAATCCGCCTAACTTCAAAGATTGGGTATTAGGCAGTTATTTTGTATTTCTAACATTACTGAACATTTCCAAAAATAGGTGACTGCGGCTTGGAAAGAAATACCTGGTCGCATTGTAATTGCTGTGTTTTTTAATGCTTGTTTTCTACTTTCAATATAAAGTAACAAGATTAGGTAAGTGCAGATAACAGTCTGGTAACTGTTGTTAAATATAGGTTAGGTGTTGGTACCTAAGTGGTATGTAAATGGGAGTTGTTCAGACTATTATTAAAATATATTTTTAAACTGACATTCAATGAAGGTACATTGATACACCTTATGCACAGCCAATCACATTAGTCACAAAATGAGAATAAAACTTATGACCCAATTTTGCACTGAGCTTTAAGGTGACTTTTCGGTAAATTACTTTTTTCTTCATTGTTTTCTATAATTGAATCAATATACCGAGAGAAAATCATACAAATCTCTATGAGCCCCTCAAAAGCATAACACCCCCTTTTCTCCCAGAAAATTTTTCCCCGAAATCCGGTTTAAGGAATGAGCATATTAATTATTATAAGTATTGTTGCATTTGACAACCTCACATAAAATTGATCAAAACCAACTGTAAACATTATAAGACTGAACATTATTTTACTTATACAAATTAATTTAGGTAATGATATTCAAATGTTTCTTTGTCCTGGGGGGACAAGCTGTGGCTATTTGAATTTAAAAATTTTAAAGTTTCGTTAACCCTTTACAACTACAGGGTTTTCAACTTCCAGTTTTAAGTTTATTTTGGATTTTGACCAATCTGAATTCCTGCAGGATTTTAGATGTTCATATATTAAGATTGTCTGCTTTAAAGTTTTTTGAAAAACTTATTTAGCACTGACTACCTGAGTATTGAATTAAGTTTTAGATTATTGCCTTGCACTACCCAATTCACAGATAATATCAAAAATTGAAAATGACCTTTTCTTTTGGGCTAGAATGACTATGTTAATATGTGTCTGTTCTGTGCTTATTGACTTTGCTCACTATCAATCAGAGTCTGATTTTAAGGCATAAAATAACTACTCTGACCCAAAATCAGAATTCAGAGAATAATCAAGTATTATCAAAATTCATGAAGTTTAAAAAAAATTATTATTTAAAAAAAAGGATTTGGCAACACTCTTCTACTCCTTTTCTCAGAGTTTAAAAGAAATGGGAACTAGCAATATTTAAAAGTGAGATAAAATTTAGTAATCAAAATTAAACATTAATATGTTTATGTGACTTGCAGCTAGATGGAAATTCAAAACAAGTTTTTGTGCCATATATTAACAGGCATGGTGCTAGTTAAGTGGTTAAATGAAATGAAACTATCACCAGAATCATCATTTATATTTACAGAATCTTATATTCACTATGTACCTTTGGGCTTTGTCCAGGACCACCACAAGTTGTTGGTGTATACAAAAACATAAAAATAATGATTTAAATATACATAAATAGAATGTGTGCTAATTTTGCTGACAATAGTGGTTAATAGTAGATTAATTTCTAATAAAGGTAGTTCCAATTAGTGCAGAAGCCATACATGTCAAGAATAATAATGTGTCAGTATACAAGTTATTGTCATGTTCCTCTTACATGGAAATTCTTTATTTTTATTGTTTCCATTTATTGTCTTGTTGTGTTATTCAAAAATTTCATAACTATGCTATTAGTTGTATAACTTTTGCACTGTTATGTATGACACTTTTTCCCCCTGCGTGAACTTTGCTTGACCCCTAGCCCACGCTACGTTCATAGATGGGCGTGGCCTATTTGTTTAATGTATCCTGTTTACTACCGATTTCCAATTAAACATGGTTAGTATGTCTATTAGTATCTCATGGAACGTTCTCCTTTGTATTAGAAAAGTAAAGGCGTTTCTAGACGCGTCGGTAGACCCACATATATAAATGATTGATAGACACAGAGAGGATGGAGATTGATAGATATTTTTAACTTCACGAGACGTGTATTATTCTTTGTGTACTTATATGTGTTTATTCGCATTGATCATTGGTCATTATTCATTGGCACATTGTACTAACTGTGTTAACTGTGTACCGGTACAAGATCTACCATACTGTAAGTTGATGATTTGTAATTATATTTCTTTTGTTTTGTAATTGTATTATTACTAAATTAAATCTTATTAATTGTAATTGGTACTGTTTTTGGTGTCGTACTTTTGTTGTTATTTTTCTATGGTATCGTCCTTTGTTAGGCACTGTTTGAACGAGCCATAAATTTAAAATAGGAGAATAATTTCTCACAAGAGAAGCCAGTGCGTAACAGCACATAATCATTTTTTTTATTAGTTAGTTATTTTTGCTGTCTTTTCAAAAAGTATATTGGTTGTTGTTTTCTGCTTTTCATCTTCTCCTGATTTTTCTACATGTATCCTTGCCCTTTTCTAAGTTGCTTTCAGTGGAGTCAGTCAGTCTCATAGCACTGGAGCAGATTTGACTGAGTAAGATTTTAATTGCAGTGTCAATTCAGCCAAAGTCCCTAAAATGTTTCAAGAAAATTCTCTCCGCTATTAAGATCAGATTTTTTTTATTTCTTCTTTAGATTATCAGATATTCACTAGTGCCAGGCATAATGCTGTCCCGTTTATTTCAAGCACATGGCCAGCTGTGTGCAAGCCATCCATGGGAAGTTTTAATTGGTACACTGACCATTACAATCTCTCTTATGTCTATGAGCCTATGGGCAATAAACAGTAAGGTCTGCGGTTGGAACTATGTGTGTCAAAATGAAGAGGTATGTATGAAAGTATGATACTTTGATAACTGGGAAAATAACATGGACATTATCTAAAATAAATAGAATTATGATTGATCCCACCCCATGACTGTTTTAAAAATATTTTTTTAGAGGTGATTATTATTAAGAACATTAGATAAGTTCATACAGCACTAGCTCTTAAAATCATATATAACAGATAAGATGAAATAAGGTAAGATTCTTTTATTGATCCAAATATTTTGAGATGTATTTTGATTACATTGTATATAATTCATTTTCAGCACTTGGATAATTTTCTTGATTTAGATAACTTTTAAGGCAGAACAAAAGACATTTTAAGTATCTCTCAATCTCAAAACTAGCCATCGTGTATCATAAATTCTGATTTCCATAACAACATTTTTTACTTTAAGGGGAATTATGTTATTTTGTAACTGCTGGGCAAGCATGCTAGTACATTCTGACTATTTGGGAACAGATGAATGTCTTTTTAGTCCTCACTTTGAGGGAAAGAATTTTATGATGTAGTTGGTGGGACGTATCCTCCAAAATTTTTAAGTTAAACAAAATCATATAGCTTAAAATAACTCTTCAATAAATACATGTGATTTAATAAAATCTTACGAAATAAATCACTCCAGTTTTATTTGGTCAAAAGTACAGGACTAAATGACTAAAATTATATTACTTTCAGGAGATGAAGAGCTCAGACATGATCATTTTGTCTCTCACACGTTGTCTTGCCATTATGTATGTTTATCTACAATTTAGAAATCTAAGAAAACTAGGATCCAAATATTTATTAGGTAAGTAAAATTAATTAGATTTTTTTCATGATCAGCATAATCCACTTATTCAACTCTTTTAATCAAAAACTAAAAAAAGAAATTAAAAAAAAAACAAAACAACTTTGTTAAAATTGAAGGGAAAAAAAATCAAGATATCAAAATCCCACTATGTATTTATCAGCTTGTAGTATAGCTCATCAACTAATTTTGAACTCAGAAAAATCCTGATGGATAAGTTAGAACTCTTGGAGAGTTATTTTTAAATTTGATTCTAATTAAACAAAGGCTCCTTGGGTGCCTAAAGCAGTGCAATATTAACCACAATAGGATAAAACTTTACATGCATTTTTTAGCTGACAGAAATAATAAATCTAAACAATATTTTCAACTAGATCACTATCATTGAGATAAAATTATATTTCAATATACAGAGAAACTTTACTATAGCACAATAATAAGGGTTCATTGTGTTTTACAATATTTTGGGATTTTCAACAAATAGGAAAATAGCTGATTTCGTTTTTGGTTAGTGATTTATGTGGTGTTGATTTGTGATTGTTATTCAAGAAAATACATTTTTTATACCATTTTGAAATAAAAAGTTTTTGGAGCCATGTCTTGACGGTGTTATTTGCAAATTTGCATTATCAGATGTTCTGTTATGTAATAAAAAACACCATGGTAGTCATAGAAGTGTTGAGACATATATCACATAATTTCTATGTTTGTTTTATTTACTTCATGGTAGAAACTGCGGAAAATTGTTTGTTTTTTTTAGAAATAAGATTTAATATGCAAAGATTTTATGTTGTGATCCACTGTAAGATTCGAGCCTTCTCCTGTGCCATTAATTATTGGACTTCAACAGTGATTTGAAAAAAATACTTTTGTTTTAAAGACAATATCAATGGATTTTGATATTCAGGCAAGTAAAATTTATTTTTATTTAATTGGCTATGTCTTTTAACTTACTAACAACATTTACTTGTTTTTTTTTCCTTTGTCTAACCTGCTTTCTTTTGGGTAGTTTAAAAAACTTTTTAAATTACATTTGTGTTTCAGTATAAACTATATTGAGTAAATTTATTTTAGAAGAAAGAATATAAGAATAAGGATGGGAAAATATATTCAACCTTTATATTTATTAATAATTGTTTTTAAAAATATTTTTCTGAACATTCTATACTTTACTGAACAGTAAATACAACTTTTAAGTTATTTAGACTGAAAAAATACAAGAGTCTGAATAATGCTTGCAGTGTTTAATTTAATACTCATTTATACAACTTATAACTTATAACCCTTATAAATAATGCACACAGAAAAACAACAGTTCAGGTTACAATGGTATTTTGTTCAATGTTCATAGTGCTGTTACAGTATATCGAGTTACCATGCTGTATTTAAAACATATAGAACAACTCATGACACAAATGCATTAATTTATTATATTTTTCTTATTCAGCTTATCGAGCCAAGAAAAACAGTTCGGTTAAGAGAAAGCAACTTTCTGAACTTGACACAGAACTACATCTATTGCATAGATCAATCATGTGGTGTTGGAAGTTATTACATCTTTATAGGCGATTAAAAAATTCCCAAAACCTGTGAACCTATGATAATATAACAAGCACATGTTAAATTTTATCAAATGAATTCATGATTATTCTTGAATGCATGACTGAAGATTACCCGTACAACAAATCTTCTATATTTTTACTTGACAATAATAGACATGATTCACTACAGCAAGAATAAAGTGGTGTTTCTGCCATTGCTGTCCATATTTTAATATTTAAGTGTAGAAGTTTCAAAAAAATCATCCGAAATAATTTGTTGTCATTGTAGCTCCTAATAAGAAACACCCTTACCAATTATAATTTTTTTTTTTACCACACTATGAAAACTGTTTAGAGATTACGTAAGATTTCATTCTTTGCCAACAGTGAATAGAGAAAATGAAAGGAAATTTGCCAGTCAGGAACAATCCAAAGAAGTCTTGCCTAATCAGATAGCCAAACAGATATGTCACCAGGTGGTTTCATCCACAGAACATAAAATTAATACATAATTTAATGTGCTAGAATTGAGTCTTAGCACATACCGGTATTTATATTTAGAAATGGAGATGTGCATTTGGTGGCTTTTAGTTGCTGGTTATTAAGGTAACAACTGATGATAGAAATGGGATCACACAAGGAATTTTCACTTAAATTTATGAAAGCAATTTTGCATAACAATTTGTGAATAATGTAAAATATGAAATTTTATATTGTTAACACATTTTTTTTTGTTTACACCTAACCTATTAATGGAAAAGTAAAGGCTTTATTACATGCTAAAGTTAAAACTTGAAAAACAAAAAATGCCTGAAGACAAGCACTAAAAAGGTGGAGTGTATTTGTAATCTTTAAATGCAATAAAAAAAAAAAAACTTAGTTAAATCAAAGATTATTTTATTTTAAACAAAAGAATTTCAAAACAATTCAATTTAATGAGCTAAATTAAATTAAATTGTCATGCAAATTAAAAGTTTAAAAATGCATAATTTTTATCCCGTTAAACATGTGATATGCATCTAGTGGATTTTTATTTTTAATTATTTATTTTTAAAACAAAAAAAACTCAAAACGTTTAGTTTATTAATTTATTTTTTTTAAAGTATTTGAGCTTCATTAAAATCTGTTTGTAGTGTTATAATAGTTTAAAAAAATTAGTTAGTTTTTATTTTTCTATCACCCTCTTATAATAACTTATCTTGTGAAATTTCTCATAATTTGAAGCCATCAAAATATTTATAAATTCCACACTCATAGTTTAAAGAATAAAAGATGAATTAAATAATTTATTTCTATGATCTGTGTTCGGATTGGTGTTACGATTGTTTCCATAAGAAATATGACTTTTTGAATTATTTATGGTGTTGTGTACTAGTTTTTAAAATCATGCATAAATCTAAATAGTAATACACCCCTAACGTCATACATGTTATTTTAAATAAGTACTTTTGAAATAAAGATAAATGCTTAAATACTTGATATGTCTTATTATAAAAATATATTAGAAAACATTGCTTGAAAATTGATTTTTAGAACTTGTAAATTGCCTTTAAAAAGAAGACTAGATCTACCGGGTAATTAAAAAAACTAATTTACTCTTTTTCAGGTTTGGCTGGTATAGTTACAATATTTTCAAGCTTTATCTTCAGTATAGCCATTGCAAATTTGATTGGTTTTGATTTGAATGGATTGAAGTGAGTATATTGCCTTTAATTATCATTTGAAAAAGATCATTTATTTTGTTTAAGAAGCTGTCATAAATAAATGAAACAACTGATATTTCGTTTAAAGGTATGGAACACATGATATATGTTTTAAACTGATGGGATGATGGATTTATGCACACTGAGTACAAAAATAAAAGATATCTCTAACAGCAAGCATGCTCTGTATTTAGTGATTAATATATTTAACATAAAGTCAAACAAGAAAGCTATTAGAACTTCATAGTTTCATTCCTAGATCTTTAATGACAGCTCACAAAAAAAACAATGTGGCTTCTGGCTGCAATAAACACAAATAATTACTCAATTATAATAAAAGGGAAGTAACTTTGACGATACAACACAATCATAATATAACAGTTCGCTTATAATCATTAGTCAACAATTTCCATTTCTTGATATGATTACTGAACTGATTCCTCCCTAATTTTTTTCAGTGAAGCTTTGCCATTTTTCCTTTTGCTGGTGGATCTGTCTAAAGCCAGTGCTTTGGCTCGCCTTTCACTTACTGCTGCAAATCAGCTTGAGCTTCAGAAAAAAATAGGAAGGGGAATGGCTATTATTGGTCCATCAATTACTTTGGATGCAATAGTTGAGACTCTGGCTATTGGGGTTGGCACTCTGTCTGGTTAGTTGCATTTTAATTCTCTTAGTATTTGAAGATCAAAAACTGAATTTTGAAATTGTTAAGTTCTTACTGGTAAAAGTTAAGATCTACAACTAAATTTTGATTGCCTCCTCATTCCCAGGCGTCAAGCAACTGGAAACCATGTGTTGTTTTGGCTGTCTCTCAGTGATTGCTAACTATTTAGCTTTCATGACCTTCTACCCAGCCTGTTTATCCCTTGTGCTTGAAGTAAGTCAATAGATATAGAAGTCTATAGATGTAATAGAAAAAATGCTCTTTGTGGGGGATGCAAGACATATGCACAAAATGAAGCTTATTAAGGCGATATGTATGAGAGAGAAGGAATAGATTCAAGATATTCACTGAAGGTAAATGCTAACATCAGTGTTGCAAGAGACAGAAATACCATCTTTCTTAATGCAAAGAAGGATAGTTAGAATAAAAGTAAAATTGAAATGAAGCTTAAGTCAGGTTTTGTCCTGTAAATGCATTCCATGAAATTTGACATGGAGGCCTTCTTGTCTCGGATGCAAACCTTCAGGCCCTTAATAACTCAATTTAAAATCATGTTTCCTTTAATCCCTAAAATGCCACCTTGCACAACCTGGAGATGATAGCATTCAAGGTTTTGGTCTGAGACAAACTGGTCTTTTATTATACTTTTCCGGGTATTTCAGCCATTTGCTAATAAATCATCTTAAAAACATCTCCAGGTATCTAGGGACCGCAACCAAGGCAAACCTTTGCAGCAATTACAGCAGCTGGCTAAAGTCCTTCAAAAGGAAGAGGAGGAGAAGAAACCTAATCCTGTTACTCAACGAGTTAAAATCATAATGGTATTAAAATAATGTTCCATTAACACAGTTAACAATATATACATTTTAAGACATTTTATAAGTTTATAATCAAATGATTGTCATAATATTGAAAATTAGTATACATTTATTACAATTATATTTTTTGGCAAGTGACAGAAAATTTTATCTTGTTAATGTTCTACTTAAAGAGTTGACATGACTGACCATTACTTTGCACACTAAGTAATTTTGATATTTACATTTGTTTTATTACTTGATTGTCTTCAGTCTGCTGGATTGGTCCTCGTGCATGCACACAGCCGATTGATTGCTGAAACTAATGCTGCTGCTGTTAGTGTTGGTGGACTCATGTCAACTGGAGATCAACCTATTCATCCCTCAATTCCACTTTGGAAATTTTATGTCAGTAGGTGAGTACATTGCATTTCTTGTTTGCTTCTGTGGGAAAAGTATTTGACCCACAGCATCAAGCTGGAAAGAATTCTTATTAAAATAATTTCCAGCTATTTTATTATTTTTGTGTTGTTATTATTCATAGGAGTTTAAAAAAATAAATTATTTCATATTTCTTAAATGCAATAATAAATAAAATGTGACCTTTTTCAGATTTCTTACAACTAACTTTGACTATGGTATTACGTTAGCACTTGGTGCAGCCCTAGCAATCAAATATGTTTTGTTTGATGACAAAGTGGATCAGGAAGTACAGAAAATGCTCAAGGCGCAAGATGCCAGTGAACAGTTGCAACCATGGTCTAGGGGACAATGTAAGTCAAGGGAATTACAATAATAATTTTCAATTTTTTCTACAAATGCCCTTACTTCAATCGAATAAAAAGTCGTCAATTTATTATCTACGGCAAAGGTTTCCACAATAAGAGTATTTCATGAATTTAATGGATATCAGTTGTGGCTTGGTTAATTTTTGTTGTGCAATAACTGGTGCATTTGTGATAAGTTTGAACATGGATAGACATAATTAATTTTAGGATATGGAAGAATTATTTTTTAATATAACTTATGTATTTCTGATAGATAGTTGTGGTCTAAATTCTAACTGCCTTTAAATACTTCTTTGTTTGCTCAACAGGCAATGGTGTGAAAAAGGTAGCTTCTGAAACGGCCCATCACGTCACGGAAGTAGTAGAAAAGGCTCAACAGATGAAAGCACTGGAAGTAGATGAAAAACAATTGAAAGCAGGGTTTAATGAAACACCACAACTGAAAAAAACAACAGAAGCAAAAACAGAACAGGAGATGGTTGTAAAAAACTCATCCCAAATAAAGAGAGAGGCATTACACAAAGCTGCCTTCTTTCTAGGAGCACAGGAAGGGGAGGAAAACAGCAGTTCAGAGGAAGACACTAAAGAGGAGACTGACAGAACTTACATTAATAAAGAAACACAGACAAATGGTGACCTTATTTCTAATGACCAGACCCAAATCAGTGGAGCCTTATCCAAATTTTTCTATGTGCCTAAAATATCAGACAAGGCTCCTCGATCCTTGGAGGAATGTGTTTCCATTATGAACTCTGATGTGAGTGTAAATCCATATCACTAATTACTTAAACACTTTTCCAATTACATAATAATTTTATATCTACTGAGCCTTTTATTTTTCATGTGAACTGCTTGGTTTTAATACTGCCTTGACAAATCTCATTACTCAAGTTTCCTTGTTACCAGGAAGGTCCTGATTCTCTTACTGATGAAGAAATAAAAATGCTTGTGAATTCTAAGCATATTCCTGCATATAAACTTGAGAACATGCTTGGGAACCACATAAGAGGTGTTGCCATCAGGTAAGGAAATCATGATGCTGTTACAATTTGTTTCTGTACTAAAATTCCCACTTGCTATTGATTCTTTCAAAATTTTATTTTTAAATTAGTTAGGCTAAGGTTACAATATTTACACTTAATATAGCTATGAAGCTAGCTTAATCTAATTAAATTTATAAACATAAATTGCATAACACAGTACAAAGGATGTACTTTCTTCTCAATGGTTGCTGAAAACATTGTTCTGGCGGTCAAATTATATATTCCAAACACTGTATTCAAAATTTCTTATATTAGTAATTAATAAATAGAGTTATTTTAATTTTTTTAAAATATGGTAGATTTATAAAAATGTTACGATTATTTCAGACGTCAGATGTTGGTTGCACAGCTATCTTCAAAATCTGCTCTGGATTCTTTGCCTTTCATGCACTATGATTATAAGTTTGTAAGTATAAATATTTTGTTCAACTAAAGTGTAGTTATAATTAACCAATTCGATACCCATTTACAGCAGTGTGCGTTACCCTGATTTTGTTTGAATACGTTTAACCACAGAATGCGACATCACTGGTTTGTTTCATGGCCTTAGGGTTTTAACTTTTACATTCAACTATTTTATTTATAGCTTTCTAAACTTTTATTCAGAAAAGTCTCAACCTCCTTTGTTTGAAATTTCTGGCGGATTGTACTACTTTAGTGTATTATTTGCTAGTTCTTTCACGTTTTAAATATTGTAAACAATCATCAGCTAATTGTAATGGCTTCAACAAGTTGTACTGATACTAATATTAGGTCTGCTCGCTCAAGATTTAGATGTATGAATGTCGAAGAAGCAGGCCTCTAGCCACAAAGAAACCAAAATTATGCCAAGGTAAAGGAAAGGAAAATATGGTATCACATCTAGTTGACCAACTAGACCTAGTTCTACAGTTATATGAAACTTAGGCTTAACTCAAAATGCAAGGCAGAGGTCTAGCTCTAATCTCACTACAGAGTCTGAGTGGTCAGAAGTTAAAACTGGACAAACTGAAAACAATTTTCGATTTCACCCACTTAGAACTTCTGGAGTTTGTCTAAAGCTACAAAATATTGAAAACCCTACTCCTATCGATTTCTTCAATGCATTATTTGATGATAAGGTCATAATGTAAAGGATTACATTGTTGAATCAGTAAACGCTTATGGCAAAATAAATGTACAAGTTAACAAGATGCTCTGTATTTAGTAGATGGAAGGACATATCAAGACATAAACTAGATAAGTTCATAGCCGTTTTGATTTATATGGGGATGTATAAAAGGCCAACTCTTGAGGATAATTGGTCTGTGTCTGCTGAATCCTATATCCCTTGGATACACCATGTATTTAACAGACAGGGCTTTCAGGACATTCATCACTCCATGCTACACTGTGGAGATGAAACATCCGAAGGCAAGGATAACATTAAATCTTTTATGAACCTACTCCTGAATAAGTTCAAAAATGCATTTGACCCCTTTCAGGAACTTAGTATAGATGAAATAGTAACAGGCTATAAAGGCAGATGGTGGTTTCAACAATACAATGTCAGTAAGTCTAGCAAGCACCACATAAAAACATTTGGTCTGTGCAATTCCTTCACTGGTTATGTTGTAGACATTTTGACATATTTTGGTGCAAATACTTCATACTAAAGTAGATAGATATGAAGGAGAAGCTGTCCAAATTTTTCACACTCTGCTTCATCATGTGGGTACTGGTCACAAAATTTCCTTGCTAAAAATCAATAGTATACTGTAGGCCTGCACAACTCAAAATGTAAGGTGGGCCATAATACTTTATAAAAAACTTGTGCGGGCCGTAAGAATTTATGTAAAACTTGTGGGGGCCAAAAGATAATAGGACAGGGGCAAAAGCTATTAAGAAAATAATAATAAAAGGAATGTTTCGTTACTTCGCGGGCCACCAAGTGGAGGCTCGCAGGCCGCAGGCGGCCCGCGGGCCGTATGTTGTGCAGGCCTGGTATACAGGAACGCTTAACATTAACCATGTTGGCTTTCCACTGGTGGTTAAGTCTTTATCTTTACAACACAACTTAGCAATTTCTTGAGCTATTGCAACAAAACTTTCCTCATACTTTGGGTATATAATAAGGCTTATTTGATGAAAAAATGATCTCTTTTGGATTATTCTTACCTGACTTATGCGCTGGTGAGTAGAAAAAAAAAACATATTATCCCTTAAATTTTTCTCTAAATAATTTTTGGTCACTATTTTATAAATAAAAACATATTCCGGGTTTAATTAGCTAAAGTCTGATATGCTACATGACAAAGGTTTGATAAGCAGAAAGAGGGATTTTAGGTTAAAAATCATCAGGTTGAATGGAATTTTAGTCCCATAATTTTACTACCTTCCACTGAAAAAATATTACTGAATGGGTTAAACTTTAAATGACTTAATTACAAAATTTTATCAAATGTTCCACATTAGAAATCCCAAACAAAATTTTAAAATATTGTTTTAAAACTAAGTAATGTGTTTTTAAGCAGTTCATATTGCACATTTCCCCCCTTTCTCAGTATGTCACCCTTTTACAACACTAGCAATCCAACTTCCCAGGTCAGAATGGTATATTAATATTCTAATATATGTACCCACTAGACAACTCCACTTATCCAATAGTGGCAAACTCTTGATACCACGTGTTTACCTTGAGACTTACGGAAGGCACACATTTGCATTTGCTGGCTCAACAATTTGGAACACACTTCCTGTCGCTCTTAGAAACAGCCAGACAGTCTTTCAAAACCGATTTGAAAATATATCTATTTTGCAAACACCTGTTGGGGTGATGTTGTCTACCATCTTTTCCAGCTAGCTTAGATTGGGTATTCTTGTATGTAGTTTTTGTAATGTTGCGTTCGTATTTCATGTGGTAAAATATGGATTTTTCTTTTCTCTTTTAATATGGATGACTTTGTACCATGCTTCGAGCCTTTGGGGATGAAGCGTGATTTTCAAATAAGTTTTATTATTATTATTATTAATATCCCATTCTAATAGGGTTTCTCTATTCACCCCTTCGACAGCTTTGCTCCTCCGCAGACACGTGTATTCTGTCTGTTCCCAAGAAAACTAAAACATGCTGAACGATCTTTCTCTTTCTCCGCCCCCTAACAATGGAATTCTCTCCTACTACACATCCTCAATATACAGACAATACAGACCTTCAAAACTGCACTCAAAACATATCTCTTTAAACTCTACTATCCCAACTGATTCCCCCCTCTTACCGATAAGCAATGCTGCTAGCTACATTCAATAGCTTGACTTGTAAAATTACTGGGGTGGGTGGGGTGAATTTACATTTGTTTTTGTTTTGTTGTTATACAACTGTTTCTTAAATAAATAAATGTATTTTCTTTTTTAATGTCAGGATTATGTTTGCTAATATTTGTATGTACAGTGCTGTGAGCCCAGCCTAGGCAGGGGTACAGCGCTATATAAGACCAGTATTAATAATAATAATAATAATAATAATAATATAGTTCTAGAAGTAGCTAGGACAAAATGGTTGCCTAGGAACAATCCCCCTCACAGGCTGTATGATAAATTCACTTATATGGGCTGCCACTACCACCTCAAACCTCATATTTGTCAATGTAATCATGGTCCCTATTCTGTTTCTGCCGTTATTTGTAACTGCTGTTAAAGCTGCATCTGGCAAAGGCTACAGTTGGCACTGTTCGGCAGTTTGCGGCAGATGCCATGCAGGACCTTTGTCTGCCCAAGCAGGTCTCAGGCATGGAGGTGATGAACCCCAGGTAGGGCTTAGGGGTCAGTGGTAGAGCCTCTAATAAAAAGTTCCACAAAAGACATGGGGAAGATGAATAAAATGTAACATTCTTCTCTGGTTTAATAGCAATTTTATACATCATAGTTTCCATTAACTTTCCCTCCAGTTTATTAGAACAGACATAAATCATTAGAATAATAATATATTTTACTTTTTCTGGATACTACTCCAGTAAAGTGGACAATTATTTCTCAGTGTGTGCAGCAAGAAACTGAAGAATTTATATGTGCTCTTTTTGGTTTGCAGTACCTTTGCTTGAGGATGGCAAATATGGCAGGAAAATTACCATGTTATCAACTAATAGTTCTGGAAAAATGTTACTTGATTATGAATGTTAATAAAACTCATTTAGCAGAGATAATCGGTTATAGACATATAATTCTAAACTGTTTATATTTTTTTTTAAAATGTCCATCAAGCATTCCCAAAGTTCATTTACCATTTATTCCTCACACCAAGGTCTGATCCAAATGATATATTTGAATGCTTCTTGATGGCATTTAAAAGCTCATCTATTTTTAGAAATGCCAAATGTTATCAGAGAGTAAATTTGAAAGTTCAAATATTTTTTTGGCAATTTATTGACAACCATCACCATTTGTTCACTTCAGTTAACCTTTTGCACACACCCAACCCCAGAGTGAGGTATTTTATGATGTGAGAATTTGAGTACCTGATTTGCTGTATTTCAAAATTGTTTACTCCAACCAGGTGGAGGGAGCTTGTTGTGAAAATGTTGTTGGGTATATGCCTGTACCTGTAGGTATTGCTGGGCCACTGTTGTTAGATGGCAGCCTTTACCATGTTCCCATGGCAACCACTGAGGGCTGTTTAGTTGCCAGCACAAACAGGGGATGTAGAGCTCTTCAGGTACTTGGAAACAAGCTGCACAGTTTTTAAGCTGATATTATAAAATATCTGTTTGTGTTTTTAAATTTAAAAATTATGTCTAATAATTATTTTTTATCTGAATACATTTTCGACTTGAATATTTTTATTTTTACGTTCCTCATTTTATAAAAAAACTTTCTTGTTTCATTCCATTTATGGTTAAATATTGTTTAAAAAATTATTTCGAACCAGTTAATGGCATAGAAATGTCAAAGTTTTACAATAAATTTGTAATACATATTCAACAGTTGAGCGGTGGAGTATCAAGCAGTGTGACAAATGATGGGATGTCTAGAGGACCTGTTGTTAGATTTCCTACAGCTTTAAGAGCCAGGTAAAGTTTTAAACACATCGTGTATATTATTTATTAATTATATGAAATAAAAACAAGTGAGTTCAAAAGTGTGATTACAAATTGCCACTTCTGCAATAAAAATGTTCAGGAAATAAATTTGATTCATCATAACAATTGATCCATTTTTAAAATAAATAATTTATTCTTTTCATTTTAGTGAGGTCAAACGGTGGTTGGAAATTCCTGATAATTTTGAGCTAGTGAAAGAATGCTTTGATACTACTAGCAGGTATGTAATAGTTAATTCATAATATTGCTTTGCCTTCAAATGATCTTAAAAAAATGGCTCAAGATAATATTTTTCTTTTTGCTTTTTTTAACTTGAGCAATTATTTATATTACTATTTACCGATTGATTCGATACATATCTAAAGGTCTTTTTTAATATAGGGAGCACATTTTAGGATGAATTCAAAGCCTATTTTAGTCTATAGATTTAAATACTCTCCTCTGGCAGCATTTTTTGTGGTAAAAAAATTATTATTTAATTAATACGCAGATTTGCTCGCCTTAAGAAGCTTCATATAGCCATTGCCGGAAGAAGTCTATACATCAGATTTGTATCTTCTACTGGAGATGCCATGGGCATGAATATGTTGTCTAAAGTAAGTAGACTAGAGCAGTTAAATCTAGGTTACCCCCCTTGACACTCATGTATCTCTTATCACTTAATTAATATTTGCTTCACACTTTTAAATGATTTATTTTTACAATGTTTATGAAATCCTTGATTTATTGCAGGGCTCTGAGAAGTCATTGCTAATGTTAACAGAAAAATTCCCTGACATGGAAATCATAAGTCTTAGTGGCAACTACTGCACTGACAAAAAACCTGCTGCAATTAACTGGTGAATACATTTTTTCTATCACTTTAAGCATCAAATCTACACCACATTTTTTTGAAGAATTATGAGGAAAGTACAAGGCATAAATTGCCCCAGATGTCTTTGCATTACTTAACATATTTTTAAAAGAATGTTTAATAAAAATGTCAACTGTGTTCACAAGGCGTATTTAAATTTAATTAGTTTCTACAACTCTGTATCAGGCCTTAATTCTTATGGACCCACTTTTGCCTTAATTGTTCAGTGCCCTCTCCAAGTGATCTTGTAAAAATTAAAACAAGAAAAAAGCTATGCCCTTTGCTTAGACAGTTTATCCAAGTATTTAATATTAAAAGTCAGCTGTGCAGGAGTGGGTAAAAAATATTAAAATTTTCCTTTTTTCCCTATTTCCTGTTATATTGAATAATTTACTAAAATTTTCAGGATTGAAGGCCGTGGCAAATCTGTAGTTTGTGAGGCAATAGTGAAATCGCAAGTGGTGAAAAACATTCTTAAAACAACAGTCCCAGCTCTGGTTGAATTAAACATTAGTAAAAATCTTGTAGGATCTGCCATGGCAGGTAGCATTGGAGGTTTCAATGCACATGCATCAAACATAGTAACAGCCATATACATAGCAACTGGTCAAGTAAGTTACCTTTAAATAGTTTTATAAATGTCTTCATAAAAGAATGCACATTTCAGTCTTCATTTGTTGATATTCATCTTGACAGGATTTTTTAAACTAATCATCAATGTATATGCATCCACACTCACATGTATATATTTTTTGAAGGTCTCAGGCAGGGCAACATCATCACAATTTTATAGTTGCACAGCGGGGGGGGGGGGGGGGGGGGGAAAAAATTTTCTAAAATTACTTTTTGAGAGACAACTATATTGTACTTGAATTTAAAAATGTAGCTAAAAAATAAGTAAAAAGTATATTTTGAAGATTTTAATAATGAGTATTTAAAAATTGCTCAGTTGCTTTGTTACTTTAAAAAGATTCTTGATGGAGGAGAATAAAAAGCCAGATTTGGATTTTAAATAAAACTGCAAACAATATGAAAAGGTAATAAAATGTTTGATTGCATCTGTTTTGAATCTGTTAAGGACCCAGCCCAGAATATAGCCAGCTCTAATTGCATTGTTCTGATGGAGCCTTCTGGACCATTGCAAGATGATCTGCACATATCTTGTACCATGCCATCCATTGAAGTTGGCACAGTAGGAGGAGGAACAGTTCTTCCACCACAAGCTGCTTGTTTGGAGGTGATATTATATTTTTTAATTCTTGATATTGTGATATGAAGTAAGATGTTTAATTTATGATGTTGATAATTATTTGACTTGTAATTTATATGTAATAATTTAAAAATTTGTTACAAATTTTAAAAAAAATGAACAGGGTGGGTGTCACGGATAATAATGATTTACAAGGGAGTTAAGTGAGGTGAGAATTATGAGTTGTAATTTATAGAGTATGGGACTTGGTAAGACGAACCAATCAGAGAAGAGGAGTACAAAGAAGGTGGAGAATATGGCGGTTATTATTAAGACCATATTATTAATATTATGTGATAAGATAATGAATATATTGTGATTGTGACATTATCAAGTGGAGAAGATTTACTCTAAGTCTGATATTAAACACTGCATAAACCGACTAATCAAGAAAGCTAGGAACATAACACAAACTAAACATCCTACACTTGAAGAACTATATGAAGAAAGATGTTTTTGTTTTGTAAAACTAAACACATTTTGGATGATACATCCCACCCTCTTCATCACAGATGCTTAGGATCGGGCCTTTCGGGTCGAATTCTTTCCATCAGGGCGAGGACTGACAGATATAAAAATTCTTTTGTTCCCCAATCTGTACGAATTTACCGGCGTGCTTCCTCTGAAGTCACACATCTGAATAAGAACTAATAAGTCCTCGATTTTGCTAAGAGAACTCACTGTATGGCTGTTTGAAATAATTTACTATAAATGTCTTGTGTTCAAATTGTTTTATTTTTGTGCTGAAAATGTATAATGCAATCAAAAAACATTTCCATTTATTTGGATCAATAAAAGAATCTTATCTTATCTTATCTAACTGAGCAATTTGGAGAGACCATGTGAAAATGGTTCACCAGTAAAATTAATATTATAGCTTTTATTGCAAATCTAGATAGCTCACGTTAATGAATGTAAATTATATGTATAAATACAATTAGATTTTGATACATAGATAAAAGTGAGTTGCCGTTGTAAAATGGTCAGTTATGACCCTTAAGGTCCATAGTGATCACATCATTCATTATGAAATTTCAACTAGAACTAGTAGAACTGAATGAGCTTTACTGTAACTCTTCTTATGTTTTAGATCCTTGGTGTGAAAGGTTCACATAACCAATGTCCTGGGACCAACGCTAGCCGTCTGGCACAGATCATTTGTGCTACTGTTTTAGCTGGAGAGCTATCTCTCATGTCTGCTCTTGCTGCTGGTCATCTTGTTCAATCTCATCTGAAACACAACAGGTTTGTTATTAATTGCTAATTTTTTTCATTCTCTGGCATTTTTTATTTGCATTCTCATTTTTAAATAATATGGTTTAGTTAGAGGAAATTATATGAAAGTCCTATTAAGTTCATTTAGTTTTTTTCAGACAGTTAAAAGTAACATCAATAAAAAAATACCTGTGAAAAGTAATTAAAAAGGCTTTCTTAGTTGCCTAAATTTGCAGTAATAATTGTCAAGATTAAATTTGTAAAAACAAAACAAATTGCAACGACAAACTGAAAGAAAGCAAATGTTAGCTTTAATTTTTTAAAATTAATATTTACAAAAAAGTCAGAGAAATGACATTTTTTTTATTAATGTACCAGATTATAAGCCCTTATTTAGCTGCTTTAACAAGTTTATCAAATTTTATTTTCAGATCTACCTTAAATATGGCCCCTACAGCTGTTAAACCCAGTGAAGTTCCTGTATTGAAGCATGCTGCAACAACTCCTGGAATGTGCACCAATAAAGCTGCATAACTTGCATTCTTCTAAAATAAACAATTTTAAGTAAATTCATATTACTTAAAACTGGTTTCTCTTTCCCTATATCTTGATGACTTATTGTAATGACTGGGATGAATCATTTTCTTCATATATACCTTTTTGAAAAATGATGAATGTTTTTAAAATGAATTCTTGAAATTCTTCACTCCTTATCAAAAGTGTTTAAATTTTACAAATTTGAATGCTACTTAATTTGAAATAAACTTATAAATTATTAGATACAGGAAAAAAAAGTAACGAGGGAATGATTGTGTAACTAGGAAGTTTTAAACACAATCTTTAAAACCACAGTGTCAATTAATTTTAATTTACTTATCTGATTTTAATATAGTTTTAAAATTACTAGTTGTGATAATTATTTTATATTGTAAGTGTAAGTTGATTAAAACTTTTTTTGAAGCTACATTTACTCTGAGGTTTTGTTGCAGGCATGTAACTCAGGCTTAAATTTCATGTCCTGACAAGGAATATGTCTTATGAAGGTGTTTACACCGTGGCACAATTTTGCAACTGCAGGCAGGACTTTGGTTTGAATGCTACAATTATATTGCGAAGAAAAAAACCTATAAGAGAAAACATGTGCATGCACGTTTATTTTAATTATAATAAATAATTAACTATTTCACTCAGTGGGGTTTGAGTTTAAGGTGACTACACATTAAAATGGACCTTGTGGGATCAACTGGATGATCTTGACTTTGCTGATGATCTTGCACTTCTTGCACATACCCAACAACAGATGCAGGAGAAAACAAACATTGTCGCAGCCACTTCTGCTAGCATGGGTCTCAACATTCACAAAGGGAAGAGTAAAATCCTCAAGGTTAATGCCACCAGTACATCACCCATTATGCTTGAAGGAGAAGCCCTTGAGGAGGTGGACAGTTTTGTTTACCTTGGCAGCATGGTAGATAAACAAGGTGGTACAGATGCGGACGTCAAAATAAGGATAGGAAAAGCAAGAGCAGCCTTCCAACAACTCAAGAATGTTTGGGTCTCTAACAACTTAGGCAGCAAGTTAAAAGTAAGGATTTTTAACGCTATGGTAAAACCTGTGCTGCTATATGGAGCCGAGACATGGAGAACAACGGCCGTAAACCTGACCAGAATCCAGTCCTTCATCAACAACTGTCTAAGAAGGATTCTCAGAATTCACTGGCCAGACAAAATCAGCAACCAGGAACTGTGGCAGCGGACAAAACAGAAGCCCATTGAGGAAGAGATTCTCCAGAAGCGGTGGAGGTGGATTGGTCATACACTAAGAAAACCTGCTTCTAACACAACAAAGCAAGCCCTGAAATGGAACCCACAGGGTAAGCGGAAAAGAGGCCGTCCAAGAAACACTTGGCGCCGAGAATTGGAGACAGACATCAAGAAAATTGGCCATGAATGGAAGATCCTGGAGAAGCTGGCCCAGGATAGAGATGCCTGGAGGTCTCTCGTAGGTGGCCTATGCCCTTGGAGGAACCGCAGACGCCGACGATGATCGGTGGATGCCCCTCATGGACGAGAAGGCTCAACTTAACACATTAAAATGCATTAATGGGTCAGGGATTTGTGCCAAAACATTAACAATGTCTCGTTCTGTACCCAGTATTTGTTCCAGTGAATAGGAACATGTCTTAGAAACTTTTGACTAGGCATTTGTTACTGGCACATGTGGCCATACAAATATTGCAGCCAAAATTGCCTCATTGTGAACGCAGCTTTAAATTATATAAAAATAAAGCTGTTAGAGTAATTTTTTTAATTGATGGTTACTCCAAGAATTCTCTAATACTTGACAACATTTTAAACAATTGTGATTTAGAAATGATTGTACCCAGTTTAAAATCTGATCTAATTATAACCACACTAAACGCCTATTTGTTTGTGCCGTACCAATAATAAAGTGGTAAATGTGTTAAACAACCTGTTTCTGTGGGGCTGCTTTTTGGATACAAAATACAATTATGTTAAAACATTTAAACAAAGATTACAAAAAGAAAATTATTTATGTTATCGTTAAATATAGATGAAAATTTTTGAATAAAATGTTATAAATATAACATCCTTAAACCAAATTTTGCAGTGCAGTAAGGTAAATAATATAGATATGAAGAGAATTAATTAAAATGATTTAAATTTTCAATAAAGCAGACCTTTTTGAATATTTCTGGATATCAAAGTTTGAAAGTCATTCTTGCTTGGCTCCTTTTCGTAGATGTTGTTTTCAAAAGAAGTTATGTTCTTGATTATTCAAAAAACAATTTTGTATCAGATTTTTTGTGTGGATTCTTTAACATTTTGTATCATTTTTCTCTTCTTCAAGTTTGAAAACGTTTATAAATTGCTTTTTAGTTTATGAGCTTGACCAAAACTAATACAATTAATTATTTTTTAAAGAAAAATTTGTATTGTACAGTTTAATAGTGTGTTAACATTTATGTGAATAATATATAAATAATATATATATATATAGTGTGTTCAAGTTAATATGTTAATAAATAACATGTTTTTTCAAACTACTCCGCCACATACATCCTTCATATTTTAGGTATGTACAAATGAGCTCTCTACACCTCCCAAAAAATAATTTTAGCCCCTACCTAAAACCTTTATTTCTTGTAGAATATCTTACTTTTGATCAGTAATATGGAAAAAAAACGTTATTTTCTTGGAATTTAAACTTTTTCAATGTAAATTAAAAATGCTACTTTCATATCCTTGAAAAAGGGTAAACATTTATAATCTTTTATTGTTATCCATTCCAGGTAAATGGGAAAAAAGGAAATATTTTGAAAATATTTTATTTTTTAAAAAAATACTGATATAAAGAAATTTTTTGTTGTTGCAATAATCTGATTACTTAGCATTTCATCCAGAACCATGTAACGACCCTTTAATACAGCTCCTCATGTTGTGGCGACCCCCCAACCTCAAAATTATTTACGTTGCTACTTATAAAGGTAGAGTATATGTTTTTTCCGATGGTCTTAGGCGTCCCCTGTGAAAAGACCATTCGACCCCCAAAGGGGTCGCGACCCACAGGTTGAGAACCGCTGATGTAAAAAATAGCACATGACTACCAGCTTGGCTTTGTATTAGTTGCAAACAAAACTTTGGATGGATTGGGTATCACTAAGATAAATTTGCATTTTAAGAAAAATTATGACAGTGTGTTAAGATTCTATGATGGAGATAATTCTGGCATAAGTAAATGTGTTGAGATGACTCCTCCCACCCAATACAGTTTCTCTTTCTCTGACCACACACCACTCACATATTTCCGCCCTTAATGGTTACATCATACATGAATTACTCTAACCTTAAATTATATAATGTTATGTTATTCATGTATGTTGAGCTGGTTTACTGCTAGACATTTGAATGTTGTAGGTTTGTATCCCTTTTTGTATTGTCTGTGCCAGAGGTTTGTAACAATTTTAACTCTCTTGTTGCATGATGTAATGTCCCACAAATGGCATTGGTATCTAATGTATTTCAACTTCTCTCATTTGTTGATTGAAAATATTGAGAGAAACCAAGAAGCACAAAATAACATCTTGTCACCATCTTAATATTTTCTTTAATAAAAGAAAAACAAAGCAACTTGTACATTCAATTGAAGATTAATTAAGCTTCAATGTAATTTATTTAAACATGTAAAAAAAAAAAAAATTAAAAAGAACACCAAATAAAAGGACGCGGTTTTGATCATATGCAAAATTATTACCGGTACTTATAAAATAAATTTTGAGCAATATCCGATTTAATAGTTATACATACTTCAGGGTAACATGTACTGTGGGCAGAACTGATAAGTAAGAGAACAAAAATTGTCTTGTTATGTAGTTTTAGATAAAACTTGTGTGTCTGCTATTTATTTAACATAAAAACAATAAACCTACTTTGCATAAATTAAGCAATGGTAATATATACTCGTTTATATGGTAAAGAAAATAGTCTGATGCAGTGCTATCTTTGATAAAATTATTTATTTCTCAGTCCTCAGAAAATACCTTTGTCAGCTTTAAATTTATGAAGTTAAAGTTTTAAAATTATGAATTATTATCCAAGCGTTAATTTTAAACATAGTATAGTATTCTCATATTGTTTCAAAAATTACTCTTTGGTCCTTATTGCTGAGCTAAACGTGTAATCCATGTTTTATCTATACGTTTTATATTGTAATTGATAACTTATCTCTCTATACATACACATTTGTAAAAGAAATTTTTTTATGTATTGACATTTCCATTTCTCTGGGGTAAAAATGCAGTATTGTATAAAAAATGTGAAGACAAATATCACTAATGGTAAAGCAACTTTATTCTTCACAGAACGCTAGAATATTGATAAGCTATAAGAAATGTTTACCATGACTATAATTTAGTTGTCTTGAATGATGCCATTTTTTTAACAAAGCAATGTTGCGTTAAATTTTTCAGGTGATCTACCAGTATATTGATGTTTGCTACACATAATGAACTAAATGGCAGTATTTTTTTTGTGTAATGACTATTTATAGAACAGCTTTAAAAAGAAATGAACAAATGAATATGTGTAAATTAAAGTGTTACAAAATCGTAGTGCGTCATCGCAGCTTAATTTTTTTTTCATGCAACTTAGATAACTCTCTAATTCAGAGACCAGCCTTTACTACTTATGACTATTTGGTTGAATCTTTTTAATGAGCACTATTCTTAAAAGAAAATACTTGATTTCAATTCAGATTTTCTCTTTGTAATTTATTTTTTTTAACTTAAAATTTTAAATAAGAAATAAGTAATTTTTTTAACATTGAAAAGTTATTAAATTTCATACCAACAAAAAATAATGTCACTGATCAAGCTTGTTTAATAGATTGTTTTTAATTATTAATAGTATTTCATTTTTAACTGGTTTTAGTCATTTAGAAACACTAAAAATAACAAATTTAAAAATAATGTCAGATATAAATCATGCTTTCTTATATGTGCATTTTTATAAGAGATAAGAGTAATTAAGACTTGTAATAAATAATATTAACAAAAACTGTTGTTTACAGTGATTTTATTTAAAGTAGTGAAATGGTTTCCACATAATTTAACAACTCATTGAACCAATCATCTTAGCTATTTGTACACCAGGCTAACATAACTCAATGCAAAGTCATATTAACCTAGAAAATAGGTTAAAATATGAGCTTCAAATGTCTTAAAGAGAATCAACTATTTATTAAACGCTTTCAATTCCATGATTAAATGAAATCATTTTAAGCAAAAACAGAACTGATGCTTTATGTTTCGTAACTATCAGTTTTAAAAGATCACAAAACCTATTTCAAATAAGCCCAAGTTATTCTATTTTACATTCACCTAATGTGCGATCACCCTCTGAGGTTGTCTTTACTTTCTACTTCTTAAAATGAAGACTTTCTACCAACTGGTTGTCACATTTGAAACCCAGGTAAGCAGCTCCAGTGTGGGTGATGAAGGAATTTAAATTAAACTGGTGGATACATTTTAAACTTTGGTGTTAGTGTATCTTGGCAGGCCTGATGTACTTTTAAGTCTCAACACATAAAGAAGTACTGATGTACAACAGTTTTAAAAAAAAATTGCAACGAAGTCAATTTTAAAAGAAAAATACAAGCAACATCTTTATTTTATTACCATTTGTAAGCTTAGCTAATTCCTTTTATCATAAGTGTCAGTGGAACAGTATTTCCCAAAACTATAAGACTTATCAGGTCAAAAACTTAAAGCAAATCACTGAAAGAACCATGCAGTAACTTAAGATTTCGATTTGTCTAAATACAAAATTAGATAAATCTCTCACATCCTGTACATAATTATTTAACTTCATAACTAAAACGTCATTTTATAAACTACTTTGTGGATACTCTGGTTCTTTTATTCCATGAGAAGTTAGCACCATACGACTTCCTTAGCATCTTTGGTTTCTTTTCATCTTCAACAAACCAATTCCAGCCTAGGAAAAAAAATTACATTAAAAATATTATAGATGTCCTTTTAAACTAAGAATTTTTAAAACAAAATAGTGAAGTAATCAAATTGTTGAATTCTGACAACTGTTTTGCAAAGATACTCAAAAGCAAGCTGAGATTTTCAAATTATATATTATCCTAAAGTCAATGAGATAGTCATTAAGATTTGTAAGTATTAAACTGCTTCATATCTTTTCATATAGGTAGCTATAAGCTGTCTCTAATATTTCAAATACCCTAATGTCATTAAAATTGTCTAAATTTTAGCAGACAAATAGATTCAATATTTATAACTAACACCCAATTTTGTTTACCTTATAATACTTATATATTATATTACCTACACGCTGAGGGGAAAAGGTGGAGTTTTCAATCTTCAAAATTTTGCTTATGAAAAAAAAAAGGGGGTGGGGCTATCGGCAGAAAATATGTACAAATATGACAAATGCTGCAAACACCCAATATCTTTTCAAGCCGTAACATATCTTGTTCCACTATTTCTTTTCTTTACATGACTTGAACACAGTCCCTTATATATTATGACTTATTGGTATTGTAATACAGTGTATGTGATGTAATTTGTGACATAATTATTTCCCTTGGCTCAACGAAATAGCTGCACTAGTGGAAAAAAAAGGATAAGGAGAGCCTCTACAAGATTTTAATATGCTTTATTGCATTGCTTCCCAAATGCCCCCACACCTCTCCAAAAAATAGGTTTCCATGCTGCAGTAATGAAGATGAATTTTACTGCCTTTTTCTTTTTAGGCCTTAAGATAAACTAAAAAGTGAATTATATTTGTATTGCACTATATGACAATAATAAAGATGATTTTTTGGGTGAGGTGGTGACAGCTCATTATATGTATGTGGGGGTAGGGGGTGGGCAAAGGTAATGGAATAAAGGGTGTCTTAAATTTGACTACTTTTGCATACGTTAGATATGGATGGCCCCTTACTGCAATAGTACTCCCATAAATTTTCACATCTTAAACTTAAATGCAAAATTCATTTATTTAAAAACGTTCAAATTTTTTAATTAAAAGTAGGGTGACTCTCTCCTGAAAGTAGCAGTAGCTTTAGCAGTTGTATGGTAGTTAATTTTCAAAGCCCAAAGCGTGTATTGTTTGTGCTGCGGGTGTAAGCAGGCTCCTTTGGGAAATCAGGAGGACTGTGAACAGTGCATCAGGCAGGAGTGGGCTAAGGCAATTTCAACTTGTATATTCAAATTCATTTTTCCTGAACCATTCACATTTTACTTAAAATCAAAAGGCATTACATTAACTAGAGTACCATTTTTTTCACAAAATGCGATAGCATCTTCTTTGCTCTGAAAGTTGACCTCTGTGTTTGACAAAGGATCACCACTGAAAGCATAATTTAATAGATTGCATGAATTTAAAGATTGACATACTTAACTGGAAAAATACATACACAATTTAATAAATTTACAGATTTTATTGCAAGGTGATTATTTTTTTGGCTTGCCAAATAATAAAATACTGATTTCACTCTGTCCTTCTTACGTTGAAACCCAACCCATAAGTGGGTTTTCCCATCTTTCTCGTTCATCAAATTCCATCCTCCACCTTCGTGTATTGTATGTGCCCGACTGCATTGCATTTCGGGCAGGAACAAATATTCTTACAGTTCGTGTTTTAATATGCTCATCTGGAACTCCACTAATGGCTGAGATATCAATCTGTATTATATAAAGAAATTTGAATGAGACTTGCTATTACTTTTTCAATTCATAATATAAGTATGTAGAATTCCTAATATGCTTTTAAATAAACCGTAACCTAAACCATGTCCCTAATATAATTTAATTTACCCCCCCCCCCTGAAGACACCACAACCAGGCCACTCCCCTCCCCCCAAATTAATACCCCTGTTTCGTTTTTTAATATGCTCATCTGGAACTCCAGTAATGGCTGAGATATCAATCTGTATTATATAAAGAAATTTGAATGAGACTTGCTATTACTTTTTCAATTCATAATAGAAGTATGTAGAATTCCTAATATGCTTTTAAATAAACCGTAACCTAAACCATGTCCCTAATATAATTTAATTTACCCCCCCCCCCCTGAAGACACCACAACCAGGCCACTCCCCTCCCCCCAAATTAATACCCCTGCATTTAAACTCCCCAAAATCTAAAATTTCAAAATTAAAATGACACTGTTTTTTGTCAAGATGTAATTCCTAAAACTTAAACAGAATGATAATCATAGACCTACCTTCTCATTCACTGTAATCGTGATATCTTTCCTTTCAGCATCTCTTTTTTCCAGCTCAGATTCAGAGCTACCTGTGGCAACAGTAACACTAGACTTTGCCCTAAATTTTTTTTTTTTTAAATATGAAGACAAATGTAATGAGATAAACATGATATTAATGACAACTGTTTTGGCCGGGAAAAGCCCAAAAAGAGTGCGACCTGCTAAATAAGCTGTCCCCATTTTAACCAAACTGAGATTAAAAACCAGTACAAATTACATAAAAGGCTGGGTCAAGATAGCTAATGCAAGATGTTCCTAGTCAAAGCGGAACAAACCTGGTTAAAGTTTTCAAAGTAAAATTGTTACATACAATATTTTAAATGCAGAATCACTTAAGTTGCCATAAAACCATTTTGAAAAAAAGGAAAAGCTAACCAGATTGAAATAGAAAGTGAAAAGATTCAAAACTTGAACTTCAAACAATTTTTGTATTAAATAAATAACAAACAAAAAATTATTCATCAAGTTGATCAAAATAAATTTAATTGCATCCTATACTACGATTTAAGAATAGTTCAAAAATTTTAATTTAGTTGAATCTACTTGAAATTTAAAAAAAAATTATGATAAAATTGGGCAGGGCCCATAAATGTGCTTAGGAGCAAGGTCTAATTTTTTAAAGTAATTTACGCGGTTTTAGGGGCTACAAAAAAAAAAGCTAGGATATTTTTCACTGGCATATATAGAGATAGTGAATGACCGAGTTAGAGATTTAATAAAGTCAAAAATTAAAGTAGGCAGAGGTAAGATAGATTAATTAAGACAGTTAAGCTTTAAATATAGAAGCAGTGGATGGTCTGATAGTTGTAGAAACAAAAAGTAGGATTATTGTGAAAGGTAGGGAATTTCTTTGCTGGCATTTAAATAAAGATTATTAGAAAGGTCTATACATTTAAATTTTAAATTAGAATTTGTTTTTCTCATCATCCAGGCTTGTGGCAATATGGATCCCAGCAAATTTGCAATTTTAAAAATAGAAACCAAATCTCCCCAAAAGAAATTGGCAAAAAGACAACACTGGCCTATTTAGGCCTAAGCTATAGTGCAGATGTTTCAATTATAACAAAATTAACATTGAAATAACATTTCAATAAGGATTTAGGGGCCATCCATAAAAAAAAAGAAGATATTTTTAACATTATTCTTTTATATAAAAATGATAATTATTTTATTTTTAAACTACAATCACTGATAGAATAAGTACAGGTATGCCAGGTCAGAGAAATGGCAGCTGAACAAGTTACAGGACACCCTTGAGGAGAAGATTCGAAGTATAGTGACATTGATAGTCATGAGACTCTATGTCAAAATATGGGGATTGGGGGGGAGGGGGGGGGGGTTGATTTTATTCAATGTTCTAGGCCAGGAATTCTGAAAACCTTTGCAGTGCTGCATCCCCTCTCAACTTCTAAACATTCCCCCCACCCTTCCCTGTATAAACAGCAATAATTTTTTTTAAATTAAAGTAATTTAACAATTTATTTTATTGTTGTTTTATTTGTTTAATTAAATTTCTAGATGCAAGAAAAAAATACAAATACAAGTAATGTGCTAACAAAATTAATCAGAAAATAACATTTACTGCTGCGATTCAAAATGCTTGAAAACTGACTTTATTTTTAAAGGCAGGAACAACTAGCAATGGCAGCGAATTAAATTTTTATTGTGAGTCTTCTGCACCGCTGCTCTTCTGACTCAGTTCTCCCAGACTGTCCTCTACTGCTGTCCCACTGAGTTCTCTCCAGTCCCTGCTAACAGTCCCTTTTTATTAGTCCCTGAATTAGTCATGGTATCTCTAAAGATTCCTTCCCAGGACTATCTATTTCTACATCTGTGCTACGAACTGTTTCTACATCCTGGTACTATGATTATCTTCACACTTCCCTCCATCTAAATGGACATCTCTAATTGACTAGAAAAACTTGATTGGTAAGTACTGTCCATCCATCCCTGTGGCGCTACAGCCCATGTAGGGCTTTGGCCTGCCTCACCACGTCCTTCCACTCATACCTAACTAATGCCTTTTTTTTTCCATGCTTGGACTTTCAGCTGCTGTAGATCTTTTTCAATATCATCTATCCACCTAAGCCTAGGTCTGCCTTTGAGCCTTTTTCCTCTGGGGTATTGGTGATGTACCCTCTTCGTTCCTCTGTCATTTCGCATTCTCTCTAGGGGTCCTGCCCAGCGTAGCCTGCCTCTTTTTATTTCTGCCACTATGGTGGGATCCTGATATAGACTGTATAATTCCTGGTTGGTTCGTATTCTCCATCCATATTCATCCTTTGTTGGCCCATATATTTTCCTGAGATTTTTCCTCTCCTATGTGTTTAATAGGTTTTCTGCTGTTTTTGTTAGGGTCCAAGTTTCACTTGCATATTTTACAACTGGTCTGATCACAGTTTTATAAATAGTTTTCTTTGTTTCTCTTGTAATGTTTTTACTTTTGAGTATTTTCTGACTACTGAAGTATGCCCTGTTTCGGGGTGATATTCTTTCTTTTATTTCTGTTAGTAATTCGTTTCTTTCATTTAACAAGGATCCTAGGTATTTGAATTGATTCATGTCACGGTCAGATCGCATGAGTTTTTCTGTGTCAACTTCTATAATGTTAATTTGACCAATCGTGGGTGAGTTTATTTTCCCCGTGTGCCCCACGAGTTTTTATTTTTCTCGGTCAAGGTATGACCGGTGTGTTGTGTCGGGAGGAACCACGTGTGTGAGATGAGTTTTTTAAGGAGTGAACAGTGGCGAGTGCTGTGGATATGGTGTATGATTTTTGTCTTGTGAAGGCAGTGAGTTTTTCTACGGATGGAAGAGGACTTGTGTAACTTTAACTGTTTTGTATAGTATGTGGAGTTTTTTTTATTCTGAACACCAGAGCTTATTTCTAATAAAGTTTTCCATTGTCAGGCACACATAGCCAGTAAATAAGAAAACCTGAATCCCTGAATTGTTTGTTGATACTTGGAGCAAGAGTCAGCTCTGTAGGAGCTGGAAATAAAGGGGTTCTAGACCCTTGAAAAATTGTTCTGTGGCTAGTACGCAGGGGACCGACTTCTAGACAACGTACATCACGCCACAATTCACTTTTTCAAAAGTTTGGTTTCTAATTTTAATTGTTTCATGTTTGTTCCTCTCTTATCATGGTCATGTATTTTGTTTTTTGGTTTTTAACTTCTAGCCCTGCTTGTAGAGATGCGTCTTCTAATTCAATAAAGGATTTTGATATGTCTTTAATACTTTTCCCTAGAAGTGCTATGTCATCAGCATATGCAAGATACTGAAGTGGTTGGTTGTAGAATGTGCCCATTGGTTGTGGGTCTTGAGTTTCCCTCAGAAAGTATCCTGTTATCTTTCCTTGAGTGTCAATATGTATGTTTCTAATAACTCTCTCTAATGTTAGGTTAAAGAGCATACAAGACAGTGAGTCTCTCGTCTAATATGAAATTCCCTTGAATATTCTCCTTGAATCTTGATTTTGCTTTTTGAGTTGTTTAGTGTTACATGTATAAGTACTGTGCATGTCGCGAAGAAACCGATAGTCTTACTCTTTGATGTCGGTAGCCAGCGACAGATCAAATTTAACTTCTTGTTTCATTTTTTTAAAACATGATTTAGGTCTGAGTGGCGAAGAGTGTGCCCTATCCACCTCCATCTTTTCCTTATTATGTCTTCAGCAATAGGCTCCTGGTATGTCCTATCCATTAAGTCTTTGTTGGTGATGATGATGTTTTGCCATTTGTTGTTCAGTATCTTTCTAAGGCAAATGTATATAAAGGTCTGTTCTTTATGGGTTATGTTTGCCTGTTGTTCTCCAAGCTTCATAGAATAGGACTGTTGACATTTGTGTTGAAAATTCTGACTTTGGTTTGCAGAGTCAGCTACTTTGCCTCTCATATTTTCTTTGATAGCAAAAATGCTGGCCTAGTTTTTCCAATTCTAGCCATGGCATCCGCTTTGGATCCACCATTTATGTCAATGGTACTGCCTAAGTATGAAAAGACCTCCACACTCTTCGTAAACCCCAAGATAACATCATCAGATAATCCCCAACATGGAAGGTCTGAATACATGGAGATGAGAGCTAGGGGCAGACACACAAAGTATAGGATACACCTGGAAGCAACTGGAAAGGAAAGCACAGGACCGAGATGAATGGAAAATTCTTGATGAGGAAGGCCAAGCCAAACATGGATTGTAGTTCAACAGTGATGTATGGATTAATATAAATTTAATTTCTTGTTTTGTTTTTGTGAACTAGCCTTCAGTTTGAAAGTTGGATTTAGCTTCAAGATGAAAAAATCTGGCATGTAGGGAGAAAAAAAACAACACAACTAAATGGAGAGTGGGATACAATAAACTAGCTTTGTTCACCATAAAGTTTATATACCGGCTGAAATTATAATTAAATTTTAAAATTTTCGTGACCTCAGTAAATAGCTAAATCAGCCCACTCTCTCGCTTTCACCTTTACCCTCCCCATTTTAGAAGTCGTGTAGTTTTTTTTACGAGGCCGCCACTTTGGTTGCCCTTATGGCGGCAGTGGGAACATCATAGCGCAGATTGCGTAAATTTACCAATTTTACATGTGAAAAAAACAAATTTCATCAGAAATAATAAACTATTAGTATTAATAATGCTTATTACTAACTTAAACTATAGGCACCTGAGCCTGAACCGCACCTTTTACTTTTAACATTTAAATTTAATAACATATGAATTATAATGAATATGAATGATACAATTTTGTTTATTTATAAGACATTTAACTTTAAAAAAGTCTAAAAGTGTGTTAGTATTAAAGCTTAAGTAAGGCAGTAGTTATAGTTAGGGGTGTGCCGGACCCCGGTCCGGAATCCGGTTCCGCCGGATTTTGCACTATCCGGTGAAATCCGGTTCCGCCGGATTTACATGTATCCGGAACAACCGGATTCCGGAATCCGGAATATACCGGATTTCGGAATTTGCCAGATTTTGTGACTCACCGGATCATAATCTGAAATAAAAGTAATTCTCTTTCCCGAATTTCACACGATCACGATACATTAATCGATTGTTTCGAGCGTTGAGCTTGTTTAATGTTTAATATTCCGTACATACCAGAGGCTAGAGTCAGCACCGCTAATAGTGGCCAATAGTGTAGGGACTTTGATAAGAAAATTTAAACTTTTTGTAAAAATAAACCAATGGCATAGTTGAAAAGATGTAATTTTTTAAAGAATTATAACACCAAAATCATATTTTTAGCTGTTGTAGTTTTAAAGTTATGAATTTTTAAAGTACGACTTGGTTTGTCATTTTTTAACATGGACTGCATCTCCACATTCTGTGATCTCATTCCACCAATCCCGTCATGCGCAATGACTATATAGTTTATATAAGGCAACGCATTCCCTGCCTTATCACTAAAATACTGTTTAGACTTAGTTTAAACTTTCAACTTTGGCACATGAATAATTAATTAAAGCTTTCCCTGACCAATGGTTTAATAGTTTTTGCACACGGCAAACTCTTATGAATGAAACTCTGAGGTAGTACTACGATACAGTTATGCAAGTGGCTGTGAATGGTTGCCAATGACAACGTGTTGCACACGGTAAATTCTGATCATTTATAATATGGATTCTACCGGGTTGTTAAAGCTCAAATTAAAACATTCCAGTTTAAATGTCTTTAAATGCATTCTGAAACACAAGTTATCAATTATTTTGATGTAAATAGTGATAATAAATTAATATTTCCTAAGTATCGTCAACTTCCGCCATTAAAAAGGGGGGCGTGGCCAACCCCATGGCGAAATTAGGTTGAGCGAGCTGCATGACCTGCTGCGAACGCGTAGAAACATGGCGTCTCTCGTAAGACACTTATCCAAATGGAACGGAACTCAAATATATATCGAAAGTACTAATTTAATAATAAATAGACACACATCGGAAAATTAAAAACTCGGATTTTTTGGCGCCGATTGCGAATTCCCATACACAAAAAGTAGTAGTCCACCTTGACTTACCGAAGTATCTACCAATAGTACCAAAATCCGGAATCCGGGAGAAACCGGAATCCGGATCCGGCGGATTTCGCATAAGAAAAACCGGATCCGGATCCGGTTGGAAAAAACGGATCCGGCACACCCCTAGTTATAGTATTAGTTATAGATAACCTTCTTTGTTTTATTTTTTAAATTGTAATGGTCGCCTAGTAAGTATTAGTCTTAGTGCACTCTTATTAAGTCTTAGTAACTTAGTGAACCTGAAAGGGTTAGTTTGTAGTGACTAAGTACTAAAATTAAAAGTCTAACTCTAAGTCTAAGTCGACTAGGTACAGGTAAGTGTTATTAAGTTATTAGCAGTGGTACAGTGGGCTACTTAGAATCACGAAGTTACTATCGTCTACTGAAACTGAACAGCAATTTAAATGCTTATTAAATGAACTACAACAATAGCTCATAACTTAAAAACCTTGATCTTATAAAACGACTTGAAATCCGAATCTGGCCCAAAAGCTTAGTTGTCAGTGCAGTTGCCATCTCTCTGAAGGCTTATTTATTTTTTATCACGACCTTGGCAGCAGGGAGTTAACTCGCGATTATTTGTCTTTAAATTATTTGCTTCCGGGTTAAACCAAGTGAGGAAAAGTAAACATTTCTATTGGAGATAAGAAAAATGGTTTCCAATCAGATCCTTCGGATATGCAACCAGAATTATTTGTTTTAAAATGGCCACCTCAGGGCAACACACTTCCGAGATTTATATCAACAATTAGAAAAATTGGAAAATGTCCCCTTTCTTTTGACATTGAATGTTCAGTTTACTAGTTAACACCGTAAAGAAGGTTGATTTTTTTAAAGTAAGTAAAAGATGTCTGAGCCTCCATTCACAATTCGTATCAGGTCAGAAAATAACCAAGACATGGATTGGATGGTCAAACCCGACGAAGTTACCTTTTTACAAACATTGGTCAGTCCTTCTTTACTTCAGTCTATACTTAGTTTATTAACTTAAGTCGTTTTTAGGGTAATATACCACTATGAAAAAATCCTGCTGTTTTGGTTTGAATTGCTATTTAAACTTAAACTACAGTTAATTTTTTAATTGGTGTGGACAGTGGTTTTTCCAGTGGCTTAGAAAAGTGAGTGGGCGCTGTTTTCTCTTCAAAGTGTAACAGACAGATGTGTGATCATTTTAAGGAGTGTATAATTAAAATAATTTATATAATGAAAATAAAGAGGGTATATCCTTCCAGGCTCACTGATTGTATTGGAAGGATGGGTGGCTTATGTTGGAAAGTGACAAAATACTGAATGTTGCGCATTGTTTTGCACACCACATTATGTATTGTGTATTAACGTCATGTTGTTATGCAGTTCCTGTCTTCTGTTCATGGTGGTAGAACTCTTACAATTAAAAACGTTGAACTAACCTTGATGGTTGCTTGTTACATTATCTTCCTTGTGAAGTGGATTAGCAACATAATATTTTCAACAGCTTATGCCTATGCTAGGCACTTCAATGAGATCCGGGAAATGCTGAAAACCGGGTATTGTGATTTCGTTATCAAAATGGCGACCTCCACTTTTTAATTTACAGAGAGTCTAGTTGTTTACGATTTTTTTGTTAATCATAGCCCAGCATGCACATTCTACTTCCGCCCAAAACTTTGAGTAGACATGTCCATGTTGTTTTATGATTAGACACTTTTGTTCTTTAATATTGAAATATCCTATATTTAATCACATATCACAGTATATCACATAAGAGAATTATTACATAATCCTTGGTATTGTCAAAGAAAAAACACACAAACTTATACTTACCCCAAGCAAATGACTTAATGACTAGAACTTATTTTAGTTAGTATCAACCACTAAATCAATGCATGTTAATTTGTGAAACAAGATTACTAACTTGAAATAAATGACATATTTTTTTTTTTTCATATTCAGACATTCATATGATATGGGACTAAAATACATATATAGAAAATGGTAAAATACAAAGTGTAATTGTAAATTTTAACTAAATGAAACAAGTAGTCCCTTTATTATTAGTTTACACTTATAAATGTCAAACAATTCCACAAAAAATTTGAAATTAATATCTAAAGAACATTATCATTATTATGATTTTTTGGAAATTGAAAAAAAAATATTGAAACAATATTAATATATTAAATTTCAAATAAGTGATGAGTCAGCATATTTTACACCATTTTTTAAAAGGAAAAAAAAACAAATTTTTTAAAATTAATTTTGGGGGATTATTAACAATAAATAACTTATATTTTGTGGCTTTATTTCAAAGTACTCTTATTTAACTGTGTTCCCTATACATATTATATTTTTGTCTCATTTTATAATAAAGTTATAGGCGTTCAAAAAAAAAAAGCAAAATGAGGGTCACGAAATGTGGAGGAAAATCCCATAGTGAAAAAGTGCCTTGAGGTCCCTACTAAAAAATTCATAACTTTTGAACCACTTGAGCTAGAAAGTTGATCTTGGTGTTTTTGTAATCTATTCTCCAGGCTCTATGCAGCTGTAGTATTTTTATATTTTAAAAAATGTTTTGAAATTTTCATCAAAGTGCCTACTTATGCCAACATAAACCAGATCAGCCATGGAATATATGAAAAAACATTTTATTATCCAAATGATGCTGATGTTCACTCACAAAATGTTGAAAACATGTGGATGCATGCTAACTGAAAAGACAGTTTAGCACAAGCCATGATGGTTTCTCTTCCTATTTATGTTCCACAACTGTTTTTGTGGAGATTATATTTTTTTTAATACTTCATTGTTGCCTTGGTTGGGGTAGATCTATGCATAATCTAAAACTCTGTTGTATTTTCATATATTAAATTGTTTACATTTTTATAGATCTATCTCAAAAATTTTTTGAAAATTGTTTTAATTTTTTAACAGGTATTTAAAAAAAATTGTCTTGGATTATTTATATATGTGCTGTAATCAATATGTGAAATTGCATAAAAAACATTTATATGAATTGTGATCCATTATGTAATTTTATGTTATCAATAAAAAAAATAACCATTTAAATAGAGCTTCAAACCAGTACAATAGGAATTTTTCATAACCGCGCTGAAGTTGTAGATTACCTTATTTAGAGAAGACATTTTTAATCACTTAGACTTAATGAAACACAAAATTAATATGAAGTGATTAGTGTGGGCAGTGTGGGTGGGGCAAGTTGAGCCCTAGGCCTAGAAATAATGCTGGTTTCCGAGAACTCAGTTTATTATTTTATAGCCATGCTCAATAAATTTAACACTTCCTGTTTCAGACCTTTTGCCATGCCATTGTCAATATATAATTTCGGTGCGCAGTACGTAAGCAAAAACACAACTGAGACTGTGAGGGAGGGGTGCGATCGTAGGTCCATCACCTATTCTTCTCACCAAACACTCTAAATGTTATGGTCAATTTTGCACTCTGCCCTTTGTTTTATCTGCAGTAAATGAGGTCATATTTGCATGTACATAAAACAAGTTCAAAATTGATTTGTAAGGTATTAAAGGAAGTTGAGTGAATTGCATTCGTTCATTCGTTGATATTAAATACTATTGACCTCTAAGTAGACTATTGTAAATTATTGTTTATGATCCTATTACTTCAATCAATAAAATAATCATTTTAATATATTTTAAAACCACAGCATCAGTTAACAATAAGTATTAAAGAAATAATAAAGTAACAGCAGTTAGTCTGTAAAAATGAAAACACCGACCAATGTAATAATGCAGTATATCCACTGACCCCACTCTAAAGTGTAAAAGGTTGATGGATTAAATTATTATGGGTGGTAGTAGCAGTTAGAAATTGTAGTACTAAAAGGGCCAGAAAGGATGTAACACATTTTTAATAATAAATGCTAAATTACTATACCTTTTGAATGGCATTTAGTTTTTAAAACTGTAAAAAATATGATGTCACCTCCAATATCAATAATGACACTATCAAGTCCTTTAAATGCTTTCATTCTAGTTCTAGCAATGTAAATTCGGCCCGGTTCTATAATAAAATATAATGATAATCTCAAACATTGAAAATCACAAATAAAAAAAATTCTTTTGATCTAACATTATTGCAGGAAGTTTTTTCTCAGATAATGCCCCAGTCTTCACCCACTGCATTTGAATGTAAGTATTACCATAAATTAAAATAAACACAATAAAATACAATAAAAATAAACATAACTTCTTTTTGTCTTTTTAAATAGAATAATTGTTGCAATGTTTAATGTTTTATTATTTTCCATTTATTCTCAAGAAAGGTTAAAAAAGATATCTCACCATATAGTGAAACTTTAACTCATTATTACAAGCACTTTAAAATGGTGCAAGATTTTAAAAAAGGGAGACTGAGTCAGATGCGCAAATCTAATAATAAGTAGTGATTAAATCACTATAGGTGGATAAAACGCATCCCGTTTCATCTATACACATCTTTCTACTGTAATCAAGGCTAAGATTTTGGTTTGCAATTAGGCACGAAGTGCCATTCCTTAACATCTGTGAAACAATAAAAATGAAGCATAATTTACTAGATCAGAGATTTTTAAACTGCTCTCCACAGAACCTTTTGAGTTTGATTTCAACATGACTGTTCGAGACTTTATTTCATAATTTTTTTTAAAGTTTATGAGGGCTTTAGCAGGTTTCTGTGTATACAAATGCTCTAAAAGTTTCGGAAATATAGCACTCAGGGTAGGGGAGGACCTGAAGACAGACTAAACAAAACAGAGGAGGTTTCAGCTGAAAGCCTTCAACAGGATAAAAATGGAACAAAGAACAACAGTGAATATAAATAAAAACTTATCCCCATATTACACTTTTAACTTATTGCTTCAACCTGAATGCAGTCCTCCCCATTTTTCACTAAATATTTTGGGAAACTTTTGTCTAGATATTTGATATTTTTTATATTTTAAGCTTTTTTAAAGACTTTCTTTCAGTTTCAGCTTACAAATCTATGAGGTTTGTAAGTTTCTAACTTTCTAGCATAATTTTTAATGTTGTCACATATGACCCACTCCCTCAGTTGATCATGGTTGATCGCTCCTGTTTCATTCAGAGAATGGCGGGAGAAGGGTGGGTAGGGGGCCTCAGATGAGAGATTTAGGATGTGGGGAAAGGTTGTTCTTGAAGGGGCAGGGCATATGCCAGTTACTTGGAACAACTTATGGCTCATGATCAGGGTTATATAACGCTGTAGTCATTAAATTGTACTTTTTAGTTTATGCCTAGATAATTAGTCACTTTTACCAGAATTTTGTAAGCATTCGTTGTTTAAAAAGATAAATAATTCTACTTGGGTTGATTATTTAAAGACTACAATTTTAATACTACAAAAAGAAAATAAATAAAATATTTCAAAAATTAATAAAAAATATAACATATTTAATTTTCTTCTACATTTATCCTTTGGCTACACAGAGTGCTTTTCTGCACAGACGTTCTTTGGGCATTGACTTTAAAGAAATTTTAAATTATTGTCTACTTTGTGGTGCGTTTAAACTGGTCTTTGAAGTTAAGTCTTTTTCAAAAAGTATTTTTAAAAATTTTCAAACACATGAAGGATACTTAAAGACAATTTAATAATTTATCTATACATTTAGTTTTTCTTTCTCTGTAGATGAGGATGAAGATGGTGACAGAATTACTGTTAGGAGTGATGAAGAAATGAGAGATATGTTTAATTATGTAAGTTGTGCTTTTCCCAACTTGTAAATATTGAATTAATAAAGTACTTCAAATAACTTGTGCTTGGAGAGAAAACCTTAATTATAAATATTTATTTTTTCTAGAAAACAAACTTTTCAAAAGTATATATTTCATTTCTATATCATTCATGGACTAAGACTATATAAATGTATATTTTAGTTAGTGACAGTAAGTTAAAAAAAATGTTTCCAATTATCAACATAATTTGAGGTTTATTAGCATTCTCCGTGACTCAGCCATGTTAAAGGAATGGAAGGGTCAAAGGCAAAACCATCTTCAGATACACAATGTTGTTTATAAAAAAGATATAAAAAATGCACTTGCAATGAGTGCTAAAGGTTCACCCTTATTGCTTCCCGTTGACTTTAGCAAGTCAGTAAAAATGTTAAATTTATGGAGGGGTATATAAATTATGTACTATTTCATTCTATTACAATTTTTTTGCATTACCCGGTATGTTTAAAACATGTTGTATAATATATTTAATTTTATCCTTCAAAGTATTTTGGTGAGTTAAGTGAAGAAGACAGAGCCAGAGGACTTCTCCCTCCATTAATTATCTTTCCAAAACGTATGTACTTTTTATCTAAAATGGATGTCATAAGTTTCAAAAGATAAACTTTTATGGCTTCTTAGAGATGTCTTTATAGAAAGCAACAAAATTAGATTGGTCCGGTATATTTGTTTGGGTTTATTTTATTTTGCAGTCTGTAACAAAAACAGATTGGTGTATTTTTAAACATTTAATTAGATCAAGAAACTGAAGATGAAGTTTTAGCAGTGTCTGATAATTATTCTACCCTTTAGCTGAAATCGTTTTGTAATTAACCACAAACACTTTTTTTTCCTGACAAAAAATGCTGAGAAAAATTAAGCTGGTGAAATATAAAGATAATATAATATTATGTAGCCTTTATTGTTTGGTTTCATTTATTAATTTTTATTTCAATTAGTTTTATATTGTATATTTTCAATACATACATTTTTAAAAGCTGTTAATTACTTTAATTTTAATTATCTTCTCAGACCCCAAAACGCCACAGATTAGGAATATACATGGTTTAAAAGTAGGTAAAAAGCATTTACTATTCATAAAATATATATTGTTTTATTTGTTTTTTTAGAGCAAATACACAATTCACTTTGTTTTAGAACTCTGTTATATTATGTCTTATTTGTCTATTGTCCTGTCTGGACAAAGGCTGCCCAAAAGAGATTTCTAGCAAGTTTCTTCAATTGTCCCTAGTTTCACGAGTCGATCCATATTTTCCCACAGCTGATTGGCCTGTTTTTCTTCTTATTTGTGTTTCTGTAGAAAAGGTTTTTTTTAAATTGGGAGTTTTTTTTAGTCTTTCACCCATCCCTGTTTCTGTTTCATTGCATCTCAGGATTGGCAACCTAGAATTTAAACTCTGTTATGAATTTCTATCATGTTATTTGAAAACTAAGTTATGGAAAACCATTCTGGAACCTTGCTTTTTTGAATGGGTGAAGTTAAAATTTAAGCATGATTTCTAATTTTTTTGCCAGATTAGAACTGGTAGCCAAGCAGAGGACAAGGGGGATGCACCTTGCCAGCCACAGAAACCTTCTCAAAATTCTAAAAAGTATTCCATAAAATAGTTGTACGGGTATATAGAAAATTAAGATGAAATTTGTTTTTACTGTAATATTTATTTAATTTCATTATTCCATGAGCAAATATTTTAATTAAGAATAGCCCAAAAACTCAGCCTAAACTTAAACAAAAAAAAGAAGAAAAATAGTTGATGAAGTGTTATTCAATTTTATGTTTGAATATAGAAATGTTAAGTTTTTTCTCTCTCCATAATGTACATTTTCATTTTATCTATTATTAGTAATATTAGGTAACTTGAATATTTATTCTAAATAGTCCAGCTGAGGTTGGTTTTGAGAGCATCTTAAGCTGTGGGCAGATCACTAAAGAATCTTTGCATTATGTGCAAATGCTAGGATTTGGCAATGGGGGAAAAGTGTACAGGTAAACAATTTGCTAAAATCTTCACATTTTATTTGACTAATTATATACACTAAAATAATAATGGTATGGCATACATTTGTTTTATTACAACCATTAAAGTTAAAGTGTGAATTGATGAATTTGTGCAGGCAATTTCTTGTGATGCATGGTAACAATGCTGTCTGCTTTTATTCAACAGAGAAGATAGAATTAAATCAATTAAAAGTCTATATATAAGAGGTTAATTGTAATTGATAGACATTAGATATACCACAGCAAATCAATTGCACATGATTTTTTATACCACACATCACTGTAAAGGCTTTATTAATTATAATGAGTTATTAAGCACATATTCCATGTGTAGTTTTTTACCTTAATAAAATAAATATATAATTATTAAAAAACTTCCCAGCATGGGTACATGTTGATTTTCTGTTCACTATAATACTCATAACACAGGGCCATCCATAAACCATCAAGTCAGGTTATGGCTGTAAAGGTAAATATTGATTCTTTTTAAAAATTAATGAATACCCTGAACAAACAGCCTGATAAAGGTTAATTAGCTGTTTCTATAAGGCTTATTAATAGTAAGTTTAGACTATATTATATTTTGTAGTTTATATTCTATATTTATATTTATACCACAGGAGATTGAACTAGACATATCAGTAGCTATACAGAAACAGATTATTTCTGAACTGGAAATTTTATATAAGGTCAGTTGTTTAAAATTCAGTACCTATCTTAGAAACGTATCCTTCATAACAGGGACTCAAAAATTTATTTATTATAAAAACTCACTCTTTTTAATCATATTATACTATGTTATTAACTACTTTATAATAAAAACAAAACAAAAATGAGTAACAGGTTAGGACAGACTCTGAACTAGATGTCAAAACTTGAACTCAGTGTTGCTATGTCAAACATGAGGTTGTTCATCTGACTACACATAATTGAACTTTTTGTTTGGCTCCTTTTTTGCCTGTTGTCTAGGGTTACTATTCCACTTGATACCTGTTACTAATAGTAATATTAGTGATAGTGTCCAAAGTCTCATATTTGTTTTGAGCATCTGTACCGGTAATACTGAATTTACACCATAATAATATTATGCTCTCTGTCTTTCACCCTAAATTGTGATCTCTCTCTCTCTCTCTTATTGTTGCATTGCTAATCATCTGTTGCTTTTGTTACACTATCTCAATATGAATGTTTCACAGCCTCACTATCTTCTATTCCAAACATTCTTTATATATGGCTTGCTATGTAACTCTGATCATTGTTCATTTCAATACGATTATCAAAGTGAATCACACAAAATTCACAAGCATACTTCTTTATTTAATATGTAGAAGTAAATTTGTGCCTGGCATCTTTTTACAATTTCTGTGGCGTGTTCCCTAGATTTTCAATTCTTTTATTTTTAGAACTAATGCCACTGATAAAACTAGAATTTTTATCTAAGTTTTAAGTTTGCTTCTACTGAAAGAGGATAACTGTTTGATTACAAATTAAATTACAACTTGTAACCACCTGATTTTTTTAATAAATCTTTTTTTTTTCCAGTGCAATTCCCGCATGATCATTTCTTTCTTTGGGGCATTCTTTTTTGATAACAAAATATCAATATGTACAGAATTTATGGATGGTAAGATTATAAAAAAAAATTTTTGTCAATCAATTTAAGTATGGCATATTACATAATAAATTAATGCCATAGGTATTTGTTGGTCATCAGTGATTGACTTTTGTCTGTTATCGTGTAGTTAACATGTATTTTTGTGTAATGATGAAGGAAACAATAGACATTTTGGAAAATGTTGTCTCAAAGTTCCACTTTGCAGGTGGGTCCTTAGATCAGTACATGCCAGTGGATGAGAGAGCCCTAGGCCAGATCAGTTTGTGTGTTATTGAAGGAATGCTCTATATGTGGAATCTCAAGGTATTGCATAGAGGTAAGAATTGCATAATAAAGATGTTCTCCTGACAATATTATTGAATGTATTGTAAAATTGAATGAATATAACTATAATAAAATTAAAGTAAGTTTAATTTGAAGCACATTCAGTTCATTCAGAAAAAAACTTTGGTCATTTTAATTAAAGTTAAAGATATGGTTTACTTGATTTGAAATGTACTGGTATCTTTTCTTATCTTTCAACAGATATAAAACCTTACAATATTCTAGTCAATTCAGCTGGCCAGGTTAAACTGTGTGACTTTGGTGTCAGTACGCAGGTAATTTGTAAATAAAGAAAGATATAATAATTATTTTATAGTCAGTTACTTAATTGTGGAAAACATATCTTTATTGTTCCTGTTTCTTTTTTAAACTCTTAAAGTAGTCTTTTTAATGTTCAAATTTCTTAATTTTATAAGTAATATAATAAAGTCTTAAGAGTTGTTTTTATTAAATACTGTAACAATAATATAATTTAAAAAATTTCTTTTTAGCTTGAGAAGTCTATAGCTACAACATTCCTAGGAACCAATGTTTATATGGCTGTAAGTGTTAACATTTTTTCATATACTAAATATGACATTTCTGAAAAAAAATGATCAGAGATTTTCATGTTAGCACTTTTGATTTGAAATGTGGGAGTTTATTTTTCTTAAAAATTCAGAACATTTTCCAGATGCTAGTAGGGCATAGTTAGTTATCAATTCCTCCAATAAAATTTAAAATACCAGTGCTAGCAAAGTGTTAACATTTTTTTTCTTGTACTATTAGTAACCATTTAAATAAGTAATATCAGTATTAATAATATTATGTATTTTAATAACTCACTTTCAAAGTTTCCTATACATGCCATGAAATTCCATTTAATTGAGAAAATGTTTTGAATTTTTGTATAGTTTTTTTCCTTATGATATGAGCTTTTCAAGCTAAGTATGTTATTCAAAGCGCTAGAGAATAATTGTTTAAGAGAACTGATACCAGTACAGGAAACAATCACAGGGACCCATTTGTAAGGGCAAAGGTAAAACTAAATTGCCTGAATCAGGCTAAAAAAAAATTAACAACTTGCCAACATTTTTTGAGTTGCTAATTTATCTGTAACCTCATTGTTTAGCAGCAATTTAATCTGCAACCCTGATACATTTTAAAAAAGGCTTTTGAATAGGTTAAAAGAAAGAACATTGAAAATAATTCTCAGTAAAACATTGAACGTGATTTAATTTAAACTTACAAATATTTTGATGATTGAAATTATAACAAGCTTTAAAATGGCAGTTTAGTTACTCCTGCTAACCGCGTGTCCTTGTCAACATGTAATTCATGTCTGGTTTTTTTTGTTTTTAAATGAAGTAGCATTGACAATCCAAGCTGACAGAGAAATGTAAAAGTATAAATAAATGGATTATGATCTTATACAAATTTCAAGACACAGATTAAAAGTATTATGGTATTTGATGCAGTTGTCATGGTGATTGCATTGTGATTGGACTTTTAATCATTAAAATGAAGTCATTTGATAACATACATTTTTTTCTCAATTTTTGATGTTTTATTCTATCTTTTCAAAAGTAATCCCTTCATTTAGAAGGCTAGGAAGGTTACCCTCAAGTAAGATAGGCAAGAGTGGGGTAATAAAATTTTGAAATATTAATAATCTGGGTGTTAAATTTCTGCTATTAATATACATTAATTCTTTTAAAACAAATATAGCCTGAAAGGTTACAAGGCTATGATTATGGGACACCAGCTGAAGTGTGGAGTTATGGAGTCACTCTGTTTGAGGTATTTATTAATTATATTACCGGTACTATTAAAAAGTTAGCCTTTCTTTCACTGCCATTTAACATAATGCAATAATAGTGTAAAATGTAATAGGTTTTATCTACTATTTTCAAAATTTCATCTTTGTTTTAAAGTGGTTGATCACATTGCAAAATACATTTAAGACTATAATATAATCATATATTGCTTTAAATTTAAATTACACAAACTATTAATTTAATTTTTATTTTGCAGTTGGCCACTGGAAAACTTCCATTTGCAAGTGTAAGTTAATTAAAATTAAATGAGCAAATTAATTCCCATCTATTGATAATGATGATCAAATTAAAAAGATGTCATTCACAAGTCACGTAACTATCCATTAAATTTTCAAATACTGTTCTTAACAAGAGCCTATTCATCTAGTATATGGTAGGGCAAATAAAACCGACACTTATCATACTGTATTTAAAAAAAAAAAAAATGTTGCTTGCAATTACTAATAGTTATGCATTTAATTACATTTAATAAAACGAAATTCAACTAGGAAAAGATAACCACTAACGACTTTATGATTTTATAACATTCCATGGAAGTATCACTATACAATTCATTTATAATTTTTAGAAATATGAAGAGAAATAGAGCGCTGATAAGAATATAAGTTGTCAAAGACTTTGATCAGTTGAAGCTGGGAATAGTAGGACAGGCTAACAAAAGGATGCATCTTTTAGTCTTGTCAAAAACATATAAACTTGTGTAAAATGGCACCTAGTTTATGATGCTTCAATTAGTCACTCAGTGGTTTGTGATTGGAATATAAAGGTCAGGTTATTAAGTGATGTTTATATTTATATCATACATTTTTTAAATTCCAGCTTAACATGACAGACCCAAATGTGCAGTTACAACCATTCCACGTTATGAAAGTTATTTTAGAAGAGGTAAAACATGAGATGTAATTTGAACAATAATTTTATTTTGAAGTTAGAATTTGTAAAAGCTTTTTAATGGCTACAACACTGTAGTGTTAGTATAATAATTTATGAATGTCAAATAATCTCTAAGCTCTTGAAAATTAAAATAAATAGGAATACTTTGACAGAATTATGGAGGTAAAATATTGCTCAGTATCCCTTACTTCTTGCTGTGTTATCTGTCAATACACTGACTGTGTTAGTATAATTTGGATGTTTCTTCTTGCTGCTATATCTGTTAATGCCCTGAATGTTTTAGTATAATCTAGATAAATCACTTTACTTAACTGAAAATATTTTATTTCAATTCTAGCCACACATGAAACTACCAGCAGAACAGTTTTCACAAAGCCTCATTGATTTTGTACATAGATGGTAAGCAGAAAAGTTTTCAAGTGCATAAACTTGTGATAACATATTATTTTCTAAAGTTATCTGTTTATTTCATAATTGTACCTTAAATTAGATGTCTTATCAAAGGATTTAATTACCATGGTACCCGGTACAGTATGTTTCTAGTACAAACCTCTGTACATTTGAAATAATAATTCTAAAAATAGGCACACCTACTTCTGAAAGTAATGTTAATGCTTTTTGTGTTTTTATTCAGTCTCCATAAGATGCCAGCATTAAGACTTTCAGGTCAAGACCTCCTAGTAAGTAAAATATATTTATAAGAATTATTTGATTTAAATGATTTTTCTGGAAAGTGAAGTGAAAATCATGCAGGAGCAATGCTCTATTTAGAATCTGCAAGTCTACAGAACATTTGTGCTATAAGTATAAGGCAAGAACAAAAAATGATGTCTCTTCTAAAAAAAATCAGTGATCTATAATTAGTAGTTTTTCAGTTTCTAAGAAACTAAATGATCTATTAATTTTGCAGTAAAAAGCCAAATGATGAGAGTGTGTAGCCTAATTAATATTTTTATTATAATTTATCTGTGAGGCCTCCCTAATATAAGTGGACAGAATAAGTAAACAGATTTTAACTCTAGACTACTTAAACTCAAATTTGGAAAGTTTGTAATAGAGTTTTTATATTAAATTGTCAATTCCAAGTAGACATAGTTTTCTTGACTCTGCAGAATACTTAAACATAAATAGGCTACCGAAACAAAAGATTCTGTAAAGGTAAAATTTTAAAGTTTCACTTTAAGAGTGTAGAACAAATATACATATATGTTTTTACTAGTTTTAATTTTTAAAAAGCTTCTCTTGCAACTGGGCATTCCCTCAAAATGGTACACATTTGGAAATTCCAGGTAGATAGTATAATATATCTCAGGGGCTTGATTTTCCTGTTATATACCTTGATAAGCTAATAACTCATCATACAGTTCTGTTGTATTAATGTCTGCTGAATCTTCATTTCATTTATTAAAGCTGATTGAAAGTCCATGCATTCTTTGAATACTTCCTTTTTATCAAATTTCTCTAGTGTTTTTATGTCATACGAAAATTAAAAGAAGTCATTGTGAGATAATTGTAAAGCCTGATCACTAACAACACAAATTGTGGTATCCAAAATCAGGTGTAAAAAAAATTTTTTAAAATTCTTTCTGGGTCAACAATTGGATCATCTTGATCTTCATACTTAAATTGTCTATTTTTCATTCAAAATATTAGTTGTATTTCCCATGGAAAAAATTGAATTCAATACCAAATTTTTCTGCCAATTATTTAGCTGTTGTATTTGCCTTAGCAAAGCCTTCTTTTGTTTTGTATTCTGGAGCATAATTTTTGTAGTATTCAGTTGTTCAATTGATTTTTTTTTTTAATATCAAGATCTTTTTTAAAACATCAAGTATTTGTTAAATATATTATATTGAGTAATTGATCTAAATAAAATACCCTAATATTGTTGGCGCCCCGCCAAAGCTTAACTTTGGCGCCCCTTATAAGTATAATGATAAAAATTTAGCAAGGAAAAAACTATGGGTTAGCAAAGGCGTTTATAACCTAGGTTGATTTTTTTAACAAACTGAACAATGGCATTGTTTTTCTTAACTTGTCTTTGGACAGTATGAACACATAGCCTACCGATGAAATTTTATTTTCTTGCCTTTAGATCAGTAAGTCTTTTTATTATTGCACTTTCTATTTTTCTTCCATGGTACATACATGCAATGCTTTTTCCTATTTTGGAAGTTTGTTGATGGTGCCCTAAGTATATGGTGCCCTGGCCAACTGCCAGGGTTGCCGGTACCACATTGATTCGGCACTGACCATATCACTAATGAACAAACAAACTTGAGATTTGACGTTTTGTGCAATTACCTTAGTTTCTGCATGTGACTCAACGCCATGTGGTGGTCCAGTTAGTGAAACGTTGCCAGCTATTGAAATGAGTGCATTTTAAATGTAAAATGTTTGGTATCATTGCATGGAAAAATAAATGGTATTCGATTTAGCTCTCTAATTCTTGTTTGGACTCTATTTATGTACATCTCTCACGTTCGCTCCATTATAATTACATGATTTTTAATCCAATTTTTTAAATTTATATTTTGCTGGAATTCTCCACCCCTCAAAAAAATGTCACTCTAGCTTATATCTAAAGCTTCACTACTAGTCTAAATATCATACGCTATATTTATAGCTACTTGAAGCAGAACAGACTAAAGAAATATTTTAATTTAATGAGAAATATAATGTAATATAAAATTATTTTTTTTTGTTGCTTTTAGAGAAAAAATACAAAAGCTCATGTAATTCAAGTATTTTCAAATTTATTTAAATATTTGTTTAAATTTATGATTTTTATGAACATATTTGAAAGAATTAGTCTCAAATAAAACCATTTCATAAATTAAATGTCTCATTGAAAGAATAACGTGTCTTCTATTAACCTTGATTGAAACTTCTGTTTTCCAATAGAATCACCCATTTCTGCAATGCCAGGATCACCTGGAGCCATCTGTGATTTCACAACTTGTATCAAGCAAGAAACAGTCAATAACAAAACCCTGATATCTTCTAATTATTAACATAATGTCTGGCTGTTGGTAGTACATAATGCAAATATTGAAATAATTTCAAATTATGTTAAGAGGAACTGTTCATTATTATGTATATATTTGTATATTGCTAATAAATTTACTTACAATAAAAAAAAAATGCATTCCTTTTCTTTCTTGTTAATCGGGAGGGACAATACATGGGCAAAATTGTAAAAGCATTGAATAATTCAAATGTGCTGTGCTAAATATATCACAAGTTTTTTTTTGAGAAATTGCATCAATTTTAATGATTTAAATCAAATCAAGAAATGATGCTTGCCCAGGTCAATGAAGTCTTGTGTAGCAACTAAAATAAATATTGTATACATTTATTTTAGACATATTGAAAAGCAGCTTTTTTATCATCCACTTGAGTTCTCTTTTGGGGTTACCCACATTGTACATACAGAAAAAAAGTTATATTTTCACATACATTTTTGCGACTACCCCCCCCCCCCCCAAAAAAAAAAAAAAAAAAAAAAAAAAAAAAAAACCCCCCCCCAAAAAAAAAAAAAAGCACAAGTTCAAATGAGAATCTCCCCAACATCATGTTTTCTATTTATTTTTAGGGATTTGTGAAGTAAATGGCAATTAAAACATTTGACCATTTAAACCATGTTAAAAATATGTTAAAGTTTTCTCAGATTTTAAAATATGAGTTGGCTTTTTTTAGAGACAATATAAATAGGCTATTAATGACCTGACACTTTTTCAGAATAATTATTGCAGAACAATTATGTCTATGTACATAATAATTATAAAGTTTATTTCAAAAACACGCTTCATCCCCAAAGGCTCGAAGCGCGGTACGAAGTAAAGAAAAAATATTTAAAAAATTATAATTTACCACATTTAAAACAAACACAACACTACAAAAACTAATTACAAGCATACCAAGTCAAAGTCTTTCTACCTATTTCAACCCTAAGCAACACAGCCAATATGCATTAAATGGAAGATATGGTAGACAATCATCCCAGAAGATTTTGAAGAATTAAGAATTATTGAGCGAAAGGCTAAGGGAAATTATAACTGTTATCAGTCATTAGGCTATCATTATAGACAACAATTTTTTAAACATAATTTTGTTAACACTTAGTACCAATAATGTTACCCACAGAAATGACAGCCAAAAACATAATTAAAATTAGTCACATGCACGGAAACATGCACATGAAAAGGTATAGGGTGTCTTAAAATTTTAAAAGTTGTTATCAGGCTAAATATTACTGTTGCGATATGTAGTGAATTCTTTGTGAAAACACAAAGCAAAAAATTGAAAATAAAAATTAATTAAACACCTATGACCTATGGTCATATTTTTTAAAGCCTTCGGTTGTCAGAATAATTATTGTATATCATATATTATATTGTTTGCTTATTAAATGAAGAATGCGTTCTTTCTACCGAGTAAAATCCTAACCGGGCCATATAAGATAAGATTCTTTTATTGATCCAAATAAATGGAAATGTTTTTTGATTGCATTATACATTTTCAGAACAAAAATAAAACAATTTGAAAACAAGACATTTATAATAAATTATTTCAAACAGCCATTCAGTGAGTTCTCTTAGCAAAATATGCACCCATGCGAAAATAAATCGACACTCAGTGTAAATATATGGATGGTCGCTAATATATTTTTTTTTATAAGTTTCAAAAAGCAATAAATTCATAATGACCACGAAGGCCCGTTTCCGCTCCCTCCTGTCATCTTCTTTCTCGGATGCTCCTAATGCGTAAGATTTGTACGGAGCAACGTTTTCTTTTATTTTCACATTAATCGGTCAAATTGAAAAGTTTATTCGCACAAAATATGTGGAATATAGTACCACAACAACATGGCGACTTTCACTCGAGTTTTTGGCACGTTAGGACGATCTGTCGGTTTGCAAGGGGTAATGACTTATGAGCTCTAATAATTTTTTTAAAAACTTATTTGGATACATATTTATTAAGTGATGCATACATTTAATTTTCTTTAAAAATTGGTTTCAATTTTCCATTAAATATTACTCATCCATTCCGCCATCCAATGAGCCATGCATTTATTTGAAAGACAGATTTGCGTCATTCTCAATGACACCAGGGCGGTGCAAAATTACTTTTACTAAGAGAAGATGATTTGCACCCTGTTGTTGCAGTTTGTCTATTGATATTCCTGATTCACGAATCATGTATATGTACTGTCACCGTAGAAGCTGGAGTAAATAATGCATTCTGGTGTAATATAGTAATAATAATATTGAATTTTGACATAGTTAATATATTAATATTATTAGGCTAGGTACTTTGATAAGAAAATTAAAACTTTTTGTAAAAATAAACCAAAGGCATAGTTGAATAGAGCTAATTTTTTAAAAGAATTAAAACACCAAAATCATATTTTTAGCTGTTGTAGTTTTAAAGTTATGAATTTTTAAAGTACGACTTAATTTGTCAGTTTTTAACATGGACAGCATCTCCACACTCTGTGACCCAATTCTGCTGTTCGTGTCATGAGCTATATAACTCTTGTTTTGATGATAATTTTATTTTCAGAACAAATAATGTTAACAATTATAGATACGAAGTGTCTACACGTCCGGCGCGCCGGACGTGTAGTGCGCAAGATACACGTCCGGCGACTTGTCACGTGACCGCCGGACATGGCCGGACGGCTAGTAGTTTTTATAATTCCAAACGAAGTACGATTTAGTACATCTTGTCTGGTCTTGTGGTAGAGTGGTTGCTTGACGATAGGAATGTTTGAGGATCTATACCGGGGATAGGGTCGTTTTTTTTCTTCCCATTTTAATTAAAATATTTTGTATATATTTATATTATCATGTTCCTCAGCAACAGTAGTTTCATGAGAAGTTTTTAAATATTTTGTAGCAATTGAAATAATTTAAAATGAAATCTTTAACTTTTATTGGTTGCCACACTGGCCCCTAATTTATTTTATGGATTACTGGTACACAAAAAATAACAAACTAAACAAAAATGTTTACAAGCCACTTTCACTTAAGTTTCTTTTTCTATTATTTGCATTCAAGATACTCAGTACATTACTTGGTAGAGAAATAGATTTTAAAATTAACAATAGTTTTGAATTATTCGCAGTCACGTGACAAGGCTGACCGACACGATATCTCTCGCCACTTTGTTACGGCGGTCATGTGACTTGGTCGCCGGACACATAGTGCGGGAGATAGACGTGTAGACACTGCCTTATAGATAAAGGATGCGGCTATTCGGACGCGGTATCAGAAGTGAGAAGCTGGGTTTATTAAAAAAATCTTTTAAATATTATTGTACAATATTGTATTGAATAAAAGATGGACTATTTGTTTATAAACTTAATTCTTCAGTTTAACTAAAATAAACTACCACAAATGGCATCCGAACGACATCTAATGAGACCTGGGTCCGAATTGCGGCAATGCGTTTCCGGTTCCATTTTGACTGGGAACATCATTTGGATGATACAGCTTGTCAGAATGTTATCCGCCTTTGGGGACTCCATCTCCGGGTTTGATTTCAGAGTTTCCTTCTCTTAGATGAGCTGCCATCAAAGGTTAACGTGTCCCATCTACCCGGGATGCTGGTGATGTTTTTGCTGGGCGTTGGCTGGAATTGAACTCTAGACCACCGACTTGTGATTTGCTCAGTTTAGACCACTCGGCCACCCAGCACCGAACATTCATATTGTGGTCCCAATAACATGTAGTCTTGGAGTTAGAATGTGGAAGAATATAAGAAATGATGGGAAAGCTTTTTTAGTTTTTTTTACAAAATATTTATCACAAATTATACATGTTATTCATTCTAATTCCTACAGTTTTCAACACCTGGAAGAACAGTCATCCAAAGCAGTCTAAAGTCCTACAGTAGCTCAACAAATCACACAAATGTATTGCCCAGCAATTCCTATTCACTTCACAGTGGACATTTGGGATTCAATTCATTCCAGGTAACCTCGCATATATAATATATATTAATTTACGAGGCTGTAGCTATCAAAACCAATTTCAATTTTTTATGAAACTATTTTTTATTTAGTCCCCTGAAGATTTTTTCAAATTATTTCCATAAATAATAATGTTAACCTATACAAGTTTTAAAATGCTGTTACACACTTTAAAAAAAAAAAAAATGTTTGCTTTATACTCTTAAACTACTCAAAGTACATAATTATTAATTTGTTACATAGGGCATAATGTTTTATTTAAATTTAAAGATCAATTAATTTTTAAAAATCTTAAAATTTTCAAAAATAACTTTTTGAAAGTCAAAACATTGGGGAAGCCAATATGAGAATTACCTGAAAGAAGCAGTTTATTTATAAATGCATAAATAAATATTCTAGTAATCCTATTGTGGGTCATAAATTTGCACTCTAGGTAGAGGGGATGTCTTTCAAAAGTGGCATTGACTGCTTTTGATATACCGTAATATAAATACTTTGCTTTAAGCCTGAGTAGTTGTGTGGCCTGAGAGGGATTTATACTTTGTCTAGGAAGACAAAAGTTGTATTTAAAATTTAAGCAAATTGTTGCAGTTAAAGTTTTTAAAGTTTGACATTTTTTTTACAAGTTTTTTTAACAATTTTTATTCTTTAGATTCGTCATATGTCCAGCAAAAATTTCTTTCAAACTGTCATAGACAATATTAAGCAGGAAATGAAAAAAAGCAAAGAAATGAAGGTAATTTAGACAATGTTTTAATAACATTCTTGTTGTAGTCAAATATAATGCAATTTGTAAAAAAAATTTAAACTACACTAGAGCAGGTATGGCCAACATTAAATTGTGTGTCCAGTTGTTTTATGCCTGAGCCTGATGTATCACAAATAAACTTTTTCTTCACAAATAAACTTTTTCTTCATTCAATTTAGATTGTATTATGTATTTAAAAGTTACTTAAGAGAAAGAATAAAAATAACTAGTTTTTTCTTTGTGTTTGTTATTTTGCATTTCATTACGTGCAATAAGAATAAATAAGTAATTATGCACAGCATTTATTGGGTGTAATGACATGAAATGTTAACTTGAAATCAAAATGCCAATTGAAGCCATTTAGGTTGGCCACCACTACCAAAAAGTGTTTTTCCCCCAGCCTTGTTAATGGATATATCCAAGGCTTTTTCCAGGGCAATTTCCCTTTAGTACAAAGGAAACTTCTTGTTTGTACTAAAAAAGGGGTCACCAAAAAAAACATAATAAACAAAATATAATATATAAATATGCATCCTATTAAACAATGTTTCTAAAAATAGAATGTTATTATTCAGTAGGCAATTAATTAGGGTGGCCTATTTTTGTTGTCTTTTACAACTTTATTTTGAAAATAATACCACTAAAATTTAAGAATTGTAAGATTTTACTGTATATGTGTGTAAATTTTGTTTTTAATTTGCAGATTTTACAGTGTATTTACATTTCATTTGAAAACAATTTTTTAGGACAGCATTGCAAAATTTAAAGAAGAAACTCAAAAGCTTGAAGAATCTGAGGCTCTCAAACAAGCAAGGAAAAAATTTGTGAGTTAATCTTAAAAAAAATTAATTACTATTATCTTCCAATTTTTACAACCAAATTTATCAGTAATATCAGTTCAATTAAGTTTGTTTAATTATAACAGAATTTCAATTAATGGTTTTGAAAATAATTATATTTTTTTCTTCTAAAAATGTCAATAAATTTAATTTATTTGTATAATTTTTTTCGTCAAAATTAACAATAAACACTATGGGTAACATACTCCAATACTTGTATTAAGGGCGCAAAAAAATTAAACTTTCAATTTTTAATTTTGTTCTCCTACTGTCCTACGGCTTCTGCTTTCGAAATAAAATCCCTGTTTGTTACTTGCATTATGACAATTTGTTGCAAAAAAGGTCATTTAAAAAAATTGGATTTTTATAAATTTATTTTCCTTTTCAGTGGTTACCCCGGTACTTTAGTAACTCTTCACTACTGTATAAGCTTTGATTAGTACATCCGTTCCAACACAATCATTGTTATACATCATTTCTTTCTGTTAAAATACTGTTATGATTCTGTCTCTATGGTAATGGACATTCAGTTTTGATTTCTTCACTGGATTTTTTTGCCCACAAACACCAAAGATACCTCTAGATATTTGTTTGTATGAAGGTATATAAAGTTTTAAAATAAATAAATGAAATTTTTTTTTTTGCAGGAGAGTATAGAGGAAGAGACACTAAAAAGCTCAACAGCCATAAGGAAAACATTAGGAGATATTAAAGAAAAAGTATCTGAGGTAAATTGTGACTGGTTTAAGCTGAATTTTATAATTTTTCTTGACTCTTTTGTGCTTAAAAATTGAAGAAACTTAGTTTCAAAAAATATTATAGAAATTTTTAACAAGGTGGATGACATTTCTTCTTCTTCTTCTATATCTTAAGGGCCCACGATCAATTTATTGATCATTTTGGCTCCTATGCATGTAGATGGGATTTGCAATGTTTCTGTTACTGGTGGTGATGAGGAAATTATGCACTAGGGGTTTGAAGGCTTGAGGCAATAGACACAAATGTGTCTAGTGTTGTCGCCTCAACTGTTCCTTTTGAAAGATGGTTCCAGTCCCTGATTGTCTTGGGCAGGAATGAGCAGCTCCTATACTGGCTTCTTGCTGGTATGAGCCTGAATTGCCTGTCATGGCCTCGTCGCTGTCTATGGGGGAGAGGGACGAGTTTCTGTTTAATACTGGAACAGTGGACCAGCCCATTATTTATCTTGTACATCATGGAGAGCCTGGATTGTCGTCGTCGTTTCTCCAATGGTGACCAGCCTAGTGTTTCTGAAATGTTTCATTTATTTTGCAGACTGTCGAAGAAGCTCAGAAAACAGAATTTGTGAAGAAAGGAATAGAAACAGCAACAAAAGCTGCGGAGTCCATTCAGAAATCAGGTCAAGCAATTGGTCAAAGTGATGCCTTCCGACAAATCAGTCAGGTATTTAAATGTACTTTTAGTTTTCATGTCCCACTGTTATTTTGTTCATTTTTACACTCTTTTAAGAGATCGAAGGTATTTCATTGCACAAATTTGCACTTAAAATTTAAAATGTCCACACCTGTAATGTAAAATGCTGAACAGAATTTATACTTATTTAAATATATAAAAATATACTTATGTCCTAAGGGCGTGAAAACTGCCAAGGAAGAGTTTGATGAGATAACACTCTCGAGAGCTAGGCACTATAAGGCACCAGGTATTGTTGTTATATTCTTATTAGACATTACAAGAAACAAGTACTTGGTTAACTTTATCTACTTACGTGTACCAAAATAAATACTCTTATTATTGAAAAATACAAAAAATATCATTTTTAAATGTACGGATTACATTTTTTTCACAGACAAGTTGTTAAAGAGATCAGACCTGTCAATGAAACCAAGGGACGATAAAGATGTTGCAGCAGATGAGTGAGTAAATCAAATGACCTAATTTACTCCTTTGATGCTTGAGTAAATTAAACGACCTAATTTACTCCTTTGATGCTATAGATTTTTCTATCGAAAAAATTAACTTTGCTTGAAATTAATTGTGTTTTAGCTACTTTTCTTTTACCTTATTACACTAATCTGAACTTTGAGGACCCTCATAAATGAAATTCTAGCCCATAAATAGAAAAAGTAAACAAATTTGAAACAAAGTTTTCCAAGCATTTTTAGGGCAATGGCCTTCATGGTCATCAAATAGCTTTAACTTCTTTCTGTCTATTCACCTCTTCGACAGCTTTGCTCCTCCTTAGACACGCGTATTCTGTCCATCCCCAAAACACACACTAAAACATATGGTGAACAATCTTTCTCTTTCTGCGCCCCAAAAAATGGAATTCTCTGCCACTACACATCCGCAATATACCAACGACCCAGACCTTCAAAACTGCTCTCAAAACACATCTCTTTAAACTCTACTAACCTGACTGATTCCCCCCTCTGACCGTTAAATGATGCTGCTGGCTGCCGTCCTTGGCTTGACATGTAAAAGTTCTGGGTTGGGTGGGGTGTATATACATATGTTTTTGTTTTGTTGTTATACAGCTGTTCTTTATTACATAAATTTATTTTATTTTAATGTAATGATTATGTCTATTTTGCTAATATTTTTATGTACAGTGCGGTGAGCCCAGCCCTAGGCTGTGGTACCGCGCTATATAAGACTAATAATAATAATAATAATGAATATTACAGTGAGTGTGCAGTAAAAAAAAAATGATAGAGCAAAGGGCACATATAGTAAATAGATTTCATGCTTTTGAAATAAGACAAATGTCTTACACTAACGGTACAATGCTAGCTGGAAATCAAAATTTATTATTATGATATTTTGTATTACTGCATGTTATAAGATGAAACAAAATGTGACCCCCTGGGTGCCATAAACCATATTGTAAAATAGTATTTAGTGTGACTTTTTATTTTAGGGGAAGTAACTTTTTAAAAAGTTTTTAAAAATTCTATGCAATGCGGTTGTAAAGTCTTTTTTGCTCACAGGTGAATTAGTATGTATGGACTAAATTCATCTATGTTTTTTATATTTAAATCAGGCATTCAACTGGTGTTGTGCTTCATAAAGATTCTAAATTTTACCAAAGTTGGCAAAATTTCAAGGAAAATAATCAATATGTTAACAGTAAGTATTAGAAAGATTATGCTTTCAATTGTTTAAATTCAAAGGGGGCCATCAAAATATTATTAAGATACCTGTACAATAACTTTACGTTTTCAATCTTTTATTATTTTTTTTTACGAACCCACCTATGTTGATGTAATATATAATACACATAGTTTTATTCAAATTTGTTGCATTAGCATTTTTCACTCATTTATTTTTATGGACTTTCAAATTGCTTATGTTGGAATATTTTTTTTTTTTTTCTGGCTTATGCTGCAGTTTTTCTTAAGATTTTAACTATTATAATTTATCAATTTTTTAGAACTGTTTGACCTAAAAGCTAAATACGATGAGAGTGACCACGTGATGGTTAGGGCCACCAAATTCTTCACAGATAAAGTTAGTCAAGTGTTTGGTAAGACTATTCAAACACTTATAATCTTAAGACAACTAGATCAATTAAAATTATGAACCCACTTTCTGTTCACTTTCCAAATAAAAGAAAAAATAATTTTTCCCATCATGCAAAATTTATATATAACAATAATTTCAATAACTATGCTTCAAAGAAACTGATTTTTAATTATTAATTGTTAATGACAATGCTAGTTAATGCAGCTATGTTATTGACTTATTGAGTCATGTTAATTTGATTCGATTTATTTTTCTTTTGTTGTTGAAAAATTCTTCTTCATTTTCTTATAGGTGGTGTTTTTACAAAGACAGAAATGTCAGAGGTTTTAACTGAGATATGTAAAATTGACCCAAATTTTAACAGAGAGGAATTTTTGAGACTATGTGAACGGGAAATAATACCAAATATACTTGAGGTGAATAATACCTTTTTTATTTAACACATTTTAGCCAAATAGTATTTTAATCGCTTTAGCCCAGAACTTAGCAAATCAGGTTTTACCAAGTGAAAAAGTTATTAACTTAATTTTTCAGGAAACGTAAACACATTTTTTTTGCTAAAGTATTTTTAGTATAATGATGTGAGAAACAAAGGTCGGATTGTGAAAGAAATTGCCCTTAACAACAAGCTGATTTATTCAAGTCTCTTTCAGATATCTTTGAAACCCTGCTTCATCAATATTAATGACATAAATATAAATGTTTTGTCAGTTAATTTGTGATATAACAATATAGAAACAAATTAAATCCAAATATTTAGTTTTATTTCATTTTTATTCTCGTATTTATTTCTTACTTAAAAGAATTTCATATTAAAATGTGTTTAATTGGTATATTATTGAATGTTGATGAATATTTTGAAAAAATAACTTTAAAAAAAAATAATTTCCTAGGCTCTTGTAAGAGGTGATTTAGATGTTTTAAAAGACTGGTGCTATGAAGGTGTAAGTATTTTCTCATTAAATTAACATTTGTATGTGTACTATTATTTAATAATTAAAGTATATATTATCAATAAATATTCTAGTAATTCCAGAGTCCTACTCAGTCTATAATCTTTTTGAACATTCTTTTTCAATTCCAGCCTTACAATACATTGGCCCATCCAATCGAGCAGGCGAAAAGAGCTGGATATAAGTTTGATTCCAAAGTTTTGGATGTTAGTCAAGCTGATGTAAGTTTCATACCTTTTTTCAACATATGATTTGTAATTCCAAAGGACATAGACATAATCATTTTGTTTCAATCATATTTTTTAAAACAGAACATATCACAGTTGATAAGTCACAGTATGCTGATTGTCTGGGATTAAAATTCTAGCTGGACAACATCAATGTCCCACTTATTTGATTGCAGTTACTGGCTCAAAATGAATGCTTTCAATTTTAAATGACAAATGATATCTGTTACTTTGATGAGTATTTTTAAAGTTAAAGTTGTTATTACTATTTGTCTGCTTCTCTAAAAATACTTTAATTGCCAAATAATTAAAGCCAATGTTCTAGTTCATGTTATTCTAAAAAAACAGTGGTTGATGTCATCCCCTCCAGTTACCTGTTTTATTTTAGTAGTGGGAAAAACTATTTAAAGTTAATTACAAGACTTTTAATGAATTTGCAGGTGATAGCTGGTAAAATAATGGAACAAGGCCCAGTACTTGTCATCAATTTTAATGCCCAACAAATCATGGTGGTCAGAGACAGTAAAGATAAAGTTATAGAAGGAGATCCTGTAAGTACTCATTATAAAGTTATGTTTTGTTAAAATTTTATATGATGAGATTGACTTTTTGCAAATCTATCTGTTTAGTATTTTAGATTATCTCAAGAGAGATCATATCTTTACTCTAATATTTAAGCTCAGCCTAGTATAGAACATTGAATATTTTCATTTTAAAAATAAATTTATGACTTATTTGATTCTGATTTACGTGTAAATGTATACATTTTTCCCCATCAGGATAAAATTCTACGTATTATGTATGTATGGGCATTATGTCGGGATCAAGAAGAACTGAATCCTCGTGCAGCATGGAAGTTAATGGACATATCAGCAAGTTCATCTGAACAATGGTTATAGCATCTGCATTTATGATATTAGGTGTAAATAATGTTCTGTAAAAATTGTGATTATGTTTTTACCACTTAATATACCTCTTAGTATTGGAACCTTGATACTGGCTAATGGTGCATCTAGTTATTATTTTTTCAAGGAAAATTTGTGGTAAACTTTATGAATCAAGGTATCGGTACCAGTAATGATAAAGTGAAAGCCTTAATTTTTTTACCGGTACTTGAAAATCTGTTTTTGTTATGGATAAAAGTATTGATAGTTACATGGAAATTAATTACCTAGGGACTAAATTGCCTTTACAAAATTTATCACTACTAATTTCACCTCACATGGAAAAATTAGAATTATAAGTGGAACACAAAATATGTATACTTCTGATTAATAATTATAAGTTAGGAATATGTAAACTGCAAATATAATTGATTATTACAATTATTTTGGACAACTATTTGACAAACTAGAGCTTGTTATTGCTATGGGTCAACCAATATCTAGATTAAAATATCTTTTTTGATACATACAAAATCATTGTGATGTTCGATGTTCTAACAACATTATCAATAAAATGAGTTTCATTATTCATGGTAATCTTTCTTCTTGTTTCCAAATTAGCAAGATAAAACTGCGACGCTAGTGTTTGTTGATACATTATTTAATATTATTACTATAGAGATTTTAAAGCAATGGATCAAATTTAAAAATATGTACTGGTAATCACATGTATTTGTCACTCTCACTGAAACTGCACACCTACTGAAATGGTAAAAAAAAAAAAAAAGCTGTTGTTTTTTTAATAAAAAATAAACTAAAAAAAAATAAACTAAATAATTAAAAAAAAAAAAACAAATAGATTTTAAAGCAATGAATCAAATTTAAAAATATGTCATGGTAATCACATGTATTTTTCACTCTCCCTGAAACTGCAAACCTACTGAAATGGAAAAAAAAAAAAAAAAGCTGGTGGTTCTGTAATAAAAAATAAACTAAAAAAAAATAAACTAAATAATTACAAAAGAAAATACATATGCTTTGACTTTGATATTTTCATTCTTCTTTTATTTCTTGGCATTGAAGCAAATTTCAATCAATAGTCATTAACTTAATGTGTTGACTTTTTTATATTTTTCTTGCCTTAATCAACTTCTTGGAAGATGGTTTTCCCCTAAAAGGCATCCACAAGGTAAAAAAGTGGAAAGTGGTTGGGAGAGAGATTATTTTATCAATGGTTTCTTGCCACACATAGCACCTTTTAACCATAAATCTGTCAAATAACCATCATCTTTTCAGAAGTAGATATTTACCCGCAAGCTATCCAAGTAGACTTATTTTGGATTTCGAAACTCTTTCCAGGGACTTACAATACTAGATTAGATTCAAAACCTTAAGGTACCAGGAAGTGATTATAAAATTTAATCTTATGAAATCAAGCGATGTAGAATGAAAATTCTAAAGAAAAACTGCTTGGTGGTAATTTACAAAAATATATGAGCTAGAATTTTGTTCACATCTTCTATGGATCAACCCAAAGTAACTAAATTATATACAGACTAAATTTTAACAAAACAAAATTGAACACTATCAATTTAACATGAATTCATATTAATGCTTTAAAACCCCTCGTTTCTATTTTAATTACCATTAAACTTCTTTAAAATTTCACTTTCAGTGTTTCAGCAATGTTTTTTAAACGAACACATATCATTTCTTTCTGGTCAGTTAAACTCTGTAACAGTAACTGACCATGGTTCATCAAATCATTCACAGCTTGGAATCCTTCTTGTTCATACTGTTCACTATTTTCCAGCAGAGGTAGAAAATTGTTAATGACTGCTTTTGATTCTTGATCCAAGTCTTGAAGTAATTCATGAAAGCTAGGTACATCTTGGTCCTTCTTATCTGAAGTGGTTAATTCACTTTCCTTTTCATGGCTTATTTCTGAATAAAAACCATCTGTGTCACATTTTTTCTGCTTGGGCTTAGGTTCAGAATCAACATTTTGAATCTCCTGTGCTTGCCTTTTATTTTTAACTTTATTGTATTTTATTTCAAGTGCCAATGAATTTGAAATTTCTTCCTCTGTATTTTCAAAAAGAGGTTTCTCGGCAGAGTTTTCTTGCATCTAAAATGTGTAAATTTTAGCAAGATTTAAAAATATTCAAATAATTTAAATATTAAAAGAGAAAAAATCCAGCAAATATTGAATAAAGTATTTTGGTATTAATAAAAATAGAGAATATCATTTATAATATCAATCAAATTAGCTTTAGCCCTGCATACTAATAAATCTCAAATGCAATTTGTTCAATTCACTGTTTTATTCCTTGAACATTAAAAGAATGTGAGTTGTTTGACTTGGGATTATATTGTGCAAACTAAAAGATATTATAAAGTAAAAAAAAAATTCAGGGTGAAAATAAACAATTTAAAAGTGTTTCCTGAAACCCGGGCCATACTATATTATTTACATGTTAAAACTTAAACTTATTTAATTATTAGCTAATTGACTGTGTTCATAATATATGTTTCATGAATTTTAAATAAATAGTGTCAGAAGTCAGTTTTTCATTTTGTTATTTTGTGTTACATGGGGTGGGTGTGTGGCAGTAGAGAGCAATGTTTTAACAATTGTTTTTATTTTCATTAATTTTTTTATCGGAACATTTCTGCCTTTCAAATTTACGAAATTAACCTCTATTATTAAAAAAAAACCTAAAATTTATTTTTTGCTCACAATAATATTTGCACTCAGTCAGCATATTGTAAAAAAATATTATTAATTTCTGGATTTTGCTTATTTTTCTTATTTTTTTATTGGACTGGGGTTTTTTTCTTGGGGGGCTGATGGCTAGAAATGTTATATACTACAGTCAGTGGGGAGTCATCACTGGAAATGTTAAGGGTTATAACTATAACAAGTTTCAAGGTTAGGGATGGGTAAAAATTTATCATATTTTTGTGTTACCGGTATATAATTTGTCCAAGGACCCTTACATATAAATATGTGTCTATTTTAAGCTATTAAATGGATAATTATTTTTTTTTCAAATATACTAATTATGAAGCAAAAAACTTTTTTAAAAGGAGTTACTTGCTTCAGCAATAAAAAATTCAGGAAAAAATGACAACAACTTAATCGTCTGCTGGTATTTTAACAAGGGAGAGCAGTACAGTATTATTCCAATATAAATTCTAGTAGTCTCTCCTTACCGGAAGTTTATGTTGCCAATGACTCTTATTTTATTTGTAAGTACATTTTAATAATTAGTATTTTTAATGGGTCTCATTAATACCATTATCTGTCTTTCTCTATCACAGAGCAATATAACAAAACACGACCATTCTCTAAAAGCTCAAAGTATATTTTAAATACCATAGCCATAATATGATAATTGAGGATGTATAATGTATCTTAAAAATCCGAGCAAGAGAAAATATTGTTTTAGATTTTTAGGAGAGTAGTAGACAGTGTGAGTGTTTCAATAAAAAAAAATAATATAAATATAAGACTAAAACAAATTCATGAAATTCTACTAATTCTAGCCAACTACCTTACCTTAATACTAATAATTTTTTAATAAATAAGGTAATCTACCATTTCAGCATCCGATATTAAAAAATCGCGTTGTTCCGGTTTTAAGTGCTATTTAAATGGTTAATATTTATTTGATTCCGTTAATAGTACAGAGAAGAGAGGGCCACTGGGTTTTCAGTTGCTTAGAAAGAAAGAGTGGTTTGCAATATCTAAGTGTTCTAAGTGGTGGGGGAGAAACCGTTTATGCAATATTGTGATAGCCTAACTCCTAGGTCAAATTCCACAAAGGGCTTGGGTGGTGAATGCTCTGTTTTGTAAAAGTGTGGCATACATTGCCACATTTTAATCAATAAATAAATTTTATCTTCTAATAAAAGAATAAACATTTAAATAGCACTTTAAATCAGAACAACATGATATTTTAATAAACCGACACCCAAGTGGTAAATTACCAAAAATAAATCATAATAAATTTCAAGATCTGTCCTATTTTTAAGCTGAAGTTTCTTTTCAAAAAAATTTAAATAAGCAAACAATTATAGAGTTTAGAGTCTTCAAACTTATTCAAACTCAAGACACTTAGGTATTAATACTATTACAAGGATTATCTGATTTTATCTGTTAATTTCCATACCAAAATCTATAACTATCAGTGCATATTAGCATTGTGCTGTTGTTCATGTTGTTCATCAATCGCTTGCAAAGATGATAAAGGCTATATTAGAAATTGGGTAGACTGATAGCTTATGACTCCTACTGAGTTTGGAAAGCTTGCCTACATGAAGAACACAAGTATTTTGGTATCCTTGTGGTATTTGAGGCAATCCTGGTTATCCTTGCTTTAACTGTCTTTGGGAGTGGTACATACACACTTGGAAAAGTGTGTTTGGACAGTGAGCCATCTTGTGCGATCCAAAGCATGTTTATTGCATGAGTTCAAGTTGATGTACATAGATTTAAGGACATTTTAGTACTAAAAATGACAACACAAATAGTAGTAAGCTAACTATTTTATTTTTGTCACATCAATTTGAATAAGCCTAAAGCTTTCTCCATTCTTTCATTACAGGTGGGATCTAAAAATTCATTTGAATTGAATAATCATCTGGTATAGAATTATTAATCATAGAGTGATTAAACATAATATTTAATTATATTGAAACAAACTTAAGTTTATTTAACATTGTGATAGTCTTTGTGCTTCACGAGAAAAGTTCATCATGCCTGAGGAAAATGTGAAAGTTGCAGTTCGTGTTCGCCCTTTTGTATCCTTCATTTGCATGTGATTTATTTTTCATGAAATTTTATAAATTGCTTTGTTTTTTCATTGTGGCTAACCATAAGCCGACGGGTAAAAAATCTTTAACTTTTTCAAAGAAACAAGATGTGAAAGATTTTGATGGTTTTATACATTTTAAAACATCATGACATCTAATTAAAATACTGATCTCAACAAAACTGTGAGAATAGCAGAAATAATAGTAGGCTAGAGGTCTCTATAAACCATTCCACTAATTTTCTTTCTTTATGAATATTGTATAGTCTATCACATTTAAAAGTCTTTGACCCATTGCATATTGGAAAAAACATTTTTTTCCTTCATTCTTGAATGTCAGAGATGGATTTAGTACTTTATGAAAACAGCCCATTTTTAGTTTTGTTCTCATGTTACAATCACAAATTCAAAAATGAGGCAGAATAAGTGTTTGTTTACTGTCAATACTTAAAAGTTTCATATAAATTCTTGTCAAAATAAAACATTCTAACTATACTTAAGTAAAATTATGAACAAGATAGTGAACCTTAACAAGAAAAAGAATGCAAGGGAAACTAATCGTGGAGCCCAACTGATCATCAGTATGGGAGATAAACAGACAATGATCAAAGACCCAGAAAATTTAACAGCAGAACCTAAGAAATTTGCATTTGATTATTCATACTGGTCACATGATGGTTATACTGAAAACAAGGATGGCTATTTATCACCCAAGGACCTTAAATATGCTGATCAGGTTTACTGCATGAAAGGAAATAGTTATATTACTTATAGGCTAACATTATTATTTTTTATTAATTGCTAGTATACTCAGTAGTCATTACAAATGGGAAATAAATTCAAATTAATTCCCTGAAAGAAGGGACAAGGTACAAAAATCATCAGATGTTTATGATGGGAATCAGTAAGTTTTAAAATAACAATTTATCATTACTGTTAATTGCAATTTCTCTTCAAAAATCTATTGTCATAAATTTTATATTAATATATAAGAAGATATATACTTCCTTTAAATGTTTACTGATGGTTCTGTTACAGAAAAAAGTATTTGATGACTTGGGCAAAGGAGTGATAAACAATGCCTGGAAAGGCTACAACTGTTCTCTATTTGCTTATGGCCAAACTGGAAGTGGGAAGTCCTACAGTATGGTGGGCTTTGGAAACAACAAGGGCATTGTACCCCTTGCTTGTGAAGAACTTTTCAAAGGCATTGAGGAAAAAAAGAAAGTTGCAGATAAAGACGCTGAATTTCAGGTAATTCATTACTAGCATTCGAATAGTTTAGCAGTTAGCTTATGGTTTTTTTTTTTTTGGACAATCTAATCATTCAAAATTTTAAATGTTTTGTTGACATTTTTTACTTTTTTTATACAATCATTATTTTTTCTTAAGCAATAAAGTTTCAATTGAAGTCTTATAGGAACATTTTATTTTTCATATTATGTTAGAAGACTAGAAAGTACCTCAATTCTTGACCTCTTTTCATTATATTCAGCTAAAATGTTAACTCACAAAAAATTAATACTGTCATAAAAATTGATGTTAGCTACTTTGGGGGATAAATAAAGCCGATTTTTAATTATTTCAGGTTACCATTAGCATGCTTGAAATTTACAATGAGCAAATAAGGGATTTACTCACAACCAAAGCAGCTTTGAAAGGTGGTCTTAAAGTACGTCAAAATCCGTCAAAGGGTTTTTATGGTAAGAATGGAATTGTCGTGTTACAGGACATTATGCAACTTATAGATTTTAAAATGCCTTTCCTCAACTCATTATCTATTTGAAAGCTGACCCATAAAAACTGCCTGGATTTAGTTTTATAAAAACTAAATCATTTCACCCATATTTAAAAGGTGGAAGAAAAATTAAATGATGGTGGACATAAGGAATATATTTAAGGTTGACTATGATCTAAAAGGAAGAAATAATATTGATTACAGCATAGAAAATATCTTTTCAATTTTAATGTTGTATTTTTGTTACAATTATATTTTTAAAAATAACCTAATTAATGTACAAATTATCCCCTTCATCCATGTTGTAAACAGTAAAAAAATAGTAATAATAACATATTGATAATTTTTAATAAATATTTTGAAATATTTCGATTAAAAATACTAATTTAAATAAAAGAGGTTTTATGCTTTTGAAAATAGACTTATAATGTAAGGGGCCATCCATAAATGACATCACACAAATGTGCAGATTTTTTTACCTCCCCTCCCCTTATCGTTACAAAAAGGACATCACAAACCTCTTCACCTCCCCTAATAAATCTCTCTGTTCAATACTGTCCATTATAAACCCTTAAAAAAAATTCACCTCCCATGGTTTGCTGCCATAGCTAATTGTTGCTGCCTTTAAAAAAAAAGTTTTTATGCATTTTGATTAGCAGCAGTAAATGTTTTTTCTGGTGAATTTTGTTTGTGCATTATTATTATTAGTAACATTTTTTAAAATTGTTTCTATAAAGTTAATTATAGAAATAAAATGACAATAATTAAATTATTTAATTATCATTTTAAAATTTATATTACAATATAATTTATGTGTGTGTCTGTGGGGGGGTGTTAGCTTAGAATGTTTGGAAATTGAGAGGAGATGCACTGCTTCCACATGGTTAAGAATTCCTGTCCTAGAACATTTACTAAGATTACCCCTCCGTACAACCATCTTTAGTTCCATCCCACTTCTGGTGGTATCCCTAATTCTATGGCTTCTGTCCTCAGATTTAGACATAAATTCTCATGACTGTCAGTGTCACTACACCCCAATTCTCCTCCTCCTTGGCAGCCTGTAATTTGATCAGAGGCCATTATTCGGACCTCACATACCTGCACTTATTCTCTCAGGGATTGTAGTTTACAAATAAAATAATTATAATAGTTGTATAAAAGAATACATTTAAAAATGTAATTTAGTGTTATTAAGTGCTATTTTTTCCAATAATGTTCCACTTGTAATGTGATGTCACATTATTTAAAAACTCCCTCCCCCTCATAAAAAAATGTGACCTCCCCTCTCTTTCCTGGACATGTGACATCATTTATGGATTGCCCCTAAGGAGACGGTGATAACATCAATTTTTTATGATTAGGACCTACCTAAAGTAGCATAATGTGATATTTTAAGAACCAAAGGGTAGTTAAGGATTAAAAGAGGCAGTTAATTTTATCACAATTTTATCTTTATGAGAGAAATCTAAGGAAATAAGATTTAAAAGTCTCTGTATTAGACCTATAAGACATGCCTTTAATTTTTTTTTTATACTGTTAAGTTGTACCAAACTATGGCTAATAACTGGGATGACTTGTGCACAATTTAGAAGATATATCCCCCACAAAAAAACCCAACTAAGTAATTGCTATAGCTAGCAAATTAAAAGCATTATCTTAGAGTAAATGGAACTATTAAAATGCTATTTTAAAATAACAGAAAAAGTTTTATATATATATATTGTGCAAGTTTGTCTTACTTTCTGGGACTCCCTAAAATCTTTGCAGGATGGTATTTGTACCAATATGTTTGTCTTTTTATTTCTGAGAAAAGTAGCAATAACATAAAATAAATGTTTGCATTTGCCTTTGCACTTAATGCAAAATTATTAATTTAAACTGACAGTTTTGAGCGTTAATTTTAATAGATATATCTGAATATTTAGTTTACTTAATCCTTTGTCTCTTAATATGAACTTTTTTCCCCTTATCTTATTTGAATTGCCAAGTGCTTGAAAAAAAAATGAACAGTTTGAAATTTTAAAAATTTCAGTTGAAAGTTTGACATCAGCACCTGTTAGCAGCTATGCTCAAATAGAAGGAAAAATTAATGAAGGCACCAGGAATCGAACAATAGCATCCACTAACATGAATGCAACTAGCAGGTGCTGAATATATGTTTTTAAGTCCTTTATTTTATTACAGTGCATACCACTTTTGTTTAAATCAAAGAATATTGATATACAACTTATTTAAATAGAAAAGGAATAATCACATGATAAATTAATGATAGCACAAGAAACTATATAATAACTTCCACTAACATGCATGCGTCTAGCATCTATTGTGTAGATACTTATATTACTTTATTTTATTACAATATATTACATCTTTAATTTTTTTAAATAATTAAATAAAAGTATAACTATTTAAATAAAAAAGGAATAATCCAAATGACAAGAAATATTTTTCATTCAATAATGTCTCTTTCTATTTTCTTTTAAAAGTCGTGCACACACAGTTGTAGCTATAAACTTTGTACAGAAACAGAAAAATGATGCAGGGCAGAATATGACCAAGACTTCCATAATAAATCTAGTTGATCTGGCTGGAAGGTAACAACAAAAATTGTTTGAAGTTGAGATGACTAATGTACATTTCTTCATTTATTGCTCTAGAATTTTATTAGTGGACATTTATAGTCTTAAATGGGAGAACTTTCATAAAACACTTGTCAAAAATAAGCTTACACAGTATGTGTTTTAATTATTTGTGATTCATTATCCTTATACAATTTGTTATATTTTTAGTGAGAGGGCTGATAGTACAGGAGCTTCTGGTGACAGGCTCAAGGAGGGCTCATCAATCAATCAGTCTTTAAGTACACTTGGTAACTGTATTAAAGCTCTTGCTGATCAATCAGCCGGAAAGAAAAAAGTCATGGGTAAGAGTTCTGAATTATCTAAATGACAATAAAAAATGTAAATATTATTGGTAACCTTGCCTACATTTATCCTATTGGAGCATGATACCAAGTAATTCTGTGGATGAGAAATTTGTTTCCACGTTAATATTCACAAACTTTATTTCCTTCAGTTCCATATAGAGATTCAGTCTTAACAAAACTGCTTCAAAATGCATTAGGTGGAAACAGTAAAACTGTTATGGTAAGTTTTCTTTTAATATTGCATTTTTGGGGAAAATCATAGTCATGTCAAAAACACCCGAGTTTATTAACTCAAGTCCATTACCAAATATGTCATCGATAATAAACTATCTGACTTATGCAATTTGGTTCTTTACAACTTATGCAATTTAGTTCTTTACAATATTTCTGGAGCCTGATTTTAGGGTAATAGTTTATTTATGTCTAGACAAGAGAACCTAAAAAAAATCCTGAGGTACGTGGATTAAAATTTATATAATGTGGATTAAAATTTATATTTAAAGATTGTATTTGTTAAAACAATTTTAATTACTTAAAAATAATCAAATTTTGATACACATAATTTGATAATCATAGAAGCATCTCATTCATTCATTCATCTTTCTGATGGTTGGTTGGATTGTTATAAATTTAAGTTATCATATTACCTACAGGGATTTTGATTGTTTTTTAAAAGTAAAAACAAAAACTACCTTTGAAAATAATAAAAATGACAATAATATGTATAGTTGTTTTATATTTCATCAAATCAGATTGCTGCTTTAAGTCCTGCAGATATAAATTATCAAGAAACACTTTCAACTCTAAGATTTGGTAAATTGTGCTTTTTTTAAATAGAAAAATTTATCATAATTGGATTCCAACAACAAGCTATTGCTTAACAATTATCAATATTTATTTATTTGCATTTTATTAGATATTTGGAAGGCATACTTTTTTTAAGAAAGTAATTTAAAATCCTCAATACTTCTGTTATCAGCTCTAAGTCTTCAAATAATGTTGGCAGGTGCTAATGCAAAATGATATTTGTATCTTTAAACTTGTGTAGCTGACAGAGCTAAAACCATAAAGACTCAGGCTGTGGTCAATGAAAGTCCAACGGACAAACTGATCAGAGAATTGAGAGAAGAGAACCAGAAGCTCCTGGCAATGCTAAAAGCTGGTGGAGTACCTGCGGAGGGAGGGGCAGCCAGTAGCAGTCAAGGTAACGTTGTAACTGGTTATTTTTTTATACATTTTTATATATATCCATCAGTGATACATTTAGCTACAGCACAGTTGATCAACTTCAGCTCTTAATATTTTTACTCTATTGTTATTGAAAATACATATGTTTAAAAATAATTCAATACATTATTGAATCCACAGATTAATAACAATCATAATATTGACTCGTTTAAATTTTAAAATATTTCATCATTAATTTGTCAAAAAATAAAAAAATGATTAATTTTGAAAATTGGCTTTATAAAAAAAATGTACAATAGAAAATACAACAGCCATTTCCACTGTACAGAATGCTTTATCTAGACGCTCTAAGCCAGTCTTTGATTTTTTCAATCTGTTAAACACTACATTTATTGGAAGGTAAAAAAAACATATTTTTATTTCAGATATTGAAGAAATGAAAAAACAGCTGGAAGAACAGATGGCAGCTAATCAGAAGGAACTGGAGGAAATGAAAAAATCTTGGGAGGAGAGGATGAAAGATGCACAATTAGATTCAATGGTTAGATAAAGGCATTTTAATTACCTGATATAAAATGTATCTAACTGAGGGAGATAAATATAAAATTCCATTAAAAAATTTACGAAGTAAACATATATCTTGTTAAGCTAGTTTAAAAATGACACATATAGTCCTCCTCATGCATTTCAGTTATAAGAAGACATTTGGATATAATCTTTAATTTTAAAATTACTTTCTTAGGCCAAACTGGAGGTTGAAAAAAAGAGAAACGAAGAGAGGAAGGTGACTCCCCACTTCTGGAATCTCAGTGAAGACCCAGCTCTTACGGCCATGATTATTCATTTCTGTAAAGAAGGTACAAGAAATGAGCAGCTTTTCATAAAAATTTAGTTAGTGTTAGGATTAGAGGAGAAATGTACCAAATAGGCATGCCCGTTTAAAAAAATCTCTGTTAAAAATATATATATAAGTGCAGCTTAAATGGATGTTATTTTTTTTATTTATTCAGGTACAGCCAAGATTGGAAATAAAAATGCAACTCCTTCTCCGGAGATTTTAATCAATGGCTTAGGGTAAGTCAGCTCCTTGTTCATTTATAAATGGGCATCAGTTTGCTAAGAAATTAAGTTTAAACTTTTCCTTGAAATATAACAAATAATAACATTTAGAGAACGTTATTAAAAATAAATACATTATATGTTTAAAATGTATTATCCATTGGGCACAGTGTATAGGGCCTATGAAAAATGCATGGCCTATCCTATAAAATTAAATAGAAGATAAGGTTATGGGGGATTTAAAATTAATGTTATGTATTTTAAATGGTACTTCTATTTTCATTATGAACACATATACATTACGATATATTGTTTCAATTAAAATGCATAAAATTATTTAAAAGTTACTAAAAGATTAACCTACAGATGATATTTATAAGTACCTAGCGCTTACAAAAAGCTCATGCAGCTCTTAGATGACCTCTAATATTTTTTCTTACACATCCACATGGGACAGTAATTCATGGTTTAAAAGCAGGTGGTACTCACTAAATCCACCTACAATTGAGATAAAAACATTTTATTATGAGATTCATTTCAAGTGACTCAAGCTTTGTAAATTGAAATTTTTAAAGATGTTGCTCTTTTTTTTTCCCAGGATTCAAAAACAACATGCCACAGTGACAAACAAGAAGGGCACAGTCTCTCTTAAGCCCCTTGATGGTGCCAAGATTGTGATCAATGGTAAACCTGTCACAGCTGAGACTGAGCTTCATCACAATGACAGGTAATTACTGCAAAAATAAAGGAAACCATTGCAAACATACATGGGTGACATTGACAACAGTTACACATGTAATCAATGACAGGTAACCATTGCAAACATTGAAAGGTAACCAAGGATAGCAGTGAAAAGTTGCAATGGCCTACAAAACTAGGATATAATTCAAACAACACCAGATAACAATTTCAAATAATGTCAGTCAGACAATTATTTCTAAAAATGAAAAGTCTTCATAATAATAAAATAGAACAATGTCAGATTACAATTTCAAACAGTGGAAGATAAACTCAGCAATTTTAGATAGCCTTTGTAAGCCTTTAAATAATGTAAAACAATTTTATTGCTTGAGCATTTTGTTTCCAATAATTAAAAAGTCAACTAAGTGAATAATAAAATGGTCTTTTAATTAATGCATGGGGTACATTCAAATTTTTGCAAAACAGAGTAGCTTGCCTGTGGTTGCCACCTACTTTTACCTATTCATGTTGTTTCCAAAATCATGTTTTTTGTTTCTAAACTTGATTCCATCCAGTAAGTTAATTAGGGTTAATTAAAATAGATCCAATCATATAGTTTTTAAAATAAAATTTATACTTTTACTCTGAATAATTTCTTTCCTCTCATTTCACGGTGACATCATCTGATCCATGTTTACTTAGCAAAACCATAGTAACCACAAATGATATGAAAGCCGAAATGATAGGCACCAACCTATTAGGCTCTCTTCTCTCCAAATAAATATTTTTTCCCTTCTTGGGCAAATCCCATAAATTAAAAGATCGGGAGTTATGATTTTAAAGATAATTGTTTAAATGATTGCTTTACTATCTTGGTATAAAGCAGCAGGTCGCACATGTATAAACTCTTATTTAATAAAATCTTTGCATCATAATTTATCAATTAAAAAATTATGTCTTGTAATATTAGGGGTCTTCCATTAATTATGTCAACACAATAGGGGGGGGGGGGGTGGGAATATTTGAAAGTTTTTGACAAGGGGGGGGGGGGGGGGTTTAGATTAGTGGACGTCAAAAATCATGTTTTCTTTTTTAAAATTTTAATATTATGGGGGGGGGGGGTTGGAAATATTTGAAAGTTTTTGACAAGGGGTGGGAGGTGGAGTTTAGATTAGTTGACGTCAACAATCATGTTTTCTCTTTTAAAATTTTAATATTAAAAATTGACTGGTTATGTGTCTGTCCATTGCTGATGGCTGGTCAGAATGTTAGCACACTTTGTTAGTGCAAGAGAAGTCAAAAGTTGGCCTCTCTTTGCCTGTGGATTCTGTTTGTCGCAAATGACAATGGCTGTATGTTTGTGATCATGTTCCAGGTATGGACAAGGTTCAAGTGTCATGTGCAATCAAGATAAATGATATTGATATAGATAGAATGATATTTTGAGAATTAGGGGAAAGTTAAGTGAGTAACAATAATAACATTGCTGCTTGAATGGATTTGCAAAATCTGTGACATCTATTTTGCATCACAAGTCACGTTGAAATAGCATGTTCAAAAGCACCGACAATGCATATGAAATTACTACCTTCTCCTCAACAAAAAATGGATTCGGCTAATGCAAGTAGCTGCCAGGAGACAGAGAGCTTATAGCAATTATTGCTCACGCTGTCAATGCTTCTATTTTAAGTGCTAAATGGTTAGATGAGAATGATTTTGACTTTTCTGTTATATCAGTTCCGCAAGAGGAAAATGATAAATCAGCTACTACACCAATTGTTATGATAGAGCAACACCTGGCTATTCTTTGGAAAGACAATAGCATCTAGAAATTATGCTACAATTGTTAGCTGTACTGACAATAATCATATTTATACTTCCACAAACAATGATATTAGTCATTAACAATATTTTCATTGATTCTGCATTAAAAAATTTAAGTGTAAAATCTTTTTTACTTGTTGATTAACAAGCTAAAGATGTAATAAAATGTTTTTCCTATAATTTTGTGTTATTAAAATAGGTCAGCACAAAGTAAAATGTATTAATAATTATTTATATTATAAATATTTTTTTTTTGGTGGTTGGGGGGTGGGTGGTTATAAAAAGGTCGACATAAAAACTTAGGGGGGTCACTGAAAGTTTGAAAGTTGCCAACAAGGGGGAGGGGGGGGGGTCAAAAATTGCTTACAAATTGTTGATGTAATTAATGGACGCCCCCTTTTTGTTGATGTGATAAATTTAGGGAACCTGATAACCATATGGTAAGATAACTATGAAACTTTTCAAAATATGATGTCTGCTAACCTAACAATCTCTACTATTGCAATTTAGGGTTTTACTTGGGCCCAACCACCTGTATGTGTTTCATCACCCTCAAGATGAAGCAAAACAAGTCAAGTTAGGTAAATCTGTGGAGCAACCCACTTATGACAGTGCCCAGGAAGAGCTGGCTAAGGCATCTGGACTTATGGATGAAAACAGCAGCAAATCAAAAGGTCAGAAGTCACTGTAATCTTGAGCCATTCATTTTTGTGATTATTTCAGGTTCAGATGATGGATAAAAACATTTAATTTTCCGCTATCAATTTTCTGCTATCAAAATGAACATGTTGTTACTATCTATAGTGATATAACTAGTTGAGATGCCCTGCTACAAGATATCATTTAGTGAAATAACAATTGATGGACATCAGAGAAGAGAAATATAAGTCATCTGTCTTACAACTAAATGCATAGATATAATGGTCATCATTCCACTCATTGACTATTCCCTTCTGAAATCTTCCCTTCAAAGAGGACCTCTTACTCCAAGAAGATTTGATCCAGCTACTTCCAATGGTGACTGAGGCCAATGCCATGTCTGAGGAATTGGACAAGAAAGTGAAGTTTGAGATTTTTCTTGTCTCACCCAAAGCAAGGGGCCAAAAGGAAGGGGCAACAGAAGTATGTCGCTGTAAAATCTATTAAAAAAAACAATTACCTTTAAAAGACTACATTTTTAAGGTAAATTAGCTTTATGCCCATATTGCTTATTATATTTTTAAAATTTAATAATACCATTTTTTATGTAGGTGATGGTGAAATTGAGAAATTTGGAAAATGGTAATTGGTGGTTGCTATCCAGAAACAATTTTATCAACAGGAAGTACATGATGCAAGAAATGTATCAAAATTATATGGAAGGAGAGCCAAACTGGGATGTGCCAAAGGTAGGTCACTCATATTGATGCTTTCCAAATGAAAGCAGTTTAGCCTGGGAAAAATAGCCCGGTTTTTTAGGAAAATCAGACTGAAAAATTATTTGGTAAGTATTGATATAATATTTCGATTAAAAAAAACAACCTTACCTGCAATGCAAATATTCATAAGAAAAGTAATTCTTAACTATTAAAAAAGTAATATGATAATTGCTAACAGTACTGAAATTTTGGATTCATTAACATCTCTTTTGGTTTTTTATTTCTTGAAGTTTCTCACTTCAATATTACTAATACATATATAGGCTTGATTTCTGTTCTTAGGAAAAAGATCCATTCTGGGAGCCTCACAATACACCTGTATTGTTAGGTAATGCCCATGTTTATCTACAGTCTATTGCCTACCTCATTGAAATGGATGAAAGTATGATTATAATGGACTTAAAAGGCAAAGAAATAGGTACAGTTAAAAATCACACATATTTATTATACAATATTTCTCACTTGCCTAGCTTAAAGTAAAGAACTGGAACTGCAAAATAAAAAATAATAATACATTTTTTTTTTGAAAAAACATCACTAAATTAAGATTTACTTACTACATATTCTTCGAGCTGAACAATATTGTAGATTGTGTTCCAGTTTAAAAAAAGGGATAACTTTGACAGATCAAATATATAGATTTTTTTAAAATAAGCTAAGAGTTTATGATGCAAATTATTATTAAAAATATATGATCAAAGCTGAAGTATGATGCAGAAGTAACACATTTTGGAAGAATAAGAATTCATTTCTTCTTTTCTTTGTTTGTAATAAATCTTTACAATATTGCATTTAAATCATTTTAATTATCAAAACATAGATTGATTTAAGCAAATGAGATTGAACTATAATGATAGAATAAAAATTGTAAATCAGGCTACATTGTCCTCAATATGTTAAATGAAATTAAATGCTTTACAGGTCATTTGCTGATAGAGCTTATAAAAATTGTAAATCAGGCTACATTGTCCTCAATATGTTAAATGAAATTAAATGCTTTACAGGTCATTTGCTGATAGAGCTTATTCCATGTGATGACAAATGGCAAACTCTCAAAGAAGATGTTTATGTAGACGATCCCAATGAGTTAGTGAGTAAACAAGTGTTAAATTCCGTTATCATATAACTAAATAAGTGATCATTAAGTAAAAAGTAATTAATTTAATGATGTGTGTAAACCAAATGTAATGCAGGAGATACACGGCAAATGATCTTCTGTTATCATGATAATTCAGAATCATTTATTGTTGAGTTGGTTTCAGCGTGAAACAAAATGCTTGACAATCTAGAATTCTAAATCATCGATAGATATTGAAATATTTTTAAAATAATAAATGAAAATAAAAAACCTGAGTGTTTTAATTATGAGTTTTTTTTTACTTTTTCTAAAATGTTGCTGAAATTATTCAATTAAATTAATTCAATATTATTCATACACTTAAAAATAATTTATACTAATTTTAACTAGACACTTCACTATTAATATAAAATCATGCTAACTTTCTTAACAAATCTTAATGTAAAGTCTGGGTTAATATACTTTTAAGCACATTTTGATCAAATTAAGAAATAGGTACAGAATTATTCATTTGAAAATTTAAATCTATACATTTGGATGATTAATGTACAATTATTCTATATTAACTCCTAATTTTGTAGAGAGGAAAACCATTGTATTTCAAGTTCAAAATAAAAGGAGGAAGAGGTATACCAGCTAACTTTGAAACGGTGAGTCTTGCATTAAAAATGCTCACAAAAGAAACTTAAGGATTTAAATGACATTGTCTCTCATTATGAATGTAATAACACAATCAGAAAATGGAACTTTGATATTTATTACTAGAATAAATGACCCGATGTTATTGGGATAATAATGTTAGGTTCTTTGTGATAGTTTCTACCTGCTATTACAAAACCTCATCACAATTCGTACCTTAAAAAGAAGTATCTATATAATGATATTTACATTTCAAACATCATTAAGTTTTGAGAAGAATTTATCTGCTATATATTATACGCTTACCCTACTCCCTTTCACGCCCCTAAACTACATTTTTCCCTCTAAAAATGACCTTAAATTACCTAATCTAAATTATTACTAATTATATCACTTTTGTCACTAAATAAGTTAATTGAGGGATGATTTCTATGCTAGAGAATTACTTTAGATTCTCCCCTTTTCATGCCCTTGAATTCCAACTTTTTTTCTCTAAAAATTGTTAAAAACATAATCTTAAATTTACAACAAAAACTCTATGTATGATATAAAAATATTTTATGTTAAAGGAATTTGATCTATTTCTATCTTCATCAAAATTTAAACACACTTTTGCCTTTGTTTTTTAAATTATGCTTCATCAGAAAGTTGTAAAACAAAGAATTCGTTTATCTACAGAAGAATCTCACAACCGTTTTTCACATCTATAACAGACTTGAGTTTCCTCTTTTTTTTAAAAATTGTTTATCTCATAAAAATACACATCAACTTCACTTTTCACAAAGTAAAAACAAAAAAAATATTTTCATTTTTTAAAAAGAAAATATTAACCCATCTCAATTTTTCTAAACTAAATTTTGAAGTGTGCAAAATGATTGGGTTTTGATATTTATGGATATAATTGAATAAATGTACCAACATTTTATTAACGCCATTGATTTCTAAATTGGTAAAAATATGTTTATTTGTAAAAAGAGAATTTTTTCACAAATGTAATACCATATGATTTTATTATATTGTCATCCGCGTAAAAATGTACACATCCTATTTCCTACCTCTGATAGGTATGTAGGCCTACCAAAGAAGGTTAATTCTTTATCAAATTCATTCCTTTATTTTGAGACGTATCTTGTGCTGCCCGGGGCAAAATGAACATACCCATATTTGTAAAAAGGGAATGCAACATCTCTTTTTTTCACAAATATAATACCATAGGATTTAAATATATTGTCATCAATGTAATAATGTACACATTCTATTTCCTACCTCTGATATATATGTACCCAAGAAGGTTAATTCTTTATCAAATTCATTGCTTTATTTTTAGTCTTATCTTGTGCTGCCTGGGGCAAAATGACCACCTACCCCCCACCCGGCTTTAAATAAAATTAGAAAATCTTCCACCAGATTGTAGTCCCTTCCATACCAAAACAAACAATTTGCACCTCTTATGGTTTGTTCTTATTTGGATGAGTTATAAGAAGATTAGTGAATGCTATGGCTATGGAGTTTCGCTGCACTGATTGACTTAAACAGCATTTTCTTATTAGAAGTAAATTTAAAGGTTAAGTTTTTATTATGTTATAAATTTAATAAAAGTATATTTCTGAAAAAAGAAAAAGGTAAAACTTATTAAAAATGTTAAAAAATATAAAGATACAATTTTTGTTTTTTTATTAACAAATTTAAAAATCAATTATATTTATTAATTTTACTTCTAAGAAGGGGGAAATACATTATCAGGATTGTAAAGCACGGTTATGAAATCAAAGAAATTTAAGAGTTTTGGCTAACATAGGCCATTTGTGCTATGACTCATTTGCATGTTTATTTAGAAGAAATTAATTTTAATTTTATTTGGCAATATTAAAAACACACTAAAAAACGCACTAAAAACAACTGATGTTTGGGTTTTCACGATAAATGTGATTACTTTGTAATTCTTAGGTTATAATTTTTCCGTTAAATTCTGTGTTCATAACTTTTAAATTCAAATAAAATGCTTAAAATAGTTTCCGTAAAATAATAGAAAATAACTATGATTGTTTTTAAGAATATGAACTATCTAAAGTATCTAAATCTTTTAGGTTTTTTGGCGTTATGTCACTATAGCTCATTCTTGTATATAATATGGGTCACATTTTTATTAGGATTTCATGTACTTCTTTATTTTAGGGCATTTAAAAATATATTAAAAGAAACTTTTGTAAATGAAGCTGCAATAAGCCAATAGATACATTGAGTAGTAAGTAAATGGATAATTTGTGAGTGATTAATAAACTCAGTACTCAGTATGGCATTTTGTGGTATGTAAATGGTTCATTCATGAATGATCAACTGATGCATTTGCATTATTTTAAAATATTTTTTGTTTTTCTATTAAAAAACTCCTAAACCATATTTTTTGTTGCCTCCATGTCATAGCTTTTGTTAATTATTTAATTTGCTTTAACTTTTACAGACAAGCTGCTCTTACAAATTCTACATTGAAGACAAGCCAACAAAAACAAAGGATGTTAAAGGAACAATAAATCCAGATTATGAGCATGAGAGACAAATAAGCTTTAAATCAGTAACAGATCAGGCAAGTCAAGTTTTTATATCATCAATTATGTGTATGTCAGCTTCTCAGAGTTACAAGCAAAATTTCCATTTCTTATAAAATATTTTCAAATATTACATGACATCCAAAATAAAAATCAATTAGCTATAATAAATACTATTGAAAACAATGTTCTAAAAAAAATGGAATGTCTATATAATGCAACATAATTTTATTGTTACTTTTTTTTTTGTCAAACTCTAAATTGACATTTGTTGGTAGATCTGTGGTGATCTGACTTTTAATATATTAGTGAGGAGTATCTCTTGTATGAGATCTCCTCTTGTCTCTCTGTCTAGGGATATGTTACTTAAGCCAAATTACCACACAGACATAATAACCTATCTATTTACATATAGTATTGACTGAAACGAAGGCTTAGGTAAAGGAGAAATAACTATGAGTATTTATTGAATAATAATATTTACAAAATCCTCCTTTATACACTCCTGGTGCTTAACATTAAACATCAAACGGATTTTTTTCCAATTAGAAAGGTATATTAATGCAAAGCAAGTGTCCCTAACATACAAGCGGTATCATCATAAAAATGCTAAAAAAGTGGCTCTCCCGCGATAAATCGTGGTAGTGAGAGTCCCTGGAACTCGAAGTCCTCTTAGTAGCTGTCAGGTAGTTTGGTGTAGGATGTAGATCAATCCCCTAGCGCCAGCTCAAGGTAAGTCGGTCCAGCAATAGAAACCAGGCTAAAGGCAAATGATACAAAAATGGATAAGTATCCAAGCGAATAGCCATAAGCTGATAAGTCCCAATCCACTAGCAATGAATTCAGATCGATGTATGGAAGGTGACATAGCTCGTGCTTATACATCCAAATTGTGGATGGATTTATAAGTCTTATCATTGTCGGGGTAAGCAGATCTTGCTTCGCGACAATGTTGGACCAAGCAAACATTTTAATTAATAAAGTATGGGACATGGTAGCATTAACAATCATTAAAATTATAGGAACCTGATACTCATATTGTCTTCTTTTTAAAAGAGACATGTGCACTTTAGAACAACACCTGCCATCCCCATGATGGAATGGCGGCGTGTCTTAGCTCGCGGCAAAAGCAATTATAGAATTCATAATATCAATATAAATGAATATAGGCATTATTAGGATAAGATCAAACGCGAACGAATAATTACTACATGGGCAATAAAATGATACCAAAATTATGGTTGCGTACTTACTAGTACTCTAGGTAGCAGTCGTAGTTAAGTATCTCGCTAGTGAAGTACTAAGTCCAGTTACTTCAAGCATTCACAATTGAGTGATCAGATCTTAAAAGACGTATACTTGCTAAGTCCTAGGTTGCAGTTATGTATCACGTTAAAGAAGTTCTAAGTCCCGATCCTTCCGGCGTTCACAGTCAAGTGAGCATGATTATGATCATAAAAGACAGATTCTTGCTTTTTCAGGCTATTTATTCGAGTTGGGTGGCGATTAGGTGATGATTCAATTGGGTGATTTAAATGTTGTACGTTTTTCCACCCAATGACAATCACTTTCGATGTTGCAGGTTTGACCTTCTACTCTCAAAGTTTATCTGGCTGAGGTGAAAATCCAAATTCACGCTTTTGCGTGAGTTTTCTGGTTTAGAAACTCAATAACAACAAGGGGCGATACTCTGCTTTGCTGTCTCCAGGGCAGAAATGAGGGGGTGGGGGATGGTATTATTTTCTCAAGGTTCATCAGTGGGATGGTTTGAACACAAATTGCACGCTTTTTGGGATGAGCGGGCTTGAGTAGAAATGTGATAACACAAAGGGAAACCACTCGGGTTAGTCTACTGTGGGACAAACATAGGGAGGGAATGGTATTATATTACAGGGTATTCAAAGGCGTAGGTGAGGGGTAAGAAATATTACTAAGATCAGCTCCAGATCATCACAATAAAATGCATGGAATTCATCACACTTCATTCATTTCAACTCTGCGACTGACAGAATAAATTGATATAATTTGGGTCTATTTATAAACAGCTCATCCATTATTTAAGTAATGATGCTGTGACAGTGGAGGTATGGGGCCAACAAAAAGAAGAAGGCATGAAGACTGGTTCCCATAGTTCCAGCACTCGGGACCTGATGCTTAGGGACAGATCCAGCTTGACACCATCCCCTATAGTGGCAGGTGAAACTGCACAAAAGGTGAATCAAACAACTGGGTTGTTTAGTTGACTTAATTTTATTTTTTTTAGAAGAGTTACAAATATATATTTACATAAAAGAATTGATTGCCTTAAATATCTTTTTAGGTATCGTATGATTTTTGAAATTTTAATCTATTTTATGATTAGGCTAGTTTCTTGAACAATACATAATAAAGGACTGAAAACCAGTATACAACAAAAAACGATTACAAAGCCAGTGTTGTTTACAATACTTAAATTATACTATTATATTTATACAAGAATACAAAAACAAATAGACAGAAATAAAACTATATTAACTTACTGCACAGCAAGAAAAATCCTCAAAAGATACAAATATTAATATACACACACAGACAGGGAGCACAATCTGTAAGGCTCCTATATTATGTCTTGTAAATGTGTAGGAAAATTAGCAAAAATCTCTCCCGGCTGGGAAAGCTGCTGCCTTATTTATAGGGAGAGAGTTAGAACCCTCCAGAAAGAAAGACAGTTGTGTGAAAATTCTGTTTGCAGAGTCAGCTCCATTGGCTCCCATATTTTCTTTAATAGCACAAATGCTGACCTATTCTTTCCAACTCTAGCCCTGACATCAGCTTCGAATGTGAAAACCTCCACTTCTTCCAGTGAATTTCCTTCCAGAGAGATATGCTCTTGGTTGGCTGAGTTTACATTCATGATCTTTGACTTGCTTTTATTTATAATGTGTCCAAGCTGTGCTTAAATGGTTGCTGCATGTGCAGCTGTTTATCTGACAGATGTGCAATGTCATTTGCAAAGTTAAGGTCATTCAGTTGTTCCCAGGGTGTCAACTGTATACCTTTCCTCTTTTGTCTGTGGATTTTTTCATTATCCAGTCAATGGCAAGGATGAATAGGAAAGGGAACAAGAGACATCCTTGTTTAACTGCTGTACTATCCTGCATATCTTTTCAAATAGAGGGTGTAGCATGATAACTATTGTATCTATATCTGCTCTCATCATATCTGTTATTATGTTATCCAATCAGAGTACTTTCCCAATTTTAAGCTGCTTGATAGCCAGTGCTATTTCTTTCTTATTTGGGGCACTGTCTTCTATTGTAAATCTTCATTTGCTAGTTTTATTAATCATGAAAAGGGATTTTAAAATCTGTTTAAATATATGGCCATTTTAAGCTTAATTCTAACATTTAGGGTACGGTCTTAAACTATTATAAAATTTGTAAATTATTGGCCTATTTATTGTCAAGACTGTAAAGTTACTGGTTATAATTTTTTTTTTATTAGGCCTAATATGAAGCAAAAGCTGCATCAATTTTTTCCCTCGAGTTTTAAAAACTTATACAAATCAGTTAGATATGAACATTTATATATTTGTTCTATTTGTTGGTTTGCTACAAAGGTCTAAGTTCCACTATGTTAAATTTTAGCAACACCTACAACCACATTAAAAAGGTATGTCCTGTCTTGTTTATTTCTTGAAATTGGGACAAATCTCCAAGATAATACATTTTCTGTCATAAAAATTTCTTTAGGGTACCAATTCATTAAGTCCCAACAGTGCTGTTAAAACAGGCGGCAAAACTGCTGCACAACTAGCTGTAAGTTAAATTCAGTAAAAAGTTTATTTAAAATACTTTTTTTTAAGGATTTGAATATCTGATACTAAAAAGTATGATCCAATACAGTTTTCCATAACTGAAAACATGTAAGATTAAGAAATTTAAAATTAGGAGAAAAAGGAAATCACAGCTTTTTTCTATTTATACATTGGATTTATAAATATATAAATTCATAATGAATTTTGGAATGGCTCATTTAATGTCTAAAGAAATAATTTAATAAACTGAGTTTTAGATATTTGTTACCATTGATCAAACTCACAAGTCATTAAAATATAAAATGGGAAAATTATTTCAGGCTGAAATTCAAGAAAAGCTGAAGAAAGCAAAAACCAAAGGAATGAAATCTGTTCCAGTGAGTAACATTGATATATTTTAGGTCTCTTTTAGTAGGTTTGGCAGTTTTCTTTTGTTTACATCAATAAAAAATTCATTTTTCACTTTTTGCACCCTTGTTTTTAATATGATTTAATTTGAGAGTATAGAAAAGTAAATAAGGTTTGAGAAAATAAGGAAATGCACATTTTTATTTTAGTTGGAAGATATTGAAAGTGCCCTCGAACAACTGACTGGGGCTACAGCACAGCAAGGCTCAAAATCTAAAACAGTAAAGAGCACATCAAGAGCCTGTTTACTTCAGTGAATTGTTACATTATTTTTCTGTATTACTCAAGCATTTAAATTATGTCTGAGCAAGCTAAGGTAACCTTTGGTATTTTTGTGTTTTTGAACTTATGAATATAAGTAAAAAAGATGTATCTATTTTGGCTATTTTTAGGATTTCTATAAGCATTTTGTGCGAAGAGACTTAAAAATATTCTTTAAAACTTGGTCAACATTCATCAATAGAATGTAGAAATGAAAATCTTATTTTTTTTTTAATTTCTTGGCTTTGACGTTTATGTAATAGTTTAACAAACGAACTTGTTTTCTTTGTAAATTTCTTATATTTTGTGCATTTTTGAAATTGAACTTAAAATGTGATGCAAACTACTAAGTTTTGAAGTTGTTTTTTTTTAATGAGCTTACTTTTGAAGCTCACTTAATTGGATTCTTATCAAAGTTGTACAAAATCTTAATGAAAAAATTTGGGGAAATCAAGAGTAGCCCTTCCTGGTACTGACAGCAGTGTTTATTTAATAATGTTGAATCTTTACATGATTTCCCAATCATTCAAGCAAAGTAACTTATGTTATGCATTACATTAATACAATTTGATTGTGTATCATTACAATTGTGTTTATAAATCCAACTGCTCTATGTCAAATTATTATCTGCAATTTATGGGGGATAATAAATCATTATTGTTTTATTTATTAATGCCTGTGGTCTCAATTTTGAGTTTAATGGCAATAGAAATTTTAAAAAAAAAGGAGTTTTAAAAAGATCTGCATTCCTAGTGATGTAATTTTCTGTATTTAGCATAGATTATATATGCTGATATTATTATTTTTCAACTTTTGAAAACAAAATATGCATTTGGATAAAAATATATATATAAGGCTAAATAATTATTACCTTTTAACATATGCTTTTCTGACTTTGAAGTTTTATTTTGTTTAAAAAATATAATTTTTTTTTAAAAATGGTCTTAATTTCACATATGATCAATTAGATTTACTGTAATCTAAATAAATATTCATTTTTACTTGGCAACAAAAGTTATTTATGGTTTGATTTCAAATAATAATTTTTATTTGAAAAATATTTTTATTGTATGATAAAATATTTTTTCCAAAAATAATTTCAGAATATGTTATTATACTCATAAATTGCTTCAAGTTACGCTATCAAAGCAAATACAAATTATTATTTTTTTCATTCTTCAAGCTTTATAAAAAAGGCAAGAAAGAAGAAAAAAAAACTTATTCAATTGGTTATCTCACAATTACTGAGACCATGTCTTTCTATATCTGAGGGTACTGCTACAAGCTATTAAGTTTGTTATAATTTATATATTTATACATAAATAAATAATATTACTGTAAGTTTATATTTTGCTCATTGTTCAGAGGACCATAAATCTCCTTTTTTATTGTTTTATGTATTTTATATTCTTTCAACTTTTAAAACTATTTTGTGCCTTTCACAATATTAGAAATATTTTTTTTAGAAGTTTATTTTCCTGCAATTGCTTTTTGTGATTTAACAATAATGAAGCACGCTTTACAAATGCAATGATAATGTTACACATTTACTAAATATTAATAATTTACAATAATGTTTTAAAGATTAAAATTTCTGCACTTTATCTTTGAAATTATAATTTTTTTGTTAACAAAGAGTTAAAACGATTATAAGGTCTTAAGAGATTAATGGCACTTGAAATATTATAACTCATAATACTCAATTTTTTTTTTTTCATGATCAAGGTAATATTTAGATGACTTTAACAGACTTCTGTCACTTTTCATCTATATATAATATATTATATATAGGGCCTATATATATAGCCATCCGGGGTGCACCGTGCCTTCCACAAACTGTCCTTAGGTTTCTCCAATTATCGTTACAATACCATAAAGCCCATGTCCATCTCCAGATGTGTCCGTCGAAGTTTTTCTCCTGTAGCCATTGACCAAAGGCTTTGTAGCTGCAAGGACGTGGAAATCTGTAGTGCTCCTATATTCTCTTAAATCGTAATAAACTTCAACTAAGGTCGAAAGAATGCAGTGATTCCTCAGAGAGAAAGAAAGAGAGAGAGAAAGAAAGAGAAAGATAGAAAGAGCGAGAGTGAGTAAGAGAGAGGGGATTAAGAGAAAAGGAGAAAGAGGGAGAGAAAGCGAGAGTCAGACAGACTTATAAATATATGGAGAGAGAGAGAGAGAGAGAGAGATGGTATAATAGGGGCAAGAGAAAGGAGATAAAATAGAAAAAAATAATTTTAAAATTTAGTGAATTTCTGCCGTCGAAGAAACCGACAGGTAGGCAACCACCCATAGGTAGGGAACCACCCATTCCTTTGTAGCAGTGCGATTGAAAACTTCATTCAATGCGTCCTTCTGTCTCCAACTTCTGCTCTTGAGTGGGGAACAACGTCATTAACGTGGAAATTTACAGATTGCAGTTTTCACTTTTCACCTAGACTCGGATCCGACGGGTATTGTCTCAAAATATTCGGACCCGGTGCCCGGACAAAAACTGCACCGGCTTAGCCCTAGATCAGAGGTTCTCAAAGTGGTCTATATTGACACCCAAGGGGTCGACGACAACTTGCAAGCGATCCACGTCAGCGAAAAAAAAAATTCAAAATCAGATAAGTCTGCCCAAAACCGAAAAAAACATGGCAAGTAGTCTACGAGACAAAAAAGTTTGGGGACCTCTGTCCTAGATGCAAGGCAGTCTACGAGACAAAAAAGTCTGGGGACCTCTGCCCTAGATGCAAGGCAGTCTACGAGACAAAAAAGTTTGGGGACCTCTGCCCTAGATGCAAGGCAGTCTACGAGACAAAAAAGTTTGGGGACCTCTGTCCTAGATGCAAGGAAAGGGTCTACATTAATCTCATTTGACTGCTTTTACTTATAAAGTTATAGAGTGGTTTCACAGTGCTACAGACGCACGACCTGTCAGAGTGTTTTATATCCACTAGTGCTACAGACGCACGACCTGTCAGAGTGTTTTATATCCACTAGTGCTACAGACGCACGACCTGTCAGAGTGTTTTATATCCACTAGTGCTACAGACGCACGACCTGTCATAGTGTTTTATATCCACTAGTGCTACAGACGCACGACCTGTCAGAGTGTTTTATATCCACTAGCGCCACAGACGCGATGTTTCTCATACCGGCTAGTTCTACGGACCGTAAACTGGTTCTTTGACCTTGACACGTAGCACGCTTACCTTCTTCGTTTGATCCAAATCTGAGAAACATGGAATGCACGATTGTTTACTTTACCCATAGTATGCACATGACAGTCCTTCGATCAATTTTTTAACTCCAGGATATAGAACAAAATATGTGAAAGCTTGATTTTCTTTCCATTCAGGCTTACATATTGTATCCTTTTCTACTATTTCCCTGCAGCCCCTTAAATATTCCTCAATAAATGTTCAATACATTAAGGTTAATTAATGGCATGCAAAGTTTTGATTATGTGAATTATTCTCAGAGTGTTTTATAACGTTTAACAGATTGTCATAGGGGCTGGAAAATTAAAATATATATATATATATTAAGAACCACTGATATAGAGGAAGTCAGATGGACAATGTCATCAGGTTGGAAGGGGGGGGGGTCAGATTTGAGGTGGGCCATTGGCCAGAGGCGTCTCCAGGCCCTAGACTAGCGAGAGCGCAAAATGGGCTTTGATGGTTATTTAATGGATGGAAATAATGGTCTTCAGAGTTGAGTAAGGGAGGGGGGGGGGGCATAGAAATAAATCTGGTTCACTGGCGCCAAACACTTTAGCTACGCCTCTGCCAGTGGTGTAGAAAGGGGGATGGATGAGGTGGTCAGCCCAGGGTGTCACTTTGTTTTATATATAAGTGTGGCCTTTTCGGATAACTGCAGAGTTTGTATCGTGAAAGAGAGAGAGATTAAAAAATCTTGGCCCGCCAAAGGCAGCACTAACACTAGCTACGCCACTATGCAGTGTAGCTATCGGCAGCCAAATGGGTGATCAGAGCCAGCTATACTGTCATGCGCTATCTTGTACATCCGCCATATGCTGTCTTGTATAACGGTTATCTGTTGTCTTGTACGGCAGAAATTGAGGGCACCGATGGATCTTGGTCGGAAAGGGGATATGGAGAGCCACTCCCCCGAGAATTTTTTTTATTTTTTTAAAATCAAGAGGTTTACTTGATCTATACCTGAATTCAGTGTTTCTATTAGCCTGCACAACTCAAAATGTAAGGTGGGCCGTAACACTTTATGAAAACCTTGTGAGCCAAATGAAAATATGACAGGTCTTGTGCAGGCCAAAGAAAATATGACAGGGGGAAAGCTATTAAGAAAATAATAAGAATAAAGAATATTTCTTTACTTCGCGGACCGCAAAGTGGGTGCTGGCGGGCCACATGCAGCCCGCGGGTCGTATGTTGTGCAGGCCTGTATTAGACTATTTGATCGGGAAAGTGAATTTTTCAAGCGTCCCAGTGTTACGCTCTGCTGTCTATTGGGATAAATTAATCTCTTATTTTAAGTTCATGGCTCGTTCTAAACTGTACATAACAAAAAACGATATCATATGGGAAATACAAAAGCAAAAGAAAAGGACACTCCAAACAGTGCTAACTACAATTAATAAGGTTATTAGGTTACTAATAGATTACAAAATGAAAGAAATATAATTAAAATCAGTAACTTACAGAGTATTGTGTTTCTTGTACCGGTACAAAAGTTGATAAAAATTACAATGTGCAAAAAAAATAAATAAATTCACATACAAAGTAAACACAGCTCTATCAAGAATAACCCACTCTAAAAATAATTCTCGCCTGTCGTCCCCTATAGTAAAAATGAATGCTAGCGTCCGTTGCCTTTGTTACATTAAGAAATGGCGTCAGCGGGGCGAGTCTAGACTCTTATGCCCCCCCCCCAAATTACCCCTCCCCGGTCCGACGTATCGGGCCGCGGAGCGGCACGTTGGAGATGCCCACTGGCCAGGACGGCCCCCACACGGGCCCCTCACCCAAGTCCCCCGCCTGGGCACCTGGGCGCTCTACCAGGACCCCGCCTGGGGGCCGCCCCAACTAGGAGGCACCCGGTCGATCCGACACTATGCGTTTAAATAGTGCACTCGATCGACTTTCTCAGGAGTTGGGATGGAAAAATGTACGTCCTAATATCTTCCCCCACCCATCCCGGGAAAGCGTCGGACGCCCTATAAGAGGGATTCCACAGTGGGCTTCCACAACGCGACTAGCTCACGCTGTAGCTGGGACGAAACGGTTGCCTAGGGGCAGCGTTCTCACGGCTGCATTATTTGAATCCTCGGCCAGAGGTTACCACCCTCGCCTCTGGCCTCATACCCGTCAACGGCAACTTGTAATCATGATCCCTACCCTGGCTCTGCCTAACTTTCCGACTGCGAAATATCACAACCGGCAGCCCTGTGGGAGCTGTTTTATGTACGGCAGGTACCGAGCACACCCTTTGTCTGCCCACGCGGGGCGTGCCCAGTAGTTATGTTTCCAGGCAAACGCCGAGGGGGTCGGTGGCCGACGCTTCCTAGTGCACTCGATCGACTTTCTCAGGAGTTGGGATGGAAAAATTTACGTCCTAATATCTTCCCCCACCCATCCCGGGAAAGCGTCGGACGCCCTATAAGAGGGATTCCACAGTGGGCTTCCACAACGCGACTAGCTCACGCTGTAGCTGGGACGAAACGGTTGCCTAGGGGCAGCGTTCTCACGGCTGCATTATTTGAATCCTCGGCCAGAGGTTACCACCCTCGCCTCTGGCCTCATACCCGTCAACGGCAACTTGTAATCATGATCCCTACCCTGGCTCTGCCTAACTTTCCGACTGCGAAATATCACAACCGGCAGCCCTGTGGGAGCTGTTTTATGTACGGCAGGTACCGAGCACACCCTTTGTCTGCCCACGCGGGGCGTGCCCAGTAGTTATGTTTCCAGGCAAACGCCGAGGGGGTCGGTGGCCGACGCTTCCTAATCGGCAAGCCACAGCAGACTTGTCAACCGGAAACCTGGAAAGTCCGTTGCCTTTCAATTCCCCGGCTTTATATATCGCTATGGCCTGTTTCTTCGATTTCTCGAGAAAGATCACGCATTGTAATCGTATCTCACACGTTCCACATAATTCTACAAGGTTCTAAGAATAAACAGACGAGTGATATTATTTAGTTGGTAGTAAACAAGGCCAAGAGACTATTTTTAGCTAGCCACACCTTAAAAGGCGTTCTTGAGCTTGTTTGGTGTCTGCTAGAATACATGACGTAAACATCGTCTACATAACACCAAGGAAAGAATTATGGCACCTATACATAAACTAAAGTCACTCCGGCTGTGGCGTGCCCCAGGGTAATCATTTGGCACAAGCTTAGAGTCAACTCCGTACTGTCACAATGATTGGTGTGAGGGTAGGGGGGGATATTGAGGTTGCCGAAGACTCTCGAGCACAAGCGGGGACAGGATATTCTTAGACTTAAATTTTGATAAATTCAAAATGCAGAGATGCATATGGGCGCATTCTTGAATTTGGTGTTTCTTTTTAATAATAAATATAAGCCA